TCATTTTTGAACCAAATTTCGACCAAAAAAAAATCGAAAAAAACATATTTTAAATTTCATTCCAATACCTTGAGCATGATCCACTGAATGTTTTAAACCTGATTTTGGACATAACTTAAGGATAGAAATTAGTTTTTTGAACATATTTTGACAAAAAATATTTTGAAAAAAAACTTTTAAATTTCATTCCAATACCTTGAAAATGAACCAGTGAATGTTTTAAGATTGGTTGTGGACAAAAAATATGGATAGAAATTTCATTTTTGAACCAAATTTCGACAAAAAAAAATCGAAAAAAAATATTTTAAATTTCATTCCAATAACTTGAGCATGATCCACTGAATGTTTTAAACCTGATTTTGGACATAATTTAAAGATAGAAATTAGTTTTTTGAACATATTTTGACAAAAAATATTTTGAAAAAAAAATAAATTTCATTCCAATACCTTGAAAATGAACCAGTGAATGTTTTAAGATTGGTTGTGGACATTAATCTATGGATCGGACATTTCATTCTTGAAACATATTTCTTTTGACAAAAACTATTTGAAAAAATATTTAAATTTTCTTCCAAATACCTTGAGAAGAACAGTGAATGTTTTTTAAAACTGATGAGGACAAATCTATGGATTCGAAATTCATTTTGAAACATCTTTGACCAAAAAATAATTTTGAAAAAAAAATATTTTAAAAATTTTTTTTCATTTCCATACTGAGAATGAACCAGTGAATGTTTTAAAACTGATTGAGGACATAATCTATGGATAGAAATTTCATTTTTGAACATCTTTTGACAAAAAATATTTTGAAAAAAAATATTTTAAATTTTCATTCCAATACCTTGAGAATGAACCAGTGGATGTTTTAAAACTGATTGAGGACATAATCTATGGATAGAAATTTCATTTTTGAACATCTTTTGACAAAAAATATTTTGAAAAAAAATATTTTAAATTTTCATTCCAATACCTTGGGAATGAACCAGTGAATGTTTTAAAACTGATTGAGGACATAATCTATGGATAGAAATTTCATTTTTGAACATCTTTTGACAAAAAAATATTTTGAAAAAAAATATTTTAAATTTTCATTCCAATACCTTGAGAATGAACCAGTGAATGTTTTAAAACTGATTGAGGACATAATCTATGGATAGAAATTTCATGTTTGAACATCTTTTGACAAAAAATATTTTGAAAAAAAATATTTTAAATTTTCATTCCAATACCTTGAGAATGAACCAGTGAATGTTTTAAAACTGATTGAGGACATAATCTATGGATAGAAATTTCATTTTTGAACATCCTTTGACAAAAAATATTTTGAAAAAAAATATTTTAAATTTTCATTCCAATACCTTGAGAATGAACCAGTGAATGTTTTAAAACTGATTGAGGACATAATCTATGGATAGAAATTTCATTTTTGAACATCTTTTGACAAAAAATATTTTGAAAAAAAATACCTTGAGAATGAACCAGTGAATGTTTTAAAACTGATTGAGGACATAATCTATGGATAGAAATTTCATTTTTGAACATCTTTTGACAAAAAATATTTTGAAAAAAATATTTTAAATTTTCATTCCAATACCTTGAGAATGAACCAGTGTGAATTTTTTTAAAACTGATTGTAGACATAATCTATGGATAAGAAAATTTCAGTTTTGAACATCTTTTGACAAAAAAATAGTTTGAAAAAATATTTTACATTTTCATTCCAATTCCACCTTGAAATGAACCAGTAATGTTTTAAAACTGATTGAGGACATAATCTATGGATAGAAATTTCATTTTTGAACATCTTTTGACAAAAAATATTTTGAAAAAAAATATTTTAATTTTTCATTCCAATACCTTGAGAATGAACCAGTGAATGTTTTAAAACTGATTGGGGACATAATCTATGGATAGAAATTTCATTTTTGAACATCTTTTGACAAAAAATATTTTGAAAAAAAAAAAATCATTCCAATACCTTGAGAATGAACCAGTGAATGTTTTAAAACTGATTGAGGACATAATCTATGGATAGAAATTTCATTTTTGAACATCTTTTGACAAAAAATATTTTGAAAAAAAAATATTTTAAATTTTCATTCCAATACCTTGAGAATGAACCAGTGAATGTTTTAAAACTGATTGAGGACATAATCTATGGATAGAAATTTCATTTTGAACATCTTTTGACAAAAAAAAAAATGAAAATATTTTAAATTTTTCATTCCAATCCCTTGAGAATGAACCAGTGAATGTTTTAAAACTGATTGAGGACATAATCTATGGATAGAAATTTCATTTTTGAACATCTTTTGACAAAAAATATTTTGAAAAAAAATATTTTAAATTTTCATTCCAATACCTTGAGAATGAACCAGTGGATGTTTTAAAACTGATTGAGGACATAATCTATGGATAGAAATTTCATTTTTGAACATCTTTTGACAAAAAATATTTTGAAAAAAAATATTTTAAATTTTCATTCCAATACCTTGGGAATGAACCAGTGAATGTTTTAAAACTGATTGAGGACATAATCTATGGATAGAAATTTCATTTTTGAACATCTTTTGACAAAAAAATATTTTGAAAAAAAATATTTTAAATTTTCATTCCAATACCTTGAGAATGAACCAGTGAATGTTTTAAAACTGATTGAGGACATAATCTATGGATAGAAATTTCATGTTTGAACATCTTTTGACAAAAAATATTTTGAAAAAAAATATTTTAAATTTTCATTCCAATACCTTGAGAATGAACCAGTGAATGTTTTAAAACTGATTGAGGACATAATCTATGGATAGAAATTTCATTTTTGAACATCCTTTGACAAAAAATATTTTGAAAAAAAATATTTTAAATTTTCATTCCAATACCTTGAGAATGAACCAGTGAATGTTTTAAAACTGATTGAGGACATAATCTATGGATAGAAATTTCATTTTTGAACATCTTTTGACAAAAAATATTTTGAAAAAAAATACCTTGAGAATGAACCAGTGAATGTTTTAAAACTGATTGAGGACATAATCTATGGATAGAAATTTCATTTTTGAACATCTTTTGACAAAAAATATTTTGAAAAAAATATTTTAAATTTTCATTCCAATACCTTGAGAATGAACCAGTGAATGTTTTAAAACTGATTGAGGACATAATCTATGGATAGAAATTTCATTTTTGAACATCTTTTGACAAAAAATATTTTGAAAAAAAATAATTTTCATTCCAATACCTTGAGAATGAACCAGTGAATGTTTTAAAACTGATTGAGGACATAATCTATGGATAGAAATTTCATTTTTGAACATCTTTTGACAAAAATATTTTAAATTTTCATTCCAATACCTTGAGAATGAACCAGTGAATGTTTTAAAACTGATTGAGGACATATGTTACAAAAACAAACGTTTTGCAGACCCGCCCTGAAAGGCGAACCCGCTCGGTGGCCTCGGCTCGCTGGCGCTACCAGTCGGGGTTCCGCCAGGAGGAAACACACGGAGCTGGGGAGCCATGGCTGAGCCCTGGGGAGTTACAACGGGGAACAACACAACGGGAGAAGAAGAACGGGAAAATGATGCAAAATGAGAAATGTCACGTTTAAAAAAAATATTTCTAACCATAAATTCTGCCCACACCCAATTTTTTTTCAAAATATTTTTTGTCAAAAGATGTTCAAAAATGAAAATTCTACCCATAACCCATGAATACCCATGATCTCTTGACCCTTGGAAATAGTTCAACCCTTGTTTGCAAGGAAATTTTATTTATACGTGAAGCAGTCCGGAACAATCTGTATGTGTTTCTATAAAGCAGTCCGGGAGCTGGAGGTGAGCAGCATTCAGAAAGAATTTCCAGATGTGAAAGTTGCCGCTTCTTCTGCTACTTTCTTTTGGTACAATGACTTTCGCTGCAAATTCTCCGTGGGCAAGGAAGCTGAGTCTCTGCACATGGCTGCGCGAATGGCGAATATATATCATGTCGCAGCCAAGCGCAAATTTGATTCCTTGAGCGATTGCACCAAGAGCTTCGGCACCATGATCACATGACTTTTGACATGGGCTTCTACTATTGCCTGTTCCCTAGGCGCACATAAAATCACATTAACAAATATCAACACATGATACATATAGTCAACCAAGACGCGAAAGCACACAAGGGCTAAACGCAAATGGATGCATGTGGTGAGGAACGAGCTGCTGAACCGTTGCGCTGCTGCTAAAGTGAGCCGCACTGGCCCGGCGGACTCGCTCAAGAATCGTTTGGTCGGCTCCTGGCTCAAATCGTCTACTATGGAAGAAGTTGGTGCGTATGCCAGAAATGTGCCTTGGAACGCTACTGCCAGCAAAGCTTCGGACACACACAAAGGTGACGACAAGGAGCTTCCCAAAGTGCACCCCGCACTGAAGGTGAACAAAAAGTCCGTGACGGTGGAGATCTGCGGGTATCGTTTCAAAGCTTCCATTCCTCAAAATGCTTGTTCACTGGAAGATGCGATTCGCATGTGCGAGCAACGACGGTTAGCAGGCACGAACAAGCTCAAGACTTTCAATGGAATGAAACGGTGACTTGACAACATTAGGCAGATGACATGGGACATGCCCAGGGCTCGTTAATGTTTTGCGCAAGATTGTATATTTCCATACAAATGTAAATCTTGGAAAAATAAACATATATATATATACACCGCCATGGTTGTTTGTACTTGTCTGATGTGCATGGGCAGAGGCAAGAGCTGCTGGATTTGTGTACCGGGTCTTTCCTGAGCAAGAGCGGCAACATGGACACATTGCGGCAACGTCTGGTGTGCCATTGGATGTCCAAGGCCAGCCCGGGAGAGTTGAAGCTGTGGTCTGAAGGGATTCCATCTCCAACAGCGCTTGAGCATACATCTTCAGCAGCGCCGCCTCTTTCAGAGACTGCATCTTCAGCGGCGCCTGTGGCAGCCGAGCCTGCGGCAAGTAGTGCTGGCCCTGCATCTTCGGCAGCACCAGCGGCACAAGCAAGTTCTTCTTCAGCAGCGCCTGCGGCAGAAGTTGTTGCTGGCCAGACATCTTCTCCTGGCGCTACACTTGCTCCTGCGACTGCTGATCCTTGCCAGAGCGTGCTGTCGCAGTGCTTGATGGCCTCAAACAAAGTGAAGGATGTGTCGGAGATGTTCACAGACTTGAGCCAAGGTCCGCAAATAGACCCGAGCGAAAAGGAGGTGAAGAATGCTGAGCTCATTGCAGCTGCCGATGTGGTGATGCCAGTGGCCGGCATGGTTAAGATCCTGCAAGCTCTGCATGAGGAAGGCAGCAATGTTGCATTGCTTCTGGCAGGCCGAGGGTTGGCTTATGTGCCTTTATCCATGTCGAGGTATAGATGTATTGGTTCCTGTACCTTAAAATTTATTGTTGATGAAAATTCTGTAGATGTTTCACTAGTAGAATTCTGATCCTCAATGATGCCGGGACCCGATGCCATAGGTCAGAAGACCATGACATCGAAGAAGCTTACCCGGACTTACGTGCAACGCGTCCTCATGGGACCAGAGCAGATGTTTTCGAAGGAACTTGTGGGGGATGAGTCAGTTGGCGGTGAGCCGCAGAAATTGTCAGTGTGGTCTGTTTTCGTGCAAACCGGGAACCAATTGAATACATCCCACTTTCTTGAAAGGCTTGGTTTACAAGAGCAGGATGTCGTGGTAGGCAAGATTTCCGAAACACTGCCTACTGACCTTGTGAGTGCAAAGCCTTGGGCGGAACCTGGCCTATTGACTTTGGATCGAGACGTGGAGGCAGGGGTGCTAAAAGTAAACCATTGGTGGAAGACTGAGGGTATTTGGTGTGAATTGTTACCAGATTGGACCAGGGTTTCTTCCATAGTCAAGCGCATACCTTCCGCTCTAGCACCCAGGTGCGGACTATCTTGAAGGGTCCATATGCATCATTGGGGCAAGGCTTCAGGTACTTGCCGGATGATGAGAATTTTGGCTGATGACATAGACACAAGGGCGGGTAACATAAGATTATGTTTTGGCACCGCCCTCGAAGTTTCAAGCCGCTTCAAACAGATGTCTTTTTACAAGTGCAGAAGTTGTCAGAATAGCAGCAGCGTGTGTTCCTAAGGAAACTATCCAAACGGAGCCCGGAAGAAATCGCAAAGCTAGCCGCAGTGACGTCAAGCAAACAGATTGGAAGTGCTAAAGCTGCAGCCGCTGCTGAACACAAAGTCCAGCAAAGCAGAGCAGCCAAAGGCCGTTGGGTGAAAAGCTAAAGCTTCACCTGTGAGCGCTAAGTGTTGCCTACCCAAAAAAAATTGATGACATGGGGCCTGTTGCTCAGCCAAAGATAATAATAGGAACAAGCCAGCTATACACCGCTGAGGGTTCGGGATTGCTTGTCACCTTCATTTCCCAAAGATCAACGGTTCGGAAAGACAATGCAGTACATGATGACATGGGACATGCCTGGCAACCCTGCCATGCCCGTGACTGTCAGGTGAATCAAGAAAGACAATGCTGGAGGAGAGGCTCACGAGCATGTGTTCCCTGTTCAACACGTTGCAGCGCAAAGTGTCGTCCCTGCAAGCTGTGGCAAAGCAGCTGGCGACATCTCAGGTCGTGGTGCAAGACGAAAGCATCATGGGCTTGGACCTCATGTCTCTTCTGGAGACCGACAGCAGTGACAAGTATCTCAACGAGGAAGCTATTCCAAAGATCGTAGTTGATGCTGCTCAAGAATTTGCCGAAGACATGGGGTGTCCTATGGCGGGAGATTCTTGGCAGAAGCCGTTGCCAGCCCAGATGTTTTTGAAGCACACGTATTTCGTCTTGAAGGATGTCCAAAAGGAATTTCGAGACAGCCAAAGCAAGTACAACAAAGCGAAAGCGCAGTTTACCAACTTCGTGAGCAAAATGGATGCCTGGAAAGCAAAGAAACGAAAGTTGGCTGAGAGCGGGCTTGCCAAAGTTGCAGAGAGCCAGAAGGAAGATTTTCGTGAACAACATTTGGCAAGAAGAAATCAGATCAGCAGAGCCCGCAGAGGTTACAAGAAGGTCAAGAAGGTACGATCAGAAGAAGGTCTTCCTGAGGCGGGTCGGTGAGTACCATGTCATGTGTCTCCATGCTCTCCGCTTCTCTCTTTCTCTCTCTTTCTCTCTCTTTCTCTCTCTTTCTCTCTCTTTCTCTCTCTTTCTCTCTCTTTCTCTCTCTTTCCCTCTTTCTCTCTCTTTCTCTCTCTTTCTCTCTCTTTCTCTCTCTTTCTCTCTCTTTCTCTTTCTCTCTCTGTCTCTTTCTCTCTCTCTCTCTCTTTCTCTCTCTCTCTCTCTATTGAAACCTGTGGATATTGCAGAACAACGACGCTTGATGAAATGCAACATGTCGAGCCGTTCAAGGAGAGGATGTATGAGAGTAGCTCTTGGTAAATGAGGTTCCCCGAAAGCTGCAGATACCCAGCAACCCCGGAAGCCAGATGACATGTAACCTGAAGAGCTGTTAAGAATGTGTGAAAATACCTTGAAGTATGCTGTTTTCAAATGTTTTCATATGCTATCATATATGTGTGTGTAGCCGGCTTTCGCCCCACACAACTGATGACATGTCGCCTGGCAAGCACATACCGCGTGTGCGAGCAGGTGCGCCCGGCACGGCGGGCTCTCACCATCTTTGAAAAAATGCAAATCGTTCACTATGCTGAAGAGCTGGAGGCGAAACACCATGGCTTGGCTTCCAAAGTTCCGCTTCGCAGGGTCAAAGGCAAAAAATCTTGCGTTGGCCTGGCTCTCAAGCCAAGGAAGAAGAAAAGAGGCGTCGACATCCAGAGCCTTTGCAAATTGAAATTCGGTGAGAGAATGGGCACGATCAAAGTGTGCCTCCTGCGCAAAAGAGCTCGTGAACAAAAGTGGTTCTTGCTTCCTGAGTCACAGCAGAGAAAGATGTACAGTTTGACTGACGAGGTGAAGCAAGCGTTGAACCTGGAGGCAAGTACCATTAAAGGATGGCGAACTTGGTCTGAAGAAGCGGCCAAGAAGCACATTGAAGACAAGGGTAAGATCCAAAGGTGGAAGGTTCCTGGAGAAGTGATCAAGGAGCGTTACCACAGATTGATCGCTTGCCGAAACCCCTGAGCCCGCATGACGTGTGACGTGTTCAGATATACATATGCATATCTTAGTCTATATCTTCTTTGCCTTTGTCTTAGATGTCTGCTTGGGACCCATGTCGTTATATCTTGTGGTTTTGTACTGTGGTGCAGGAGCTGGATGCAACGCTAACAGAGCATGCTCAAGGGCTTTCAGCTGTTTCCCAAAGACGCGATCGAATTTTGACGCGTCATTTGGCCAGGGCCTTTATGTCAGTTGGGCCACTCATCATGCTTCTGTGCACTCGGTAGGTCCCATGTCATCTGCTCGGTCACTGAGGTCGTGACGGCTTCGCGCCTTGCCCGAGACTACAATGCAGGCTTGGAGGCAGCGCAAGATGCAGTGGCTCTGCACAACGAAGAGATGACAAGCGAGCTGGTCAAGATTCAAGCCACAAAGGCTACCATCCAACGGTGCCTTTTGCCGATGCCTGAGGAGTGCCCTGTGCTGAATCACCGATGGTGCAGACGCTTTCTGCAGCTCATGCGATGGAAAAACCAGCCGGTGAACACAGCTGGATCATACCTCGAATGGGCAGATCCGCGATTGGTTTCCTCTCGGAAAAAGCTTCACGAGCATCTGGCTTCAGGCGTTCACAAGTTTTTGATCTTGAACTGTGACCAAGTGTGGAGACAGAACCTCCGCCCCGGGAAGAACGTGATGATGAAAAAGCACCACAGCTGCTTGGCTCGTTGTGTCACAAGTCATTGGCACATTTTTGGCAAGACAATGGCAACCATGGATAAATACCAGTGCCCTGATTGAATACGTGTCGCCGAAAAAAATATAGATAGATATAGATTTTCAAGCTCAATTTCACATCATTGATGTTACCATGTCTGCAAGTTATTACTATATATCTATCTAACTAAATAAAGAAAGAAAGAAAGAAATAAAGAAATGTATATTATGTATATATTTTTTATTTATTTACTGCATTCTATACGCACTTTGGCGCGTATTCCCATAATCGTAGAAGCAGTGACACACATAGAAGACCGTGTCGTGTCTAAATCCCATGTCATGTGCTGTAGGAGAGAAGCAGCATGGTGGATTGATCGCCCGGTTTGACAATGTCAGTGGGTGCAGACTGTCGCTGACAGCTGTAACGAGTTCATGGTCAGATGGAAGCGCTGGCCCGCTCGGCCTATGTTTTCCGACTGGCATGATACCAGATCTGCAGGTCCGAGAGTTCAACCAAAGGCATAGAGGCGAATGCCTGTTGTTCTGCAGCGAACGGAAAACGCATTTCATGAATGGAGAGACATGGCTGGTTCTCCTGCAGCAACTTTACCTGGACGCCTTCAGCCTGCAACGCAAGAAGCATGGCTTAGACAAAAGCCATGCTGGTTTGCTTTTGGTTGATGCTTGGACGGGATATCATTCCCGTTCCACTGGCTTAGATGCGGCAAGGGCAGCTTGGTCCGCGACTGCGAACTGCAGGCTCCCAGACCTACAGGTGGGAGGGTGGTCTGCTTGTTGCCAACCGGTGGATCAACTGCATCATGTATACCGTGCTCGGATGGACATGGCTGACACGGCCGAGTGCGGGTTCGTTGCAGACTTACGACAGAGGGAACCGTTTGCCCGCCTCGCCATCAAAGCCAACGGGCAGCCTGCGCACAAGAAGGCTGATGCCAAAAGCATGCCAGAAAGGAGCTTGCTGGCGTGGAAGTCAGTGTGCGGACCTCGGAACTGTGCACGCAGCACGCACTGATGATACAGCAAGTAAACTTCAAGAATTCAAATTTCTGACCCGCATGAAACCTAGCGGGATTCACACACAGACACACACACACGGTTGATTTTTGGAAGTGAACTTCAATGACGATGTGGTTGTACATGCCTGGCAGGATTCCTGAGTCCATCATCCTTGATAAACAGGTGAACGCATTCCAATCGGTGATCGGCAAGGTGGTTCTTGGGTTGGCCACATCCCATTGCTGAAATGGTATTAACAATTTGCAGGTACGTCAGGGTGATCAGCCCTGATATCCCATCCAAGACCGTAGCTTCGTTGCACACGGTAGGTCCAGGATGCCCTGTGCCCCTGCTGCTATGTACATAAATTTGAGCTATGAATCAGTTGTTCGGAAGCGTATCATGGAAATTAATCGATCATCTAGTTTCTAGTTTTCTGCATGTGAATAGCAGCGTACACACATACATTTTTTTCCTGGCGCGCGCTCTTGCTCAAGCTGGGGCCGGCGACTGTAGATATTTATATATCACGGAAGCCTGTAGGATCGACCTTTTATGGCCCGAAGCTTGGCCTTGCGAAGGACAAGAAACAAACTCCTTGTGTGGAAGCTATTGCGAACGCTACAAGGAAGCTATCGTGGAAGCCGTGAAAAAAAACATTCCTCAATGTTGGAAAGTACTCATGTCATGTGAGCTCAGTCACTGGTGCAACAGCTTTTTTGAAAGGCCTTGAAGCCCAAGCACGCATCGCATGAAACAAATGCCAAGGATGAAACGAAACCAGTTTCCATATTTGAAATTTCGAGTTCTTGCCGGTGCATTCTGCAGTTGTTTGTCCTGGGTCCTGGTTGTAACATGTGCCGTTTACAAGATCTTGTGCCAGATGGCGGTGTGCCTTGCGGAAAGGCCCACATGGGCATCACCTAGGACATCCTAGGATTTTAACTTATTGATGCATTTGTTTGGCAATTTGCATAGGCACACCTGGTTCATGGGATGCATCCACTATGTTAACCTGGCATATTTCTGTGACTTTACCCACTATATAGGTGTTTGAAATATAGGCATGTGCCCGGGTCCTTCATTGTGTGGGAGTTTCTCTCCCATCCTGCTGTGCCGTGCAGCCAGTCTCCCCTCCGTCTCCCTTACTCGCCCTTTGTCTCCTCTTCTGTCTCCTTGCTCTTGCCTGCAGCTCTTCTGCTCCACCGCTGAAAGCTCTTGAGTTTTACTGTTCTGAAAGCTCTTGAGTTTTACGTTGGTGTGCCAATAGGATTTCCACCTGGCGGAAGATTGTTGATGTCTGGCGTAAGCGGTGTGCCATGCGGCTGGCGCAAATTCTAGTAAATGGCGTAGGATCACGCTAGAATTCGTAGGTCAGAACAGCTGTGCCGAGACAAATTGACATGACACATTTGACTTAGAATGAATGCATACAGTTCCCTGACACACAGCACTGGGTCTCCTTGATTGGCTTTGACCTTGACCAAGGCCTCACAAAGTATTCGCTGCAGCTTGGGTTACGGCTGGTTACTTTGAAAGCAATCATTTTCCAGAGTTCCCGAACATGACCAACGCCGAAGCTCTCAAGACCCTCGACCCAAGCGGCATGTTACGGTGCATTGGAGCGCCCAGTGACTACGTGGAGGTTCCGCCAACAGACAAGCTGTATTGGTCGGTCGTGATTCCAGATGATGGCGGTGATGGCTGCAGGTATGCAATCCTGCCCAGCCCGATTGCAATAGCAATAGAGAGGCATGTGTGCCAGCACAGACGGGATCGCAAGCTTTTGGCCTGCAAGCAGCCATCCGGATGGAGGACAAAGCTCACCACAGTCAATGGCCGCAAGATGCAGATCCAGTACAACAAGAAGAGGCAGCGCATGGCAACGCAGCAGGAGATCCAGAAAGAGGCCAAACACTTGGAAAAGCTTGAGCTCACCATGGAGCTGGATGACCCAGCTGCAGAACCAGATAGCGTGGGGTCCTACTTCATCGCTGGAGACAAGTACCCCAAGAAGAAGGTGGTTTTGATCAATACGAAGGAGCAGATCAGCGGCTTGGAGATGCTCAAAGACGCATACGGTGAGGAAGACAATGACAACGAAGGCCGTTGGGTTACAATGGGTTAATTACATGTCATCTGTGCAGCTTGTTCTGGTGGCAACAATATAGCTATACGGATACAGTTACAGAATCATATGCAAGCAGAAAATGTATACACAGTATAAAAGTTGTGTAGCACGTCTGTTACATGTAGGTTCGGATTACTAGCAAAGTGTAGCAAGCGTATGTGCCTATACCTCCGCATATACATGCACATGTTGGTGTTTCTGCATTTTGTTTACACGTGCTCTTCACAAGGTATGTTTTCCAAGTTATTTGCAGCTTTAGGGATCCACTAGTCTAGCTTACTAATCTACAAGTCCTATGTCATGTGTCAAACCGTTAGCAAATAACTTCGTTTTGTGAGAGGCTTCGAGGAGCAGAATGACGAAGATGAAGACAGCGAAAGTGATCACGATCACATGCAACCACCTCCAGGGGCAGTACCTACCCATCACCAAGATGGACATGTTGGCGTGGATGATGCAGGGGAGTCAGACGGTGAGGGAATGAGCAGCGGCATCAGTGAGGCCAACACTGAAGATGACAATGCATGCGCAGAATTGTCTGGCAGCGACGAGATTGCAGAGGAGCAGCTCCATCTTGATCAGACAGCCCAGCCCAGTGAGAAGGCTGTCCAGCAGAATCAGGCAGAGAACCCAGGCCGCCAAAGGAAGTATCACCTGAGTGAGGTTTGGCAAAGGCTCATCGCGCTCTCACAAGCACATGGGTATGCATACACTGCGCTGCCCAACCTTGTGGGCCTTGGTGTGCACCGCCACCCATCCAGTTCCTTTTGGTCTTGCCGTTGTCCTTCAGAGCCGTGGCATACATGCCGCTACGGCCCCGACAGAGATGAGTTCACCGCCCTGCTGACCATTTTGCGGCATGTGATCAAATGCTATGTTAGAACGGCGCCGCCGGACGCAGCATGCTGGGAGATGCATCTGAAAAAGTTAGAGTCACTTCGTGAATCTGAGTGTACAGGTCCTATGTCATCTGCACCATAGTGGCCACACGAGCCCTTCTTGAAACATGCTGCACGGTTTCGAGCAAACATAACACATTCCGTCATATCTAAGCTCTGGCGTTAAAGACCACCAGTGATGTCCTGCGTGTTTCAAGCCGGGTCGTTTGGTACTGGCAGCCAGGCGAAGATTGTACAGGTCCCATGCTCTGTACAGCATGGGATTGATTCCGAAGACACTGAATCCACGCTTTTGGTTGCTTGCTACTCGTTTAAAGGTTTGGGTCCACAGAAAGGCATTATGAAGCCGATGTTGTTTCTAGTTCCATGTTCAAGCCAATGGTTTCATAGGCGTTTAGCGACGATGCCAATGCAGCCAAGGAACTGCTTGTTTTCGGGAATGTTTATGTCCCATGTCATGTGGCTTTGAAGAATACAGATGGCCGGTGAAGACAAGGACCATGTGGCTGAAACAGGTTTACCACCGACATGTTGCAAGGATCACAAGGCGCTTTTTAAGATGAACCTGCCAGCGATTCTAAAACATATATATATATATACATATATATATATATATATGAATTCCCATGTAGTGTTATGGGTCCCTTGGGAGCGATACCTCTAGCGATTTGTACGAAAAGAAGCGCCTGACCTCAGAAAGACAATTTCCCTCTTTCCTTCCCTCTTCTTTTCCTTCTTGAATCAAAGACGCTACTTCCTCTTTCTTATTCCCTTTCCTCTCTTTCATGCCACCTTCTTTACTCTTCTTTACTCTTCTTTCCTCTTCTTTCCCCTTCCTTTCCTCTTCTTTTCTCCTCCTTTTCTCTTCCTTTTCTCTTCCTTTTCTCTTCCTTTTCTCTTCCTTTCCTTTTCCTTTCCTCTTCCTTTCCTTTTCTTGTCCTCTTCTGTCCTCTTCCTTGTCCTTCGCTTTTCCTGTTTCTTTCCTCTTCGTTTTCTCCCTTTCCCTTCTTCCTCTTCTTCCTTTTTTTCTTTTTCCTCTTTTCCGCTTCTCTCTTCCCTTTCCTCTTTTCCTTGTTCTCTCCTTTTTCTCGCGCAAAAGCAGCACAGCTCGTACATACTCGTACTGGAAAATTGCTAGGCCTCTGCTAAGTAGTCAATGTGAAAATAAGATGCTGGGATTTGCATACAGCGATCAAATGCCTTTGCAAGCGATACCATGGCCTCACCGTGTATAGTGAGTGACATGGAGTGGATTCTGCCATTCCATTCCGGGACCTCAATTTATTGATTTTGGGCACAACCCTTAAGGATCAACTTGGTTTTCTCTATTGCAGGTTCTTGTGCGCGGCCAAACTTGCATTTTGGCAGCCGCAATGAAGCGGCTGTATAAGTCACATGTCATGTGGCCAATTGAGTTGGTCGCAAAAGAATTCCTTGTGAATGAGGTTCGTCACCGGCACAAGTTGTATTTGCTGAGATGCCGTGTGCTGTTCAATTGGTCTAGATCACGAGCTCTAGAGGTTTCTTGTGCTAGCCAACCCTTGCCGATCCTGTGTGGATTGGCCCGTGGAAAAATTGTACAGGTTCAATTCAGTTCAAAGGGAACCAGCTGCATCTCTGGTCCTGGTTGATCTAGTCTGCACATGTGAACACCATCCCAGATGTGCAATTCACCATATAAAATTAAGTACGTACATTTTCCTGTTGGTTTCTTTAAGCTGGCTTAGCCAACACCACTGCAGCGAGCAGCTGTGCGTTCTCGTTAGGTTGTTTAAGTCCTATGTCATGTAGCTTTACACTGTTGCGGCAGCCTGTGGGGAGATTTTTTTTGGTTCGAAACAGGTTTTAAGAGGTACAAATGAGCCACTCAACTCTTTCTCCTAATGGGTTCTCATAATGACCTGTACTAACTTATAGGGGGCTACGATTATGAATCATTAATCCCATAAAAGGAATGTATACAACCAAACTAGTGAAATGAGATGGGGTGGGGGCTGGTTTTGATGGCTCATGTAGATAAGTCAAACTATATCTTTACTGAAATACGCATGAGTTTTTGAACGACATGGTGTCTCCCCAGGCAACCTGCGTGGGAATAAATTCATCATATGGTTGGAAGCCGTTGCAGCTCAGTCATCGCGTTTTTGTTTGAAGTGTCAATCTGGGCATATGTTTTGCAGCATATTTTTTGCAGCGGCTCCCAAAGCTATTGGCGCATGTTTGACTTTCAGCGGTAATGGGGATCAAAAAGTCCAAATTGGTGGAGCTCCCAGGCGAGTTTATTCAGATGACATGGGTCAAAAATGGGACGAGTGTAAACCATACCGCAAAGCTATGTCATCTGGTTCCTGGACTGAAAACGTATCGACGAATACTCATGTCATCTGCCGAGAAAATCACCACAAAGTACTCATGTCACAAGACCCTAGTATAAATGAACCAACACAAAGCAAGCTTTGCCCAGAAATCTGGACCGTGATCTCCGGATGGATGGGAAATCAACTATATGTGACACCACCAAACGGGCATCTACCAGCTATTGAAAATTGTGATTGGAATAGGATAAGAAATGGTGACTTTCCATAGTTGTGTTAGTTTACCAGAGGGTATCTGCAGTTATTTTGAAAACCACACCAACTTTTTGTTGATAAAACATCCCTATTTTGTGTTGTTTAAACCAAGGGACATGCGTTTAACGCGTGATTTTGGTCTTGAAATAGGGCACCCATGAATTTAATGGTTCATAATTGTTTCCCGCTGAACATTGCCATAAATTTGGGGGTTAACCCCCCTGTTCCTGGACAAACCCAAATCTGGTATTCATTGGTAAAATATGTTCCTTTTGATGGTTATCCTCCTGTAAACTAACATAGATGTGGAAAACCCAACATTAGCAGATGGTTTTCCTGGGAAAACCATGGGTTTTCCATTTCTATGTGTGTTGACCCTCGGAAAAATGGTATATCACCACACAGTTGCTGACTACTTCACACATTATCCCATAGATAAGGTGGTGCCCTTTAGATATCTACAATAATCTAAAGTTACCCTAGATATTTTTCAATTTAATCCTATCTAGGTAAACCATAGTAAATCTAGTTTTGGTTGCCAACTTAGGCATCAAATTCCATGAATTTCCATTGAACCTATCAAATTCAAACAAATATCATCAACTATCACAATTAAATCACATAAACTCACCACACAATCCCATTGAATCACCATTAAATCCCATAAACAAGATCAAAAGTTGTACCGGTAGCTTAACGCCAGCAATAACTGTTGGGTGCTCCAATACATCCAGCCGTGCACCCCTTCTGACCTTACGCTGAAGCCAGGTGTAGCCCGGGGGTGCCTGGGGTATGGAATGATGGGCTAAATCCCATACTGATTATGATCCCCGAAATATAGATTATACTATAATTATGGCGATCACGGCGATCACTATATTCTATAACCAGTATGCCCATCATATATCATAGATACTGATCATTGGTAAATCCCATTCTCTATGGGCTTCCATTAGCATGGGATCACTCAAAAAGTCTATATTCATCAAGCAACCTTCATCTTAAAAGGGAACATGAGAAAATTCGACTCAAATTTCGACTTGAATTGTTTGGATCCTCTGGACTTAGTCCAGGACACATCAGGGTCTAACAGTGCTAATAACTCTCTACCAGAACTAGTTCGAAATGTCTGAAAAATGCACTTTAGTGCACTGGAAAATGAAGGTAGGTCTTAAATTTAGCTGCTTATTAAAAACAAAAAAAATCAACATCAACGGGACTTAAAGTAATCCACTACGAGTAGCATACTATTCACGAAGAGTAGCATACTATTCACGAGGATTGATTTGTCTTTATTGTTCAATCTCCATTATTGTCGGTCAGTACCTCCAGTACAAGGTTGGGCCCAAAAACGGGACATGTTGGTTGGTTTGTAACCCCCACGAATATGATAGTGTTATCCCCTTGCTTACCCAACAGTTCACCAAATTATATCAAATGATATAACTCAACTTAACTAAATCCCAATCATCATGAAATCGTCACTTTTTATTGGACAAATACCTATCATATTTATCATTTGGGCCCCCTCCTCACCTTGTACCTATCGGGCACCTCCTCCTCCCGGTCCGCGTCATCGCGCGTGGAGGCGACTGCAGAGCGATGGTCTGGGGGAACTGGGTGACTTGATGGTGATTTAATGGGATCTTATGGGGGTTGATGGGGATTTATGTTGATTTATTGGGATTTTATGGTGATTTATGGTGGTTAATTGGACTTTAATGGCATTTAATGGTGATTTATTGTGGTTTAATGAGATTTAGATAGCTAAGTTGGTGAACAAAACTCCAATTACTATGGGATATAGTAGTAGCTATGCAATTGTCATCAGGGCTTGGTGGTCCCATGGCCCCTACTGAAGGCTTGTCCTCATGAATTAAATATCTTACCAACAATTGCGGGACTTAAATCAGCCATATATGTGTTAGCTAAAGAATGGGGAATACCCTGATGCACCGATTATGTGGCCATTACGCAAGTTGGAAAAATATGATCAACCATCAACATTTGGGGCATTATATGTTCAATCAAACCAGAGTTTCAGACCCATGTTTCTGGGAACATCTGTAAGTCATATATATATATTTACACCATCCGGTAAACGTTTACCTAACTATGGAAAGATCCACCATTTTATAGCTGGGTAAATCCACTATTTCTATGGCCATGTTCAATAGCTTTTTGTACGTTTACCGGAGGATATATATATATATATATCCACATTCTTGTTGTCTTAACGGCGTGGCATCTCGCAAGAGTCTCCTGAAGGGCTATTGCCTTATGGCTTTCAGAACTCTCTCCGTTACGGTCAAAGCATGGTAGATGGTGGACGGCCAGCCCATTCTATGGGAATCCAGCCATAACATGGTTTGATGAGAATGGATTGACGATTCCCATCCCTATGGGTTAATCTAATACATCTACCTTGACCATGGCACTTGACTATGACATTTAGGTTGCTTTTCTACGCTTCTGCAATCTGGCCTGGCTGGGGCTGGATCTGATTTTCTGAATCTCGCTTTTCAATCGCACATGATTTATAATTTACATGAATTAACCAAAGTTTAACAGACCCAAATCACTAAAATATCGTATAGATCTACTTAGCTAAACATTATCAAATGATAGCCATTTCAGTGGCAAATGATATCTTTCACTTTGGGGGCGGGGACCTTCTAAGTACTCAACCAAATAATCAACCAAATTTAACATACTCTGTAATCCGGAATGGATATGTTTGTAGCACAACCTTAAAAAAAAGACAAGGGTGTTTAGCGGTATTTTAGGAGAGTTTACTCTTATATCTTTCAGGGAGGTATCTTATGTGACATGCTCAAACGTGGCGTATGTGATATGATCATCCACCCCGTAATGGGAATCCATACCTGGTTGGTGGTTTCAACCCCTCTGAAAAATATTAGTCAGTTGGGATCATTATTCCCAATATATGGAAAAATGTTCCAAACCACCAACCAGATCCATAACGGGTATATAAAACCATCTTCATGGATTGATGAAGAATGTGGTGCTGGAAGCATCTGCTTGAGAGCTGCCCATCGGAGTCGGCAGACTTCTGGGTCTCTGTTCAAGCGTTGACAAGTCGTCTTCCACGCGAGTCGAGCTCTGGTGTCGCTCTTGCAATTGATCAGCTCTTGATCTTCAAGATCCGTCCAAGGTCTGAATCGTTGTTAAACCCAACTTCTGACCATGACACATATGAAGGTTTCCTAAAATGGGGGGCGCCCTAAAACCATCCAACCATTTCACCATTTTAGTATTACCCTCTGGTTGTGACTAACAGTTCACCACGGGATCCCATGGCCCTAATCGAAATAGATGGCTTACCTATTAAAAATGATGATTTATAGGGATTTATATGGGTTATATATAGGAATTACCCTCTGGCTATGTGATTTTCCATGGCGATGTTAGTCGTAACCAGATGGTAAAACCTATGGCCATTGGGGATCCCAGCTGCTGGAGAGATTTTTCACGGCCTGGAGTCGTCACGCACTTGGGCGTCGACGGAGGCACCATGCGATTCCTTGGAGATCAAACGGATCTGCCCAGGTCACTAGGAAAAGTCACAGATGGATAGGGCATGTCATCATGTTGTGGGGAGATCTCCACCATTCAATTCCAGATACATATGATACATTATTTCTAGAATATGACCATGTCCTGCCTTAAAAGGCAGGCCAAGGCTTAAGAAAAGGGTTGATGAGGGTTCACTTTAATAAAGGTTGTACCAACAGGGTTTCAGCAGCCAGAAAAAAGGAAATCAACCCACCAGGGCCTAACCTCAAACAGGACTTTCTGAAGTAATTCCATGAAACTTGATAGAGCAAGAACTGAGGCTTAAGCAAGAAAAACCAGGGTAAATTTATAGTAAACATAGGGGGTGAACACGGAAGTATCTCAGCAATGCCATCTATAGCGGACATGTGACATAGCCAAAGAAATCCGATCACTGGTTCACAAGCACTCTTTCAAGCGAAACAAGGGCGAAGCAAACGGCGAAGCCTACAGAAACTTGCTATACCGGGATGGGTCAAAACCTATTGTACCATATGTTGGGTGGATGGACATCCATTTACCACCTAATTTAGTGTTCATCAGGGTACAGGGTTTTGACTCATAGCCATATAATCGGAACTCAGGTCCGCTGATGTGCACCATGAAGCCGGAACTATCATGATCGAGCTGCATCGGCAAAACCGATCATCCTGAGCTCCACTGATCTCGGCGCCCATCGGACCAATTCCAAAAGGCACGTGTCTCCATCTTTTGCTTCACACAGCAACCCATGCAGTTGCAGTATAGAAGAACCAGCTGCTCCAAACCACCAACCAGTTCATGTATGATCCATGGACATGTATGGTCCATATTAATATTGGCCAACATTCACATACATGGACCTTGTGGGAACCATCCTTGCGATCAGCTCAGATCCTCCTAGCATGGCTGACTCTACCAGAGTTCAAGTCATGCACAGCTTTTTTTACACGAAACCATCAAGAATCATGTAAAACCATGGAAAAAAAAACATGCTAAAACCTATGATAACTATGTAAAGAACGATAGCAAGTCACATGTTCAATGATTTTCACATGTTTTCACCATGCTTTCTGCTTCAGATCTGAAAAAAGTCGCCATCCATTTCCGCTTCGTCTAATCGTCACCGAGGGGCCATTGCTCGGGAAAGTGATGTGCCATCATGGGAAAACTCCACTTGGGTGCAAAGGGATCCCTGGCGGAAACCAACGGTACACCGAGTTCACCGAACATCTTCCGACCCGAGTTCCTAAGGGGTGGAAGATATCTGTGAAACCACTAAGTTGATACCCTCTGGTAAATTAACATGACGACCCTGGAAGATCAGTTTCTACTAAACATTGCTTATTTTCAGGGTCCAATTGTTCATTTACTGGGTAATGGTGATGAATCATGGTGATCTAATGGTGGGTTAATGGGATTTAGATAGCTCAGTTGGTGCAAATAATTCCAGTACCAATTGAGCTGGTAGATATAGTGATATAACATGAAAATAAACCAACTTATAACCAACGGCCCCACCCTGTGTAGCTGTTATAAAACACAAAATGACACCGACAGGCAGATCTGGGTAAATGCGCTAGGTACCCAAATCTTGGTCTTCAGGATTGATTTACTTTAGCAGGAATTACAGTAGTAATTATTAGGCATTTCAGGGAATCAGGAACGTAAATCGGAGACCGAACCTGTGGAATTAGGCCTGTGTAAGGCTTTAGGCCTATGTAATGTGGTGTTAACATGTATTAACCTGCTATTCTGCAACGAACCAAATACCCTCTGAAATATCCGAAATTTGCCCAGTACCTATCACTTTATCAGCACGTCAGTGGGTCATCTGGATCCCTGTAGAGCCGTGATCGTAAACGTAGCAATGGAATTGGATGAAAATCGTCCATTTATAGATGAATTACCTATATAAAATGGTGATCAACATGTGTATTGAGATAGTCTATATTAAGATAATCTATATGAACAAATCTAAACATAGTTTGTTGGTTAAAACCCGATGTTTCTTGATTTACTGTAATCATAGCCTGGAGGTTACAACCATCCATTAACCTTACAACAATCCATAAATCATATTGGCGGTTCTACATCCCCTTCTTCCCTATTTTTTCCCCTATTATATCCCATGCAAACATGTATATACATCATTGGATATCCCCTATTATCTCTCCATTTTATACCACAAAATTCCCAACATTTGCAGGTGAAATCCCTCTCCCCCATTGCTGGCCATGGGACAAGAACTGTGGTTATAACCCAGATGCTTTCCACCCAAAAAACTATGATATAAACTGAATTTACATTATGTTTACGTGTATAATTAACTTATAATATACGTGTATATATATATATGTATATATACACATGTATATATAAATATAAAAGTATATATGTATAATACGTATATATACTCTATATTATATATAATTATATATACATGTATATGTACAACCACAGTTGAGGGTTATAACTAGACAGGAAACACCATGGTTATGAGCACCCCACGGTAGGCTATAAAACCCATGAAATATCCCAGTAAATTCCATTGAATCCCATTAGTTTTTTCATTGAATCCCATTAAAGATCATGAAACAAAATTTTGCAATTTTCCATAAATTCCCATGAAATCCGCATTTCTGTCACAAGTCACAACTATGCGCGGATGAAGGACTTCGCTGGAGGACAAACAGTTCTGAAGAAGTGCCGTCACCGGGATCGTCATCTCGCGCAACTGCGGCGGTGCTTGAAGAACCGCAGCTTCACATCTTGGCCTCTAAGCTTTTGCATCATCTCTTTGAACCGCCGAAGCATTTATCTTCCTCAACACAGCTTCGGCGGCCTCTCGATGGTGAAATTCTCATTCGAATTCCCATTAAAATACAAAAAAGCCCATCAAAGGACATTAGAAATTAGAACATTCTAGGTCCCATCACTTCCCCATTCAATTCCCATTTAAGTTTGTAACCCCTGGCCACCGCCGGCTTCGCTTCAGTTGCCGGCCTGGGCTCCCGTTGCAGCCGCCGCTGTGGACGCTGAGAGTCGGTGAAGCTGTAGAGTCGCCTTGGTGCGGAGCCATGGGATCAGCTCAACTGGTTAGTACGTGGCTTATATCATGGATTATAACTGGATAATAATAATAATAGTAATAATAATAATAGTGGGATATATGTTATATCCCACTATTATTATCATTATTGTCCAGTTATAACCCATTTATCGGAGTTATAACCGTCTATTGGGATATACTATTATTAGCTCATTAACTGGATTACTAGCTCATTGACTGGATTAGTAAGTGGATTTCTCCCAATAATAATTACTATAATATACTATAATTATCCATTTACTTAATGTGGGCTCCCCAACTATTCGATCGTCGATGTTGGGAATCGCAATTCTGTCTGCTTTGATTGAGCAACTGGCTGCGATGGTAACTGGCTGAGATGGTACAAGTGGAGAGGCGTAGCTGCAACCATTGCTGCTTAGTGATTTAGTGGATCAAAAGCCCAGAGCCCAGAAAAAACCTCTTGTAAGTTGACTTCAATATATATATATGTATGTTCTATCAATTTTCAGAACATCATCTATACATAGAGGGTTCTCCATTGTGGTGTTCATTACCAAATGGCAAAGCAAGTGAGCCAATCAAAATGCCACTATCCCATCTTGTTTTACTGGTAAATAGCTTTCCCTAGTATGGATGATCACATGTTATCATAATCCCCATTCAACTAGCTAGAAAAATCCCTTATAATGACCAATCAGTCATGGTATCTTTAATGGTGCTGCGTTTTGACCAACGCCGCGGCGGCAAAGAACCATTTTTTTAACCTCCATCTTGCAGGACGAGGTTTTTGTTTCTGAGAAACAGGTGAGAAACACCAGAAAATACTGCCTTTGTAAACTATATGGGGGTTTCCATAAATGGGGGATCCCTAAAATGGATGGTTTACAAGTTTATAATGGAAAATCCATTAAAATAGATGATTTGGAAATACCCATAATTTCAGGAAACCACCATTAATGTGGATCATATATCCCACTATGATCCTATTATAATCCCACTATCCCATTATACTCCCATTACAGTCCCATCATAGATGGCAACCCTAAAACTAAACCAGGGAGGTGTTTATGCAACTCAAGACTTTCACTGAGGCAACGGTTTGATGGAAGGGCATATCTACCTGAAACAATGAAGTCTTAACATTCTATTTCACAATATTATATATGGAGGTTTCTTGAAATGAAGGTACCCCCAAAGCTCTCAAACTCGACCATGTTAGTATTGAAAGCTATGGTGACTTGGGGATCCCCCAGTGGAACCCCTCATATGAAGTAAACCTTTCCCGCACAAATCTGAAATCCAGGATCCAGATTTCCATTGAGCAAAGCCCAGGAGCGTCATGAAGGGATTGAAGGGCTTCGCACTTCGGAAATGCTTCAAGGTCTTCCCCTGCCGCACAGGACCCCGAGGACCTCCTCCCCTTAGGGGAATCCGATTCAGGAAACACCCAAATGCAAACCAAATAAACCTATCACTCGGCAAAATTCCAGTATTTGAACGGCATGTTCAGGGCCCCCGAACTCCAACTGATTTTTGGTGGCACTACCGGTTTTTGTGGGGTTCAACTGTGATTCAAAACTTCAAGCTTTGTTTTTCCTTTCCCATGTTGTTGTTTTTTTTGACTGAATGGGAAAGAAAAAATCTATGTCTTTGCCTCAAATTCTGCTTGGGGATATGTCAATTTCTTAGTTCATGGGCCATGAAAATCACCAAAATAATTGGTTGTATAATCCCTGAACTAAACATCAACAAACCATCATTCATCAATTTTATCCATGTTTTTTGATACATTCAAACATCACAATATTGTTGATGTTTCAAACCCTTGAAATATGGGGTTTCCAAAAATGAGGGAACCTGCAAAATGGATGGTTAATGGAAAAGTCTGTTAAAATGGATGATTTAGGGGTACCCCATGACTTAGGAAACCTTGATATCTACAACAATGATTCTACAATCTAATTCGACCAGATGATTCACCATGAACAGTTAAAGACTGCAACTACAAGCATACTTCTACAGTGTTGGCCCTATATATGCCAGTTACAAGTACACAGTCACCCCATAAAAAATGGTTGGAATGTAAACTCCGATTGATGTATCCTTCGCAATCATTCATCACATGTTTAGCCACTAAACATTAACCACTATTAAATCACCACGAATCATCATAGAAATCACCATGAAATTCAATTAATCACCATCAAATCACCATTAACCACCACTTTTGTATGTGAAATCCCATTGAATCACTATTAAATCACCATTAAGCACTATAGAAATCATAGGAACCCCGCATATCATCGCACCTTGGCCGGAGCGTCCAAGTCCCGCCTCGAGAGAAAGATCTGAGAAGCCAAGGGTGGGGGGACATGCGGCTCAGTAGTGCGCGATCGTTTTTCAATCACCGTGATTGCCAGTGATTGCCCCAGTCAATGGATCTCCTAGCCTCATGATGTGCAGCTGTCAATGTGGTGGGAAACAAATCATGTTCCATTATATACAAGTACTGAATTAGGAGGTGAAAACAGCACCTAATTATTAATTTATGGACTTTGTACATCTTCCTTTGGTATCAGCAAATCCAATAAGTCAAATTCCTCGAGTTTCTATAGTTTCTATACATTTTTCACCACTTTAAGGCCAGCCGCAACATACAAACACCTCGGGATGACACTCCAAGTAGTTCTCAGTTCCTTCACATGAAAGTTTCCTAAGTCATAGGGGTACCCCCAGCCAAATCATCCATTTATAGAAGGGATTTTCCACTATTAAAAAAATCCAGCTATTGAGGTGTCTCCATGGAAACCCTTAGGGCCGAAGTTGGGATCATTCTCCTACTGTCCCAGTAGATGGTTGCGATATCCTGCACCACCTTGGATGATTGAAACCCTGCAATTATAGCCATATTAGTTCCTAACTGGCTATTTGAATGGGATTGTACATAAACCATAAATGGGGTTATATAATTCAGTACTTATAACCAGTATTTTGGGCCGTAACTGTGCACCAGCTTGGATGATTGAAACATTATTGAAAAATTGAAACCCTATCAATACTGGCCTAAACATGGCTAAACCACCTATCAACTGGTGTGATTTCTATCATCTTACTCATGGATCTCAAACAGAAACACTATCTCAAACAAACCAAATATATATCTTGGTGATCAAAATGTGCTTTTTGCTCAGCACTTCAGGTGGTGCCCCAGTTCCTGGTTCTTGGTGTTTTTTTTCAAAGTAGGATCATCCTCCCAGAGATGGGTTCTAAAGCTAGTGCAGTGGTTCTACAGTCCAACATCATTGGAGGGTCACACATTGTAGGCATCATCATTCCACGATGGATCCCACCATGAAATATTTGGAATCACCACAGTTATGGCCGTAGCTTTACCAATTATGCATGGTGAAATAACTGGTTATGAATCTATGGGGTTATACATAAACCATAAATGGGGTGAGTTCAGTACAAACATAACTGGTATCCGCATGGTTGATATGGGGATTTCCAGAAACAGGGCTACCCCAAGCTTGCTGGATGGTTGATTTCATGGTTATAACTGGTATGACTCGAGCCAGAACTGCACCAACCAGTCATCTTCTCGGTGAAACCGAAGACCCAACCACTGAGTAACCAGCGACAAGGACGACAACGAAAGGTCCCGTGAACCTTGGAGGTGGCAACACGACATGCACAGTGCAGGTTGCACAATGAACACATGCCCACACAGTTTTAGCCATTTACCAAGTATATATGGTTATAACTGGTTATTTCTATGGGGTTATACATAAACCATAAATGGGGTGACTTAGTACTTATAACTGGTAAAGGGCCATAACTGCATGAATGAAGAGGATGATACAAAACAAGAACTATAGACCATGCAACATACCTCTAAAAAATCACAAGTTTGGGGAGGTCAGCAAAATGATTCTCATCCGGTTCAAAAATCACAAATTAAAAATCACTTGATATTCATCCGGTTCACTATGCCAAAAAGTGTATCACCACTGGGACAACCATTCTGACCATTTCACATCCAACGATCAAGGTCCAAACTGAAAGTGCTGCATTGCAGACAAATAGGTAGATTCCAGGTGAGAGTTTGAAAATTGGGTACCCCATTCCATCCACTCTAGGGGTATGCCATTTTATGATCCTGACGCAAGTGACACTCACAAGGGGACTACCCTCTGGTAAACGTTTACATAACTATGGAACAAATCACCATGTTATAGCTGGGTAAATCAATTATTTCCACCCTCATCTGGAGAGATAATCAAGGGTTTTCATCAGCGATCTCCTGAAACCGCAAAAGTTCATGATTCATCATGTTCACGGAGTCACTGTCAAAAAGAACATAGTGGGATATTTTTTTACAGTAATTCATGCAGAAAACGATCGTAAACTCATCTAATCCACAACACTGGAAATATCAGTGTGTGGCGGCCCGACCCATCTAGAATTTCACCTGTGGGGTGCTCGACTATTCGTCAAATAGGGGGTCAAGCACATGGATGCCGGCCCATCAAAGTATCCCGTATTGGTATGTTCACAAAGCCTAAGGAAGTGGTTGGTAAATGGGGTATCGCTCTGATAAGATCGCCCCCATTATATCACCAGTGGTATCTACGTGAAATCATCGGTAGATGTTCGCAAAGTTGTTTCATTCTTCGAAGATTTGAACATCTAAGAGAAAGTTCCTTGTTCATTGTTCATTGTTTCACGGTTCATTGTTGACTTTTCGTCGATATCCTAACGCTATTTTGTGTTGCGCTGTTCCCAAATTAAATTTTGGCTGGAAAAGAATGTGCCCAAAATTTTGATGGTCGATTTCCATTTTTTGACATTAAAATTGCCATTTGGGGTTGCCCCCCTTTTTAGACAAACCCATCTATATCATATATATATATATATATATATACACACATGTTCGTTGTGTCCCATCCACATATTATTATATAGCTACATGTGTCCCGTCCCATTGTATAACATTGTATCCCCTATATTGTTAAATCCCACTAATCACATCCCCTAATACTAGTTCCATCATGTTACATCTCCATGTTTGCTCCGAAATGTGTGATTTCATTCCTACTAAACCATGGTAATCTATGGGGAATGTTTCATATGAACGATGGGTGGGATTACATTCCCTTGGCTTATATAATACCTATATATAGTGGTTGCTGTATCCTGCTGCTGCCCTAATATCCAACTATATTCCGTATATTTAAAATATCACATTACATCCCATTGCATCCCATTAGATCCCATTAGATCCCATTACATCATCCTTATATCCTACATAAATCCCATTATATTATTCTATTGCATTATCATTAATTATATCACATTATATCGACATTGTTTATACAGAAAGTCTTGGAGGCCGCCTTCTTAGCGGCTGTAATATGTGTAGTTGAAAAAAAACACAGTAGTAGATTACTATTGATATCTACTTCTTAGCGGCTGTAATATGTGTAATTGAAAAAACATATATTACTATTGATATAAACGTTATGCTAGAAATAAACATGAATGTCAACACAAATACTATAATATGAATGCGATTATAAACACATCTCTCTCTAGATGTATGTATATATATACATACATATAAATATATATGTAAATATTTAAACATATGGGGGTTTCCATAAATGGAGAATCCCCAAAATGGTTGGTTTATAATGGACCCCCATTGCCAGGCGACCACGGCTCCGATCCACGGGCTGCCGCCAGCGAGGCGGCAGCTCGGGCCTGCAGCAGCTTGGAACCGCGCGAATTGTTGGTGAACACAACTCCAATATCTAGAACTTATAGGAGATATAACGAACTAGTGATTGTCGGATGTGTATAAAAAAGGGATTTGATGTATACACAAATAAGAAAAAAACATATATATATATATACGTATATAAAAAAGCACATAGTGGAGACCCCAAGATAGCAAAGGAGCTGCAACCCATGGATCCACCTCCAAGCCGACACGGCTTCTTGGGCACATGGGCTGCCACAGTTCAGTCACCTTCTGGTATAGTTGCTAAATTGGTGTTTTTATATGGAGATAATCCACAGAAAATATGAGTGCAGCTAAAAAAAAGGATTCCAGCCATGAACCCTCGGTTGGGTAATTGTTTACCATGGATTTCTCGCAAACACGGGGTACCAGCTATCGTATTTATATGGTATGACTATTCTTGTATATAAATATATATACATAGCTATGGCTATGGCTATTGGATTTTGCAGTGATTATGTTCCAATATTTTCTGGTGACTATGTACAGGGTATAGTCAGCTGTGGGTATGGTTTATCATGGTGTCGATTATCGACGTATATATATATATGTATTAAAACATAAATATATATATATATATATATGTATACATAATATGGGCCGAAACATCATTGGATATCCCGAGTTGGACATCACATCCGAAATCTTTTCACCAACCCAAAATACATTGAAATAGTCGTTACTGTGGTTGTTTGCAAACTGGATGTAACTCTGTCGCTAGCCAGCTGCAGTCATGAAACTACAGGGATGGATCCACACATGCTGGGCGTAGGTGCGTCGTTGGAGCTTTCGATACAGTTGTCGAGCTGCTTCCACCCAAGCGGCACGAGGCAATTTCTTCAGCTCCTCGGGTTTGCTTCGCCAGCGACGCAACAAGGTCGAAGACCAGACACTGTGCCACTTGGTTGTGATGCGGCGCACGCCAGGCACGAGGTCCCAGGAATTGCGAATGGAGCTTTCGACCCGACGCGCGAGAGATTGTAGATGCGCTACGGGTCCAAACACGGGAGCTTCTTCCGGGCGACGATCTCTGGGTTTGTTTGGGTAGTCAGGACCGCCAATCGGCGCGGGCAGGCTGTATGGGAATGGATTCCAATAACAAGCCATTGTTTCTATGGGGGGTATTAATGCAGGGGAAAGAGATTAGGTCATATCTTGGGGAATGGACCATGATTTAGCAGCTATTTCCGTGTTCATTCACACCAGGGTATCAGCGTATTGTACAGTTGATCACACACTTGTTACGTGCTTGATCCAAAATTTTGGTACTCCAAATGAATGGTTCAATATCATGTTTTTGGAATGGCAGTTTACGGCTATCTATGACTTTCGGACACACCCAACAATCCTTTTGGTGTTCTTAGATATTACTGGTTCCCAGTTTTGATTGTCATATATATTCTATACGTGTTATTAAAAATGATTTGTTACACGACACAGTAAAACAATTTAGATGAGTTATCATTATCATGAACTATAAATGACAATTTATAGATGATTTTACCTTCCCATGATTATAGTTATAGTTATAGACATTAAAATGAATTGTCACATTCTGTTGGCGACTTCGAACATCGGAGAATACAAAACTAATCCGAAATTCTCCTAATCCTGGTTCTTACACTAATCCGTTGCAATGTGTAATCCGGTGCTCTTATGCAGACTGGAATTGAATCACTGCAACAATTTCGGAACGCTTCCCCAAATGGCACTATTTATTTTTCACCGTTGCTCTCTGCAGGTTCACCCGCGCACCCCCAAGTGGCATCTATATTCGATGTCGCTAAACCCATAATATGAACATTTGGAGAGTTCACTCCACTTTTGGCTCTGGCGATCTCACCCGATGCGCCTTTGGCGTCTTGGGACTTTCCTCTTGCACTGACGTGCAATTGTCTCTGAATGCTTTGCTTCGGCAGCCATTTGCTCTTGTGTTTCCTGCAGGGACTTCAGAACTGCACTCTCATCGGGCAGCGTCTGGCCAAGCTTCAAGTCACATGCTTGGACCGACTTACGCTTCCGGTGGGACGCGGCAAGTTGGCCGCGATGAAAGAACAGGGTGAGCAACTGCTCGACGGCATATCCAACCAAACGCTGAGATTCTTTGTTGAACTTGATGCTGTCAGGCAAGCCACAGTCCTTGACAGTCATGGCGATGAAGACCAAGCAAGAAGAGTGAACAAGAGGGGAGGGCAAGATGGAAAGGAATCATGACAGCACTTGAGTACAATCGGAATGCTTTCGGGCCCGGAAGCACTCCGAATGCACTCCGAGGTGCTACTGTAACCTGCTCCTTCTACGTCTCTGCGTTGGGGGGAGGAGCACTCAGGTGTATATACAAAGTGATGTTAAGTAGTGCAAAGGTTGAAGGTGGTGTATAGAGTAGTGCAAATAGTCTAGAGCAGTACAAAGTAAGTAGCGTAGAGCAGCGCAAGGTAACGTAAAGTTGTGCTGGGTGGTGAAGAGTAGTATGGAAGTGGAAAAATCTGACATGTGGAATGTGAACCATACTGAATGTTAAAAGAGTGTTACAGATCTTGCACAGTCGTTTTGTGTAGAGTAGTGAAGAGTAGTGCATAGTATTGTAAACTAGTGTAGAGCAATGCAGGATCGTGTAGAGTAGTGCAAAATGGTGTCGCGCAAGAGAAGTCTAAAGCAGTAGTGTAGAGTACGTACTACGGAGTGCCTCTTAAACAAGCGTAACTAGCACAGGACCTGTTACATGAAAACCACTCACGGCCAGCAATCCGCAAAACGACAATCCGCAATCCGGTGCAAGGATTAAGGATTAGATTTGAAGTGGCCAGTACGAACTATTATGATGAATTATAATTAACATTATGATGATTACCCTCTGGTAAACTAACATAACATAACTTAACTATGGAAAATCACAATTTTTAATGGGTATATCCACTATAAATGGCCATTTTCAATAGCTATGTTAAATTACCAAAGAGTAAATATGATATTCCCATGATGTGCCAATCTCCAGTGATATGATTCCCCCACAGCTGGGTGAACCCCAAGGACCGCTCAACAGCTTGGTCTGAGCTTTCCCACTGCGAGACTTGCTCACGGAATGACTTCGGGCCTCGTCCAGCCAGTCATGGCCCAGAGATGAAGCATTTTACCGTCTTTTTTCCCATCAAAAAATGTGAGTTTGAGCAAGCAACATCTAACTTTGATGTTTTTTTGCATGACATATCTGGATTTAATCAACCCCAGTTGGAGGGTAATATATATATATATATTAACATATAATAAATTAATATTTAACAGATTATTATATGCATATTATATATATACATGTTTATTAAATCAACACCAGGGGTGATTTCATGTTATGTTCGGCTACTAAGTGGATAGCTCAGCTCCAAGTGCTACAGCCACACTGGAGCCATGAACAATACCACTATCATATTCCAATATACTGGGTGACAAATGGATATCCCCAGAATGGGCTATAATCATCCCCAATCAATTAGTATAATTCCCTACATTGAACAAGCAAAACATTTATCTTAATATGAAGAATCCATGGCAACTTGTGCATTAATCACTTGCCAGCAATGCTGCACATCCAAGTGCTGTTGATCACTCAAAACAACTCAGGTATTCAATGCCCCATAATCTGGTTTCAGCCCAACATGTGTGCCCTGGTCAAAACGTGGGATGAATGGATTGTGGTCATGCCACCATTACCCTCTGGTAAACGTTTACATAACTATTGAGAAAACTCACTATAAATGGCCATTTTCAATAGCAAACTGTTACTTTACCAGAGGGTAATAATCATTAAGAATCCTGCCAATGGGTACATTACCCATTTCAGAGCAAAGAATGGTACAGTAGCTCTGCTTGGCCCATTGTACCACAAAAAGGCTGCTTCCCAATTGCTAAGTTGGCTTAAAACATCACCAAACTCGAGATAAATCCAGAAAATAAAGTTGCCATGGTTACAAAACAACTTTCCGATTAACCAGGGCAGGTCTTAAAAGTGGCACCAATTGGCCCACAATCTTTGGTTGATCTAGATATCCTATTTGGGAGCATGCCAAGTCCGGAGAAACCCACACATCTCCAATGACTCCAATGATTGTCGATTTCCATCTAGCTCGGAAGTTCAAGCCCTGAAAAAAAGACACACACACACACATCCCCCCAAAAAATTGGTTGAACACGAAACATGTCTGAAACCAACAAATGTTAACATACATTCAGATTAACTAATCAACACTAGTTGGTTGAAAACGGTTTCCCTAGGGGTTATCATAGCACTAAATAAATATATATATATATATATTTGCCCACAAAACAATTACAATAACAATAAAACACATATTTTGCCCCATCCCCTCAGCAACAGCATCTTCGAAGCATATCTGCATCTGAGAAACTCTGAGTTACACTCTGATTGACCTTGCAGCAGCTGAAGCACAGTTGACTCATCCGTCGGATGCTCATTCACATATACTGTCTGTCCATTATCTGTTGGTTCAATCCCCATTACTGTTGGTCAATATCCCCATTTATCACCATTCTATCCCCATTAGAGTCTGATTGGTGGTTTCAACCCCCTCAAACATAGGAAAGCCAATGGGGATCGCTATCTCAGGTAGGATGGCACATATGCAGCTACTTCAAACCACCAGGCAGTAGTTGTTTTGTGCATCAACCATCATTGATCTGGGTAAATTATCAAAATTCACTCACCTGAAATGTTGGGCCATAAAAGGGGATGATCTCCCTAAAATTAACCATGATTCCAGGCTTCGGGAGAACGACGTGAGGTCGTTAAACCTAATTTGATCTTGAAAATCGCCATGGAATGATGGCCAGATTCTTGGATTTGCTCCGATGGATTGCTGGGCACCCTCCAGTTAAACATACAAAAAACTATCGAACATGGCCCATGTATAGTTGAATGTAATGAAACATGGTGATTTTCTATTGCAAACTGTTAGTTCACCAAAGGGGATATTCCATGAACTCTCTCCATATCTGTCACTATATGCCCAGTAACCTGTTGGCTTCAACCTTTCATGAATGATGGTTACCATCTGGTTATTTAATATAGCCATGGAAAATAACAATTTTTAGTAGGTAAACCATTTTTTTCTATGGGCCATTTCCCATGGCTATGTTAAATAACCAGAGGGTAAATCCCGTTGAAAGACTCATGAACCGGGCGTGCCCGGGTCACTGCAAAAATGATCAGATCTGAGTTCCCACACCCAACTGGCCACTGGACTTGACGACCCCCAGACCTACACAAAAAAAGGACCCCCACAGCCAGTTTTCAACCAGGGATCAACCAACCAAAATCATTGGAATCAACTAAATTGAATGTGCGATTCAGGAACCCCAAAAACAAAACATATTCCCGGAATAGATTCCCCGAGTAGTGGCTTGAACAAATTGGGATAGTAAGAAGTCATCTGCAGCGAGTCCAAGTGATAGTAGGATTAACCAGTAAACTATCACTTGGATTTGCTGGGATTGGGAAGATGACTTGGAACAAGTTAAGCTAAAGGACCGTAGGATTTATCTGTCCCAAATCATGTGTTCCTTGGATCTGACTTGATTTTTTCAATGACGGGTGTATGTTTTCTGGTGAAATGTTCTGGGTTTCTCTGGAAAGGGTACGAGTAAGCAGGAGAATCATGTGAAAACCTGGGATTTTGGGAAGCCTACTTTGGAGCAACACATCTTAGCCTTTTAATTCTGGATCTTGGTGAAATGCTTATATATTATCCAATTTGAGCAGCAAATACGACCTGTTTAATTGCATTATCAATCTTTGGTAGTCCACCTTTCTTTTTTGTTGTTTATCTGGTTGGTGGTTTCAACCCCTCTGAACAATATCAGTCAGTTGGGATTATTATTCCCAATATATGGAAAATGAAAAAGTGTTCCAAACCACCAACCAGTGATGTTCTCTTCTTCCATATATAGCCAACAATCTACACAGGATTAGTTTCTACTCATCAAACGTTGCTTTGGGGATGTCTCAGCCAGGGCTTCCAGGGTATAAACTCTGAACCGACCCTTTGATGACAATGTGGGGCCCCTAAATGTGATGTTTGATATGTTTGTTGGTTTAAGCCCCAGGGACTATAGTTATAAATGTTATAAATGCCATAAACCATAGTGAAATTGGAGTTATTTGCACCAACTCAGCTATTGAACGGGGGCCTCACATTGTAGAACATGTTGTGAATCCACAGATTTCTGGGTGATGTACCGACTCAAACTGTCATCTCGATGGGTGAATGAGCCATCTTGTCGGCTGATAGATCCTGTATATCAAGACACCATCCCAATTTGAACTTCTTCTGTCTGTTTGGATGATCTTTGAAGTAAGCTCAGCCGTAAGAAAGTTGTGTTTCAATCCTCGGCATCTCCCACTTGTGAGGGGCTATAAGATATCGAATATCGAATATATCAAACCCCAAAAAGATAGAACCCTGTTTCCAGGATGTTTCCTCGATGATGTTTCCTAGTTAATTTTCCAGCTTTCCCAGCTGTTTATCCAATTGGTTGCTTTATTGTCAAAGAATTGTACCACCATTTGGGGGCTTCTTAAAATGGCGGATCCCCAAAACCAAAGGTTTCAATATGTTTCAATACTAAGATGATCTAAGATCTAGGGGTACCCCCATGACTTAGGCAAGCACCATTGGCTGGTTGAATTCCCATTCTTTGTACATGAAAAGCAAAACTCTACCCTGCACTTCAAAGGACAAACACTCCGAACCGTGTTGTTGTCTCCTGAAGTGCGCGTCCACCTCACAGATGCAAGTAAGGCCTTTGGGTGTAGGTGTAGCTTCAGCTCGCTCATGCGGAATGGACGCGGTACACTCTTCTCATCAAGGCATCCTTCTGGATGCCAACTTCTGGCTCAAGTTCTCCAAGGCCGGCGCCTGGTCGTTGGCCCGCTCAAGGCATCTCCTCAAGTGTTCAATCACCAATGCCTGCGCAGAAGAGCAAACGCCAAAAAACAGCTTCGTCGCACCTCCGTTCAGGAATCGGTGTGCTTGCCGAGCACAGCTCTTCGCCACAGAAATTCATTCAGGACCAATCCGTAATCACCCTTGGACGGGAATCTCATCCTGTTCCGCGCCAAAAAAACCACTCGAATGGTTGATCGTATGTTCGTAGCCGCCATCTCTCTGCCAGGAGCGATGCAGCGGTGCAATTTAGGATGACGTGACCGTCCCAGTCTTTCTGACTCATTAATCCCCTGAGAAAAAACATGTGAACTTTGAATGGGACATGTTGTCCCCACCCATCTCATTCCAACAATACAAACAGAATCTCGGGGTAAACATTGAACTTTGAACAGGAGGCCCATCTGATTCCGACACTCAGAATCTTGGGAGTGTCAACTTAAGTTTGGAACCAGCAATTTTCACCCATTTTGGCCATGGGAACCATCAACATCTTACCACTAAACACTGCCAGCATTTTGCTGGTCCATCCCCCCAAGGGGTAAACCAAGCCGTGGCCCAGACCCTGAGTTCCGGTGTCGACTGCAGCCTGACGTGGGAGAGGGAGGTTTTAATGTCAATCTCAGGTCTGCATCAATAACTGGTTGGTGGTGCAATAACCATCTTGAAAAATATGAGTTCGTCAAAGGGAAGGATGACATCTCATATATTATGGAAAATAAAAAAAATGTGTTAGAAACCACCAGCCAAATAAAGCATGGTTTTGGATGATTTTGGGAGCTCACATGCCAGGAACGTTTCAACTGGAGCTTCACACCAGCCAACTTCCAGTGCCAGATGACAAAAGGCGAGACAAAAGGTGATTTTGTGAGCTACTTCCCAAATAGTTATACTCATTGTAATCTCATACTTAAACATGGTATCCCTCGATGAAACAATCGATTGGGTTTTAGGGTTGACATTATCATGTTGGATATAGTACAGACATCTTTTTCAAAGCCATCTAAGACCAAAAAGCGAAGCCACCTGGATATGTATGTATATGTATATACACATATATATATATACACAGCTTCGATGCAGATGTATGGATTGACTGCCAACTTGTCCCTCGTTGCAGAGAATACTATTGTCTCATATGATTACGTGGAACATATACATGTAACACTGGAATTGGATGGCGCCTCTATCAAGAGATCATATATTGAATACTTTGGATACCCCCTCTAAATAAAATATTGTTTTTTTGTTGCGCGGGGTGCAAATGGAAGCAACAACTTCATTTTTCATTTTTGTATGGGGGTTTCTTGAAGTGGGGGATCCCCAAGTCACCATGGTTGTTTCAATATTAATTCATGGTCATCCACGACTTGGGTGATTTAGGGGTATTCTCATGACTCGTGACTTCTGAACCCTCCATATATATATATATATATAATGCCAAGTCAGGATTAATCAACACCCCATTATTAATCAACCTCCTCCTCCAAAAAAAATGCAATTTAAACACAGGTGGTCCCCCAAAATTAATGAACTGTTTGGCTAGGAAATGATTAATCAACCCCCTGTGCTGAAATCCATTTTTTATCCAACAATTTGTATTTCCAATTCTATTTATTTCAAATTATTTTTTACATTTGTTTATCATCATTGCTATACTTAAGGTTTAAGTTGATCATTGAAAATTTCAAAAAAACAACTATTCCCCAAATGATCGATTTCTAATTAAATTCTTTATAAAAATCATCAGTTTGGATACCTCCCAAAGGGTACCCCCCATGAGCCCCCATTAATAATAATCAGGGTTTGCCCCTGATTAATCAACCGCCATGTCCCTAATGTTTTTTTCTTTGGATTTGCCTATTCATTCCCAATGTCCCCCATAGCTTTCAGCCAATTGACGTAAGCCATGTCCAACATTTTATGGTTCAGAGACCGTTTATTAAGGGGTGCTTAAGGGGGGACCTACACGGTAGAGTTCTGACCTTCTGGGGGGGTTATTAATCCAGTGTTGACATTATATATATTCACAGATTTGGAATGATATTTAGATAGCCAAAAGTATTCCCCCAATATCTTCAAACCTGGATTGTTTTCCTTGCTTTGCCATCCCCAAAAAGATCCCAGATCCCGTAGTTCAACTCGCCTGCGAAAGGGATGCTGGGTCGGCCAATACCAGCCTGGCGGGATCCATGGATATGAGGAGTTAATCAACACATATAGGCTTTAAGTCAAAAAATAGACATAAAACAGAATTTAACGCAAATTGTGTATAGATATATATATATATATATGTTCATATGTATTGATATAATGGGGATTTACCTAAAATAGATCATATAAATGGGATTTAACCAACAAGACATATATCCTGGGTATGATTGGATCCCCTCTGGAAACCCAACGCGTAGCTGTGGAAATTGGCCATGTTTCTGTTGTTCCCCTACAGTTATGGCCATTTATTACTTATAACTGCTTATTCCTATGGGATTATACCTTCCTTAAACGGGGTGGCTGAGTACTTATAACTGGTAAAGGGCCATAACTGTAGTTTTTTTTGCTGAGAATTCGAGGATGTCGCGCCTTCGTGACTTTCTAACAGCTCGATGGATGCATCCAACAGCGAATCCACGATGGACGACGTGGCGCAATCCACCTCAGAGCCGAAAAAAACTCATGGAACCGTTGGAACCAATACTGGTGTATCTGTATGATCCATGTATGGTATATTTACCAACATTTGGGTGATTTTTAGGGCAAATATTTGCAAATATTCCATACATGGAGCATATGGGTATATCTGGATGAATAAACATATGCGATAGATATTTAGCCAGCAAAAATTGTGATTTTTCTATGGAGGTTTGCTAGGCCGTTCGGTGACTAAGAAGACCGTCGACACCAGTTCCTGCACAGGCTGAGGCTGCGTGTGGCATTGCTTCTGTGAAAAACCTGGCAATCCCTTATTAAGCATGATTTGTGACCGAAATGTCCCTTCCGTTGCTTCTGGCCTCCGGGCAGTCCGGGTTGAACTTGAAAATGCTTTTTTGGCACGTCTTTGTGCAGGGTGCTGAACATTGTCGTTGCCATTTTAGTACTCTCTCTCTTTCGATTGCCATTACTGCTCCCAAGTTCACTGAGGCTGTCGCTCTTTTTGCTTCTCGTACTCCTCGAGAACAGCCTTCCGAAATACCCAGCATTTTTGCTACTTTTCCTAGGTCTGGCAAAGGAATGCTGGCAGGGTCCTTCCACTGCTGCACCGGCAGGGATGCTGGGCGGAACCTGCACCACGACCCCTGACTCCCTGACGTGTGCACAGCCACGCCAGGGGTGACCACCGGCGCGCCAAGAGTGGCCCCGGCAAAAAGGCAGGCTGTGGGTGTCATGCTGTGATTTGATGCCCTCAAGCAGGTTGTGGTCCCCAGTTCTAAGCTAGTTTATAAGTCCCTCAACTATAGTTACAGCAAGTCTCCCATAAAACCCTTTCATTAGCCAAGTTATAAACCAGCTTAGCTATCTTATGGCATATGGGCCTCAACGGCCTCAACTTTTTGATTGTAGATATATCTGGATGAAGCGTGATCAATAAACAAACACCAATATCTGGATGAATTATCATGACGCATATTTTCCAAGCAAGAAATCCGACCTAAATCGGATTTAACGTGATTTAATGGGATTTAGATAGCTAAGTTGGTGCAAAGAACTCCAATAACGAGGGTTTATGATAGTTCCAATTATCGTCAATTGGGTTCAAAAGCCAACTTATAACGTTTGGGGGGCCCACATTGTATCATGTGTAAAGTCAAATTTCAGACAATATATTTGTTGATGTATCCCTGTGTGCATTCTGCAGGGTAGTTGTGCCCACTAAACCGTTTACAAACACAGCCTTATACTACAAAATGCTGCTTGAATCTGAACCAACCCCCCTTGCGACAAAATGCTTTGGGGGTTTTGATGGTGGATCAAAAGCCAATGTGGGTCACTACAAATTGCATTTGCGCAACCATTTTGTAGTGAAAAACGGGTCGCCGTGAAAAATCATGATTCTCTACTAAATGGTTTCTGGAAATTTCACTCTAAATCTTTGGTTCACTTTCCTGGGCCCAGGTCATAGCATTTGCTGAGCACAAGTAGATACAACCTTGGGATTTCCATCGGGTTCCAAGAATTGACCTTTCAAGAGGTTTTCTACTACGATGCTCAGAGCTATGGGGCAACAAAAACGATCTAAGCGCACAACTTCAAATTCAACTGATTGGTTTTGAAACCAAATCTGTCCCATGTTTCCTTCTTCAGGTCTCTATAGAAAAAAAAATCAAAACATGTTTTTCGAACTTTTTGGGGCTTGTCTGGAAGGGGACGCAGTAGGTTCTACAAAAGGTTGTGCACGCGTGTGTCACTACAAAATGCAGTGCGTGACAAAAGTCATCGAGAAACTAGGACATCACGCATCGAATCTGTGCTCTGTTGGTGAAAGAAACTCTGAACATGGATTCTTTGAACTTAGATGAAACTTAACTATTGAACAAAAAGAGCAGGAACCTAGTAGAATATAGTAGAATGGGATACATTTAGATTATGATTGGTACTCGCATGTAATGGCCAAAAAAGGTGTGACAAAAGCATGGCGCAGAGATTTTGAACTGCAATCGTCAGAGCTATGGGGCAACAAAAACTATCTAAGCGCACAACTTCAAATTCAACTGATTGGTTTTGAAGCCAAATCTGTCCCATTTTTCCTTCTTAAAGTCTCTGCATTGATTTTTTTCGATTTTTTTGGGGCTCATCTTGCCACGAGATGATCGTGAATCAAGAGCCAAAAATGGTCTGAGGGTCCAAGCCATATGTTAATGTGACCCAGCATGACTGGCAAAAGATGGCTACTCATGGCCACCGAAGGTCCCCCAACGTTGCAGTCAGGTGTCATTCCCGCATGGAACTACGTCCCCCAACTGCCAGGAAAAGTCACCCCAACTTCTTCGCCCATTGTAAACGCAGCACGAAAATGAAAAAGTACAAAAAAACTATCATCCCAAATGTGCAAAACACAATCAGAACGCAAGTCACCCCAATGGTCTTAAACTATGGAAAATTATCAAAAAAACGATATATTTTGATAGCCAAACACCATGTGAACGCATGATTCATGTATGTTTGGGTAGGATATCTCTTTTGTTACAAAACGCATCCAATTCGAATGTTAAAAGTGTAGCAAGTACATCCAAGAAAGGTAACAAATCTATGGGGTTCTGATTTACATCTCAACTCAATATTTCCGCAACGGGTTCCGAGCGAGGCCAAAAACGAGGCCAAAACGAGGCCAAAACGAGGCCCGAACGAGGCCAGAAAATAGCTTTGGAACCCCCTCAGCTTTAGCAGCAGTACCACCAGCCCGGCAGCAAGTCTCTATAGCAGGAGTCTAGAAGCAGTCTGGCAGCAGCTCAGCACCGCAGCCATTTAGCATCAGCCCGACAACAGCCTAGCTGCAGGCCAGCATCTACTGTAATTAGATGAATCGATGCAACTACTCTAGAAAGGCACCACCCCCGGCAGGGCGACATGTAAACACGTGACTGGATTTGCTTGAAGGTCACATGAATGAGCCAGGCATGACAAAAAAACAAGTTCACCAGTGTAAACACAAGCTAAATGAAGCAAAATTTACTTCTAAAGCATCGTTTTCTATCTTACGCAACTGATCCATAGCAAGTAAACGCATGTTGGGGCGACTTTCCCGGGAAGTCCCCCCCAACTAAACGCAAGATTTTGGATCCGGCGGGGTGAGTTCACTATAGGTGAGTATAGTGTTTCCTGTATGACCCAACGCATCCCAAAATAAATCACTACAAAATGCATTTCCGTTTTTCAAGTGCTAAATGAAACGCCGCTACAAGATGCAGCGCACGCCCTCTTACTACAAAAACCAGTGCACGACTCCATTTTTTTGCATGAATTCTCCACGAAACAGGGGATGGTATCAAGCACATGTTCACCCTTTTAGTAGTGGAAATGGTAAGGGGGATGTTGATGTAGCATATGTGTATGCAACTGTACTGTTCAATTTAACAGATACATGTTCATATTCGCATACAATATAGAGAATAATATAGTGGGGTTGTAAGCCAACTTATGACTGTGGGGCACCATCCTGTACCCCATAGATACACCTGATCCAATCAACCATGAACCATTCAAAAGGTGTGGTTGCATGTAGAGCCAAGAAAGATAACCGGGCCAAGCTTGTAACCACGATATGTCTTTCTTGAACGAATAAACGTGTGTGTATGTATACATATATATATTATTCTATTACAATATTTATATTTATGATATATACCATGTATAAATATATACAGTATATGTATATATATATATATTTATGTATCAAGATTATATAGATGTTATCAGAAATCATTTGAATTTCATGTGCCCGTACTTCTGTTCAGAACGTGTACCTTTTAGGCATTTCAATGGCCGTCCAGAGGCCAAAACTCCTCGTTGGCTCAAACCCTCATAATTTCCATCTAATTCCCATAGAATTCCTCAAATTTCCAAATAATTCCTACATAATCCACATAATTTCCATATAAATCCTATATTATTCCCCAACATTCCACATAATTCCTATATACGCCACATAATTTCCATGTAAATCCTATACAATCCTCAAAATATCTATATACAGTAATTCCTGTATAATTCAGATCATTTCCATCAAGATCTCATGATTCCTCCGAAAGAATCGACGTCCGGCTCTCCGAGCCACGACCAGCTCGGCAAGAATCTCATCCTCTGAGAGCAAGCGACACCTGACGCATCTGGCGCTGAATTCTTGTGGAATCCCATCACATAATGGGGGGATATATGGAATTACCACAGGGTATGCTTAATTTATATCAGTGATATTCACCATCATTAGTCACTCTTAACCACTATGAATCACAGTGACGATGGGAATTTAAACACCGCCTTGCTATGGTCCCAATGAAATTCGTGGAAATTCACTACAATGTGGGGCCCCCGTTCGATAGCTAAGTTGGTTTATAAGCCCCAGTAACTAGTTCGTTATAAATACCAGAAACTATAGTGACATTGGAGGTATTTGCACCAACTGAACGTTATCGAACGGGGGCCTCACATTGTACTCGGTCCCATGGTTTCTATTGGGAAGGGATTAATCCCACCATCCTGCTTTGACTCAATGGGAGATCTTCAGAATCCAATACATTTTATTAAGGGATTTTGGTATAAATGGCTGAAAAAAACATGGTTTATGGCATATGGTAGATATAACTGTACCATATGTTTGGCTATATTTGGAGGGGATATTCCCTGAAAAAAAGGCCTAACAAATAGGCCTTATATATGATAGGTACCTCCAATCGTTCTCGGTTCCTGTTGCATGGCCATTGTTTGATGGGTTTTCAAGTATTGATCCGGGATAATAGTGGGATCATGTTCCAATACTTCTACTATATCTATGATATCTACGTGATTGTTGGTTGATTATCGTGAATTTACAATCTCGTTACACTTAAGGCCGTATACCAATTATAAATGGTTACAACTGGTTATAAATGGGATTAGACACTCCATAAATGGGGTTATAAGCGCTTATAACTGGTATTTCGGGCCATAAGTGTAGATTAATCCCATCCCATCCTATATAAAAAATAACCCCACTCTTTGATCCCAAATATTAGTGTAGATCCCCTACTAAACCGTGGTTTCTGGGTGGTGTTTAATATTACGGGGAAGGGATCAAATGTGCTATATTTATGATATTACCATGATTGCTGGTTGATATATTTTCTCGTGAAAAATTGTGTATGCAAAAATAGAATCATCATAATTACGATTCATGATGCTACAACAATCTGGTAGTATAACTATGAGACTCTTACTAAGTAGCATTCTGGCTGAATTGTGGTCATGGTCATTCACCAACCCGAAAAGAACTGTGATCATATGACCATTTGTGGATGATTTCCTGCAACCGAATCATTCCAGTGACGTCACGACGTGAGGTCATTATAAAAGTTCATTCACGTTTACAAGGTGAGGCCAGGCACCCCAAAACGAAACATATGATGATTTTACAAGCAAAGACATGGTGGTGTCACTGGATTTCGTGTGATTTAGAATCCATCATGTGCTTAATTAACTAGGGTTGTTGAGGAATATAACCCACTAGTTAATGGATGTTCATGGTGAAACGAAACAAAGATAACTGGGGCCACAACTTGACTACAGTAATTATATATCTATCATAAACCATAGTTGACCTAGTAATTGACCGACTTGGCTATCTAGGGGTCCCACCTTGTGGTAAATCCATCGAAACTCGAACAGATTAAAATCCAAGTGTATGACCCAAACTCCACCCGAAGAGGCACCCCCAATAGGCAAATAATGAGATAATGAGATGACATGAATGCCATATGTTGGTGCAAACATGATATTTCTCTTCCCTCTGGTTAGTTTGACCAAACTCTGCACTCTGGTGGCTTCTGGGATGATCGCTGAGTAAATGGTGTATACAAGGCACATATCTCAAAGTTATTCGGGCCAATGGTCCAATTTGGTATGATTTCAGTTGGTACGTGGCGTGGACGAATCTATAACATGTGGCATTAATTACTGAAATTTGACTAGAGAGAGTAGCCTCTGCGATTGCTCGAAGCCACACAATGCTGAAGTGGAAATGAACTAGCCAATGGCGAATGACTTGAATATTTAATAAACATGTACTCCGCTTCCACGCTTCTCCCATGTGTTCAATGGCCAGGTACCGAAGCTGGAGGTACTGTACTATATATAAAGCCATATTTTGGGGGTACATCGCCTTACATAGACCTGGAAAAATAAAACTTATGGTCTTATGGTACCTCCAAAAGATCTGTTCCTAAAATGGCCACTGATGTCTGAGTTGGTTCACAAGGTCACTATGAAGGTTCTCCCTGACGTAAAGAAAGTAGTACCATGTAGTAGGTACAAAGTGCCCCCCCAGTTATGTTTGTTGGTTGACATCCCCAAATATGTATACATGTAAATAAATCAATATATATATATACATACAGTAAATATGTATCCCATATACATCCTAGTTATTGGAGTCATAAATTAACTTATTCGCTATCTACGAGGCCCTAACTTGTAGTTGATTGTGAGTCACATATCACTGAAAGTCAAACAAGGTATCAACAGTATGTATTGCTTATTGTCCAACTCTTACTCGTGACGCCCTTGTGTAATTTTTCCGAACTCCCCAGCTACGAACTACAAATTGCCAACCAGGAAGAGACAAGGAAACATCAATGCTCTTTGTACATCTGTCCAAAGTTGACCACCAACAGACACCATCATCATATTACCATTATTGGATTTGCTTAAAAAGGCTCCGGAAAATCAGAAGGAATCCCTTTATTTTAGGCATTGCTTCTAACAGTAACTCTTTAGGAAATTATACCCCAATATTTGGGGTATATATACCCCAATTTTTGTTATAATATACCCCAAAATTTGGGGTATATATACCCCTTTTTTTTTATAATATACCCCAAAAATTGGGGTATATATACCCCAATGTGTGTTATAATATACCCTAAAATTTGGGGTATATATACCTCAATTTTTGTTATAATATACCTCAATTTTTGTTATAATTTGGGGTATATATACCCCAATTTTTGGCTCTTTTATACACCAAAATTTGTGGATTCCCCAATCATTTTCTGGATTTCCGGAACATAAGCCAAATCACCGACGAAACAAAGCTACAGGATGGTGCCCCCCAGTTATAAGTTTGTTTATAAACCTCATTCACCATACTTTTGTCTACCATAAACCATAGTTAAACCACTTATATCTCAACTTGGCTATCTTTGGGGCCCCATTCTGTAGGTATATCATGGTATATCACTGTATCACTCTCATAGTTAAAAAAACTCAGGGCCTTCCCTAACACTTTTCCAGCCCCCTGAGGTCCCTGGCCAGTCCTCTGGAAAAAAGACCTGGCATAGGACCCGCCACAGGATGCGCTGCAAACAAGGCTTGTTCCAAGCATCTACAAGCCCAACTGAATCTGCATTCCAGAATGTATCTGCACAGTTGTCAAAGCTTTCAGGTCAAACTGCGTGACAAAAGACTTGCCATGTGAATGGTGCTCACAATACCATCTTCGAAAAGAAAAAAACGTTGTCTAAATTTGTCCAAGCCATTGTTCAAATGACAAGAACACAGCGGTGCATGGTTGGGACCTCGGACTGATTGTTTTTTTGAGGGGATGAGACTAATTTTGAGGGTGTTCACTAGAGGTGACACGTGAGTGGTACATCTGTGAGGCGCCAGTTTAAGGCTGTGCTCGGGTTACTGATCTTTTGTCAGTTGCTTGCAGGTGAGGTTGAATGCAGCTAAGCTGTTGTGCTTGCCACCTTGAAAACAGCATAAAATTGGTTGTATTGACTTGTGTTCCCCAAATTTGTTACGGAATAACTAAAGCAAGGTTGTGGGACCGAGATGTTAAGATGAGATGTTCATCATGTATGTATTATGTTTTTGTTCCTGATGCATGGCCGAACGGATCGGCAGACTGAGAGAAGTCCACATGTGGAGCTGCTTGCGATGGGTGCCAGTTAGGTGCAAGTTCTGGTAGGTTTCAGACCACCTTGTTGCAGTTAACAACCTCGGTCACAAATGGTCTGAAGCTCAACTTTTGTTAGCATCAAATGCTTCCGCGTTCAGAATTCTGAAGCATGCTATAGACAGACTGAGGGTATCCACACCAAGTGGTGAGAAGGTGCGATTGGTGTATGCAGAAGTGGATTGACAGTGCATTGGGTGCCAACGGTTTTTTCTGTTCAAAAGCAGCAGCTGTTGACAATAGTTTTTGTTCAGGTTCAGGAGGTCCTTTTTTTGGTGGACCATAAGCCGACAGAACCCATGCACTGGCTGTGCAGTTCTCACAAGACCCTTCAGGTCATCAGTTCTCGTCTTCACGGCCTCTCTCAGGAGTTCCATCAGCTGGGGCACGCTCTCTGTGTTTTAATCCTCTTTGCTGTTGCACGCTGTGGCTGGTGTCTCAGCCTTCCATTGAATCTGCCCTATCACGCAGATGGCGCTGCACATAGCCTTCGACCAGTTTTGCTCTGTCAGCAGTCAGGAAAAAGGTGCGGACTTCTCGGAGTTCATAGTCTGTGAATTCAGTGCGGTATGTTCTCAGCCAAGACCTGGTACTGTATTTTTCAGTTGTTTCAGGGTTTAGACCCTCACAAATTGAACAACAATTCTTTTGGTCGAGCCACAATTCGGGTACTTGAATCCTGAACCCGTAAAGAATACTTATAAAATTGAAATTAATTCACATATGCATGAACTCACACACATAAGTTGAGACAAATTGACATGATATATGATTACATTCGTCAAAATCTACAAACGGTACTTGGAGGATGAACCTCGAGGATGCTTCCCTGCTACCTGCTTAGATAGCTAACAACATAGCCAACATAAGAGATCCCTCAAGAAAAAACATATTTGGAGGTTTCCTAAAATAGGGGTAGCCCCAAATCATCCATTTATTTTCGGATTTTCCATTATAAACCATGGGTTTTGGGGCACCTCCATTTATGGAAACCATCATTTCTGACTTTAGATATGGTATGGTTTAACAAAGTACAAGGTCGGTTCCCTAGCTAAGCTTGTTTATAATTCAAACAACTAAAATTTATGGGATATAAACTACACTTATTGGTGATTTTAATCTAACCAACATAGCTGAGGGGCCCAAAGCTTTGTACCCTTTATCATTTTTGCCATTAAACAAATTAGAGGCTAGTTATTCAACATGCAGCTATGTAAGAGTTACATAGCCATGGATTTCATGACCCATTGACTATAAGAATGATGATTTACCTATTGAAATTCGTGTCTTTTCCACTTCGCTACGTGAACAATAACCAGAGGGACACCATACGGGGATGTGAATAAACAGACAGAAATCATAAATCACAGCTGTTGTAGGGTACGATTTCAGTGACAAACCATGTTATTTCACCATCATTAATCTGTTTAGCCAGTCTTAAACCATGATCAACCACTCTTAATCACCAGCAAAATCACCATAGAAATCACCAGTTATAACTCATAACGGGCCACAGCTGTAGATGATATGGTGATAAAAGCCCTATAAATTCCATATATCATCACCATAGAAATCACTTCTAACTGCTCTTCTTTTGGGCCCCAATTTCTGCAGGTAACTGGTTTAACTCGCCTGACCCACGAAAAAACCCACCTTGACTGCGTCACGTGTCGCTTTCGTTCCACCTTTTCGCTGAACGACACGGCTTACGCTGGACATGGAAAATCCATGGGAAAATCTATGAGATTATACAAGATTAGATTAGATATGGTTAAACAATCTTAACCACCAAAATAGCTGGTTAATGGATGGTAAAACATCACCATAAAATATGGTAATCTTAGGCTTTAACCGTTTTAACCCATCCACAAATGTTTTTATAGTAAGTTATACTGTCTATTTTTAAGGGGGAAAGCCGCGATACTGAGGTTTCAATTGATTTAGTCATAGATTGGTTGAAAGTGACAATTTACAGAAAACCATGGTTCCAACCATAAATCCAGTGCTTTTCTGCAAAAAAATGAGCGGATTCCCTGTAGGTGCAGTTGGGGTTATTGATGGATAATTATTATAACTGTGCTGACAACCTCTATAAGTCAGATAGAGTCTCCATAACTACAGTCATGGCCCTTTACCTTTTTACGTACTTACAACCCCAAATATGAATATTTATGGAATGTATAATCCCATACTTTAAGTTTTTTTTTATAGGTTGAAATTAAGTTACTTATAATGAATTTAGGTGAAGTTAAGATAGTTAGTGTTAGGACAACTTAGAACGAAGTTACTAGGGTTCATTTTAAGTTAAAGTTAAGTAGTTTTTTTTGAAAACGTGGTTTCCCTTGGCTGGCGCGTTTTTTGGTTTTGTGCGGTTTTATTGGTAGAGGAAGGTGATCGCCACCACACTGGCTCATAGATCTCATGGTGAGGTTTCAGTTTGCACAGAGCAAATTTTGCCTGCAGAGAAAATCTCATGGCTGACACTGGCCGACATCCAGCCGACACGCGGTGTGCAAACCTGCAACATGGTGTTTAATATTGCTTTAGCAGGGCCGACGTGCAGGCCGACATGCTGCGAACATGTTACATGTGAATGCTGGCCGACATCTGGCCGACATGCCATGCAGATGGAAAAGGTTATGTTTTGCAGTCTTTGATCCTTTCCATGTCATATATGATGGTTGATCCGACATGAATGGTTTCCCCAACAGTTCTCCCCCAAATGGCTACAAAAGAAGTCAGTCCTGAGAGCTGTTTGACACAAAAATAGCAACAATAGCTAACTAGACTTAAGTCAAACCTAAGTATGATCTAACTCCAACCTAACTAAAACATTGTAACTAGCCTAAGTTGAACTGAGTATACTCAAGTAACTTATAAGTAATGATCTATACTTACAAGTTACTTAACATAATTTAAGGCAAGTTATATCAAATTGTAAGCAGCTTATGAATAGCTTATAAGCCGATTGTAAGCAACTTATACATTAAAAAAAACTTAAGGTAGAAATAAGCAGTTCTAAGTAGTTACAACTAATAGATGGCCACAATTGTATGGTTAAACATTCGCTTTGAACTGGAACTGCCCAATTCTGGGACCAAGTGAAGAGAGCAATTTCCTGGTCGGCATGAGAAAGATCACCAGCAATTCAACCCCGTCACCCCACCAATCTTCCAGATCCTCCTCGCCAAAAAAAAAACGAGGTACCCAAAAAATTTGCAGAATACACAAGAAGTACTTTGAAACAAGGACATGTGCTTCTCTCGCGAACATCATTTTTGCAGCATCTTTGAATTTCGAAAAAATGATTTGGGTCTAATAAGTCTAATGTATTGTTTGGGTCAAAAATGGGATATACGAAGAGTGGATGCATGACTCCAGTGATCTCCAGGTCTTAACAAAACCAATTAACACATTCTAGCATTGTTTGTTAGGCCTCTACACCCTCAAAATTTGACACGCAAGCAGCACACTTTATATAGTATATTCCGCAGACTAGCCGCCAACAAACGAACCGTCATCTCTTGTGTAGATTCTCACTCTTCAAGCTTAATGGTTTAAGAGCCCCATGCCTTGCAATTTCAATTTCCTAGGTTTAGTTTCTAATTTCCATGTTCGAGGCTTAAAAACAGCATGTACAGATTAGATCTACTTTTGTGCGGATAGTACAGTATCCGTATGTTCGTTCGCTCACGCGAGGGAAATACTTGTGCAGAACCATTGCTAATCTCAAGTAGGTTTGATACCATGCATATATATATATATATATTTGTAAATATATAAATACTGTATGTATGATTATGTATGTGTATAAATAAAAATATATATATATATATATATTATACTCTGTATGTGCGTGTGTGTGTCTATATATATATATATATACATGTATGCTGAATATATGTATGTACAATATCTAATCCCATCCCCTATCTTAAACATCCCCAGAAACAAACCTTATTTGGGACCAAAGAGTAGAGATGTTCAATTTTATAATATGATTCAAATACCTCGAAAAATCTTAGCCACCATCCAGGTTCCCCATTCGGTAAGCATCACCCAACGGGTCCCGTGCCCCACCATGTCCCACCTGCGTAATCGGAGAGGTCTCGCCGAAAGTTCTTGCTGCGCAAGGCATCGCAAACCTGCAATGTTACAAAAAACGGGTGCTTCCTTCAGTTGTCACCTATAAGCAAGTAAAGTTGTGGCCCTTTACCAGCTATAAGCCAGTTTTAGCCCCATTTATGGAATGTATAGCCATGTATAGCCATTTAAATTTAAAGTTAAAGGGATTATATAACTGTAGATCGAATCTGTGTTCCCCATGTAGCTGACAAAGTAGCCGCAAAGGAGAGGTCGTCATCCACCAAGGGCTCCAGCCGGTGAAGAAAGAGTCCAGATATCGCTTGGTTGGGACGAAGGTACTCAAACAGAATAAAGTTTCCGAAGGCGATACTTGACAAATCCTCCTGGAGAAAACGGTGGAAGATACAACCAAAGCTTGGAGGAATACGTCTTTTTCATGAGGCTCGAAATTGTCTCGTTGGCCTTCAGGCCCAAGTCCACCTCAAGCTTCATCGGTTTTGCCCTTTGGACAGCTTCGATTTTTGACTTTCTCAAGTAGCTACTGCTGTCAGTGTAACTCCGGATTTTCTCAATAACTGCCTCCTCTTCACCGGAAATTTTGTATAAAGTTTTTGTTTGCATGTCAAAATGAACCTTCGAAAGTGCCCAAATCGATAAAAGCGAGAAAAACATCTTGAACCGGGCGAAGATGAAGTGACCGTCTGGCAAGGGAGGGGCAGCTTTGGCTGAGGCTGCCGCACCCGTCTGTGTGCCAATGCTCATGCGGAACATTGGCCGTTCTTGGGCTCCCATGTTGGTGATTGTTGAGCTGGGACGCAACGCATCCAAATGCCTCGCGTTGCAAAGCGAGCATTTTTTTCGGATCACGCTGGAGCAACGAATTGTTACTGCCCCATACTTCCATGACTTGCCCTAATTTATGATCTCTTCTGGAAATGCCAACTTCTTGATATTCTGCAGGGGTGATCTGTTTGATCATCCGCTGAGACGGTGCACAGATATACCCTCACTAATCCCATGAAAAACCACCATTTTGGTTTGTTTGGATTACATAATCTACAATATGTTCTTGGATGTGCGTCCCACTTAGTAAGTCGTTTGTAATCCATATGCAACCCATAGTTCATCCCATCTGGTCCGGTAGGGATATGGACTGTTTTGTTGGACCCATTGACTAAGTGGGGCCCGCACCCCAAAGTAGGGCTTATGATACATGCAACCACTATCATTGGTTTATAAAGCCATTATAAAGCTATCCATAGATATAGGTGATTTATGAACACCACTATCATTTATCTATAAGTATTGGGGGTTGTAAACCAATTGCCCTCCAGTAAATTAACACATACCCTGCCAGATAGGGCTTGGTTCAGAAAATCGTTTCCAAAAATGGGTGATTTTCAGGGTCCAAGTATTAGTTGACCAGAGGCTAAATCCCATTGATCATCCCACTTGTCAGTTATATCCACCATCATTAGTCACTATTAACAGAATAATGTGGGTAAAACAATAATAAGCCATCCCCCAAAATACCGTAAATAGGTGGTATTAACCACTACTAAATCACCATTAAACAATGGATAATACCACTCAAACAACTATGAATCCCCCTAATTAGTCACTATTAACCACTATGAGTCACTGTAGGGATCACTATTCATCCCAGAGGCTCATTTTTACCACTACTAGCCACAATTAACCACTATTAATAACTATTAACTACTATTAATCACCATTAATCACCACTAAATCCTCCAGTTGCGCCTGGTGGTGTGAAGCCTGCGCCCTGGTCCATCTTTGGTACATGTGTCGCCCCTCAGGGGTATCCTGGAGCCGGAGCGAAGACAGTTTCTTCACCGGCAACAAACATGATGATAGCTAAGTTGATGAACGTAACCAGGTGAATTCTATGGTTTATGGTCGATATACGTCTAGTATTCGTGGGGCTGAAAAAACGTTTTTCGCCCAACCGTTGCAGGGTTTTTTTGGTACTGCAATTCCCCATCATATTCACAAATGAAGGACATCACTCAATTAACAGGGTTGCTCCTAAAACGGCAAATACCTTTGGGAGGTTTACTTTGGGCATATGAAGACGCGCAATTGCCAATTCCACCACCTGTGGCCGTCATTTGCCTAAAGCAGGTTGGAGCACCTGTGACTTACACTTGAGGATAACCAGCTCGTGGCCTTTGAATAACCCCATGACATTACAGTAGATCTCAACATCGCGGAGTCATGACTGGTGAAGCAATGTTCAAAATCCTTTTGACCGGTGTTAAAAACGTTTTTTCCCATCATGGATTTTGATAATCCCAAGAGAGAAATGGCTAATATAGCCCCCGGCCATCATCAACCAACAAGGGTTTTGAATGGCTTTCAATTGCAAATCCCTTGAACAATCCCGGAAAAAAGTCAATGCAAGTCCACCTCAAAAAGGAAACTCCAAAATGGTTTAAAACGCAGCCACAGCGAACCATGGTGTCCTTGTTGATGGACGAGATCACATTTTCCAACAGTCGCTCTTGAGCGGCTTCTTTGATCTCAGCGCTATCGGAGACTCCACAAGGTGCTGCACCATACAATTATGGCCATGGCTATGAGTTACAACTTATAACTGGTTATTTCTATGGGATCATACGTAAACCAGAAATGGGGTTATAGTACTTATAAATACTTAGAACTGTTATTTTGGGCCATAAGTGTGAGTTTATATCTAATGAACTCCAAAAACTTGGCTTTTGATATACTGTACATTTGTCTCTAATTAATAGAGGTTATAGACCATTTATAGACCAACTTTATAACTGGGGTCGCAGCACCTTGCAGGTCAGGAATGTCGTCCCTTTTTGATCCTGGTGGGTAAACATCACTCCAATTTCACTATAGGCTTCTAGATACACATATATATATATATATATATATAGAGCTAGTTCATGGTAGATGTAAAATAAACGATCCAATCGAAAAAGATCCGCAATGCCTGGCTACCATATTTCTTTTCGCTAATAACCCGTGAAACTATGGGGTGTATCCCATAACTGGCTTATTATGTGTGGTTAAACCATAAATATTGATCAGTGTTGAAGACTCTTTGTTATTCTTTATAAGACTGGATGGTGAAGGACGGATTTCTCGTTCATGGATTGTGATATTCACCAATAGTAGATAAAGGTTATAAATAAGTTATGAAGGTGAGTAAAATCTTCCCATGAGCTCCCCCAGTTTTCACGCCTTATCATCATTTTCCCGTCCTTTTTGGTATGGAAATTCTTGGTTCATACTACCCAAAAGCTTGCAGGATCACTGGAAAAAAGTGCTCGGTTCAACCATAAAACCCATTGGTTGCCATTGGTAGAAGCCACTTAACTGAAACGAACTGGGTTACTCACCAGGGTTACTAACCTGTCACTAAGTCATGGATGATCTTCGTGGGTTTTCGACATCGAACGCCACGCCTGTTCCTTGCCAGGACCTGGCGGCCGGTGGATCATCAGAGTCGCTGGTTTCGCTGGGATAAGCCACGGCGGTTTTAGGGGACTTACGATCAGAAAAACTAAGGTAACTGATGGGAAAATCACCATGTTTAATGGGTAAATCCACTATTTCGACTAGGCCATTTTCAATAGCTATGTTAGTGTACCAGAGGGTACGTTCAGCAGTTATTAAGTGGAATTATCCCCAAGAAATGTAAATACTCCACTGGAAACCACAGTTAAGAAGGGGACTCACACGGATGTATTTAACCGTAAACCCGAACAGTAGCCAAGATATGAAGCAACTTAGCCAACTAATTCCCATCAAATCACCTTCTTTTACAGGTAAAATATCTATCATGCGGTTTTCCACCTTGTACCGTTATGGCTCAAAAAAAACGCTTCAAGTAATTATACATAACCCCAATTCTGGTTTATGTATAATCCCATAAAAAAGCAAGTTATAACGATCATTGATCACCATTAGCCATTATTAACCACCATTAATCACCATTAAGAACCAATTATTTCACTTTCTAGAAATCACCAGTTATAATTCCATAGAAATCAGTTATTTCCCTATGTTTGTGTATAATCCCATAGAAATCACCGGTTCTTTCAGCATGTAGGTTTTCAGTTTTTCTCCCATCAACAGCTCCACGTTCCGAGCCTTCCAGGCTCGCCAAAGTGCCTGCAAGGATTGTGATGGCTTGCCATGAATTTTCTATGTGAAATGGATGGTTTCCATAAATGGAGGTATCCCAAAATGGATGGTTTATAATGGACAATCCCAATCTAAAATGGATGATTGGTCTAAAATCCCATGACGGATCCATGGTGCTGGTATATTAATGCTAACATAAAGGGGGTATATTGATGGGATCAATGTTAGCATATATAGCAGCACCATGGATCCTATGGGAATGGAAAGCCGAAAATAAACAATTGATGATTTAGGGGTACCACCATTTCAGGAAACCTCATTTATATGTGAAGAAAATGGATTGGATTGGTTGAAGGGAATTGAATGGAACATCTACAGGAAACATTGCTTTTACCATCAAATACCGGGGTTTCCTGCAAATTTTCCCTTCAACCAATCCAATGACTGTTCGGTTTTATGTGTTTAACTAGATTTAGTAATGGTCCTATGGGAGATATATCTGGGCAAACTATGGTAGATTATGGAATTATGGCAGTTATGGTAAATTACAGTATTTTTGTATGAGTATTTGGCGAATCTGAACCTTGCGGCCAGCTATGGTCCCTGAAACCTAACCATCCAGGCTTCGATCGCAGGGTTCGGTCCTTTTTTGTGGACTCCGGCAGTTTATCACTGGGGTGAACCACCAAGGGTTTGGCTAGTCCGTGCTGCAAAACTGGAAGAACATCCCACTTATAACTGGGTTTTGCACATCCAAAATATGGTACGTCAGTGGTATATAACCCAAACATGGTGATAGGACTCACATCCATCCACATCATGTTGACCCAAATGTTTGACCCATACAAGTTTGGGTAACACTCATCGTGATGGGAGGGAACTTCGGACGGACTCACCAATGGCCACCTTACAAGAACGAACAATGACGAACACTTCGGCTGAATCGCTGATATCAAAAACCTGAAAAAATCCCCTTTGTTTGAAGATGTTGTACAAGTATGGTTGTGAACTAAAAAGTAAAATCATGATAAACTGATAAACCACGAGATTTTGCGGGGAACTATCTCTTCCAGCAAAAAGAATGCCTTGGTGACTACCCCTCAGTGGATGGCTTCATCAACCCTGATTCTGTCGCCTGGGTACACGTGGTAAACCACTGTAGCCACCCAGTTCTGTGTCTTGGTCATTCAACTGCAGATTCCATGATGACAAGAAACGTCACCCACTTGAAAAAAAAACATGTTTAACTCAGTCAAGCACTGTGAAAATCCGACTGGAACATCCCCTAGCTTGGTTGGTGAATGGAAATTCTCAGCTCATAAATGGCTATGAGTCAAAACCCTCGTGCCCTACGTACCTTAAAAATAGTGGTATAGCTGGATGGTTATTCCAGTCATATGGTAACGATAGGTTTTGACCTATCCCCATGAGAATTTCCAACAACATATCGTTTTTTAGAAACAGTTTCCTATTCTACAATTTTTCAAATGTTGAAACAGTTTTCCCCAAATATATTTCTACAGTTTCCAAACACCGGCACCGAAACTGCTCAAATCATCCCAAAATCCATCAAAATCCCTTACCTCGGTACCTCGCCTCGGCATTTGATTTGGTCTCCCAGGAAATCTTGGAAGTTCCCACGAACGCCCTGCGGAGAGTCTTCCCATCACGGCCCCCTATGAATCTGCATCAGACAGACATGTGAATTTGTTTTGGGAACAAAATGAAACTGGATAAACATGGGTACAGGATGGTGCTTTTTCCAAACAAACTACATTGTTTTCTTATAAGTTTATTGATTTGTCATGGCATATTTGATCCAAACATAGTACTGTACTGTTGTGGAATTTCGTGAGTTATTACAGCCAAAGTACTTGTATTATCTACTTGGTGGTGGTTTCACAATGCCTAAACAACCATAGACAGTGATGATCCCATTGTTATTTTCGAAAACACAGACGTGAAACCACCATTCAAATTCTGGTTGGTAATATTCCCATTCTAGACATTTAATTTTCCCATATACCCTCCAGTAAACTAACGTAGCTATGAAAAAATGTTATAGATGATTTACTGGGAAACAAAATGCTCATTTTCCATAGCCCTCTCAGTTTACCAGAGGCTAGCTTAAAGGATCTCGACACTTCCTATCACTTCCTATGTTGATATCCACTAAACCAGAAGTTAGCAACTCTGTGGGATCAACATATGTTTGATGTTTATCAACATTCATAGTTAAACATGTGTATATTCAACTATATTAAGGATACCACCGTTCTGCAGTGAGCCATTCATATATTTGTCAACTGTATATATTCAACTAACTCTAGTAGTTATTTTATAGTCAACCATCAACATTTATCATGTTATATGGTAATAACATGTTGTCAAATATACCATCTGGTTATTTAACAAAGCCATTGAACATGGCCCATTTATAGATGTTTTTTGATGATTTGTCTATTAAAAAAGGTGATTCTCCATAGCTACGTTAAATTACCAGATGGTAATAGTTGAACATTTTTATATTTATATGTATATACCCATTATATAATAGTGAGTTATATATTAGAAATTTATTCAGAAATAGTTAGTTATACCCATTCATAGTTAGTTATAATATTTTTTTTTATGTTTATATATATATATATATACCCACAATGTGAGGCCCCCTAGATAGCTAACTTGGTTTATAACTCCAATAACTATGGATTGTGTTATTTAAAACTATAGTTACTGGGGCTTATAAACCAACTTATATCTTGGGGGCCTCACATTGCATGTTGTACTTATAAACCATTCGTTCAACGACAACCCCGACCGAGTCGGGTGGTTCGACCCCGTCGGCGTCCGTCGCCTTCCAGGCGGACACGCGGCGTCGCGCGAGCCGGCCCTGAACGGAGCTGGGGAGATCACCTGTTGTGTACACCCAAAGAATGGCCGTTTTAATGGTGATTTAATGGGATTTCACATAGAAAAAATTGTGATTCAATGAGATTTAAACGAACAGTGAAATGGTTATTGATGAGTTTTAAATGGTGATTAGTGGTGATTAACGGTGATGAATAGTGACCTATAATGGTTAATAGCGGCTAAACATGTGATTAAAGATAGTGAAATAACTGGTCAGTTCTATGGGATTATACATAAACCATGAATGGGGTTGTTTCAGTACTTATCACTGGTATGACAAGGGCCATAACTGTACTGTATACACTTGTGGCCTTTAAACAAGGTTTTAACTCTTAACTGGTGTATTTCTATGGTGAATTCTATAGTGGTTAATAATGGCTAGCAGTGGCTAAACATGTGATTCATGATGCACCTATGGCCCTTGCGGCCATTCAAAAAAATCTCGGGTAATGACTAACAGTTCGCTATTGAAAATGGCCGTTGATAGTTAATATACCTATGAAGCATGGTGACTTTCCATAGCGATGATAGTTTACTTAACTGGTGTATTTCTATGGTGATCAATAGTGGTTCCTAATGGTTAATATTTGCTAATAGCGATTGCTGATGCTATTTTAACTGGTGATATATGTCTATGGGTTTATACATAAACCATAATAAATGGGGTGGCTAAGTACTTGTAACTGGTATGTAAAGGGCCATATTTGTATACATATATAGTAGTGTGGAAATAAATCGATGTGTGTGTGTATCCCAAAACATAGTATACCCCCAAAATTGCATTTTTTCTGCGAGCAACACAATCATCAATCACTGGATTGAGGGAGTACCACATTTAGAGGAAACAGACCCATGTGTGTATATAAATATAATTATACATGTATATATACATACATTGGTGTATCACATCACTATATATATATATACAGTACAGATATCCATGTTCTATCTTCATCTAATATCCCATCAAATGAATGTAGATAGTATATCGCATCTTGAACAAGAACATGAAAATCACATCAAACCTGCTGTAAAATAACGACATAGATGTGAAAAAAAAACACAGATCATGTTCCAAGGACATTTTACTTTACTCTAGGACAATGACATACAATGACCTCCTTTTTTATGGCGGTTTCCAAAGTCACAGGGGTACCCGAAATCATCCAAGTCAGTAGAACAATGTAGTATTGAAAGCCATGGTGACTTGGGGATCTGCCACCTTAAGAAACCTTCAAATCACGAAAAAAAAACAAATTTACTATATTATAGTTCCATTCAATCTCTATAAATCCTGATGTTTTTGGGGATCCACAACCATGACTTTTCACAACGGATGCCACGGTCGACCCCCGGCCCGCGACGAAGCACTCTCCCAATTGTGCCCAGCGACATCAGCTGGCTCCATCACATGGCATCACGCTCCTGTGGCGAAATGCAGGGGTTTTGCCAAAAACAATCAGCTACTGGCAATGTGGCTATGGGTCAAAACCCTGGTGCCCCTGGTGAACCCCAAAATAGCTGGTAAATGGATGTTCATCCCACTAAAAATGGTATGTATAGGTATTGATCCATAGCCATGTCTTGGGGATTCTTTTTTTGGGGGTTCACCGCATGTGGGTTTTTTTTGGTTTTCATGGTTGGAAACCCATAGGATCTGGGAAAAAAAAGGGCTAGATTCAATTGGCGAAATGGGTTTACGCCATGACGGGATGGTTCCCCAGTTTCGGGCTGCTGGTGCAATGGGTTGAATTTCACGTTTGGGTTGATAATGTATAAATTCAAGTCTTTGTATCAACCCAAATTAATTATATAATATTATATATACTTAATTAACACAAATATTTGCACTTCACGTTTGGGTCGATACCTAATGGTGGGGGACCACATTGTATTGTTGCTTCAAGTCTTAGGATATTTCCTGGAAGATGATCCTTAATGGTTTTGGTAAGTGTGAGAAGGGTGTCATCAGGATGTGAAATCATGTATTCATAGAGCGGCAGTGCGGAAATAATATATCTATATACACAATTGATCATAACTAAATAATGATTATATGTGGTGATATCTGGATGAAACATTGATAATGGTTGGAAGACACATATTGTCATATTCTAATAACACAAGTAGTAGTAATGATAACAACGATTTACTGTAATTCAATCATGTGCCCATGGTCACATGTTGGGATGCTTCAAACACATACATGTGGCACATCTATTAGAATTCCGAACTTGGTAAGTTGCCTTTGCTTGGGATATCTTGGGATGATACCCCTTACATCTCACATTCTCTGTTGCATGATGCTGGCAAAGTTCGACCTGTGTCTCCTCTAACTCTCATGGTTGGTTAAACAGATTTTTAACTTCCTGGATCGGTTGAAATATGACCCACTTGAACCAGTATGGATATAGTTGGTATAGTTCTACTCAACATGAAACCAGTTACAGTCCTAGTGGATATTTTGCTACTCACCAGGACCCACCATGAAATGTGGCATCGCTGACGGAGATGCTTTGAACTTGGATACACCATATTCCACCAACAATAACAAGCAACACGAGGCTTTGATGAGCAGACCTGTTCACAGGCTAGAGCCAATACTGGGGCTAATTCTAAGATACCCTGCCAAAACCCATCTACCATGTTCCTTTTGAATATCCAGGAAGCCGGGGGGATTCTTACTTTACTAACCAACTGAACAATATTTAAGAGGGGGAGAAACCCAAAGAAACACTCATTTTTGGCATACCCTGCCAAAAATAAGTGTTTCTTTGGGTTTCTCCCCCTCTTAAATAGGAGGATCATCAACCCAGACTGGAGGATAAAGTTTTATGTGTCTGAACTACGGAAAGCTTTTGTGGTTATACCTGCCCAAAACCCTCAATGTGTTGCTGGTAAAACCTTTTCGTTTGTTGGTTATATATCATCCATCAACATTTCAACACATGGTTATGGAAGCTAAAACCCTCCAGCTATATTGCTGGTTTACTGTCAGAATTAATAATGAAGGGAATATAACCCAAGATTGCCAATTTTTGCCAGTTAACCTCCATTGCTTACCCTCTGTGTCTTCATTGTAGCAATAGAACATCACCATTTTCAATGTATAAGTCATCATAAATCATCTATACACGGGACATTTTCCGCAGCCATGTAGCAAATAACCAGATTGGTGTTGACTATAGATCCCATGATAACCTAATATGGTACTTCCAAATCTTAATCCATGATCATCATTTTCCCTACAACACATAATACAATGGTTATTTGTGGTGTTCCCCATAAAGTAATCCCAGGCAACCAGTGATTTTCCCTATTCCCTCTTACATGTTACAGTGTTTTTTGTTTTTCAGACCAACCCATACACTTATGGCATGTTATGGCACGAAATACCAGTTGTAAGTACTTATAACCCAATTACTGTAATGGAATGTATCATCATAGAAAAAACCAGCTGTAACTAATAGCCATGGCCATTTCACTGCGTATTTCTCAATTCCCCCCGTCTTTTTATTGTCACCACTGCCCAGCACCGCGCGGAAATCCCGGAATCCGACGACCTCTTTGAGGATGCGCCAGTCAGCGGCACCCTGAAGTCTGTCGGCGCCGAAAAGAGTTCGGGCTTTCGAAACATGGGGGGGGCACCCCAAACTAGTCGTGTTATGATGTTTTATAATGGACAATCCTATGGTACCCATTTTGGAACACCCCCATTTGGGTATTTTAGAGGAAAACATTGGGAACTGTGTTCTTTTTTGGGGGGACGGGGACTATTTTTGGGAATAGTTCGAGGTCAAAGAATAGTAATGTGGTAAACCCAATCATACAGCATCCCCAAAATCACCAAAAATGGGTAGGATTATGAATTATAAAGGATAACCATCCCATACCATCCCCAAATGGTAGGTTTATGGCCAAGGATTTCCCACATTAACTTAAACAACTTCAACATATTGTCCGAACGCATTCATCAGCTTGGAAGTATCTGGTCAATGCTCCAATGTCATACATGAGCCGATGAGTCCAAAATGTTCTGCATGTGGGGGTTCGATGAAACCACGATTGGCTGGTGTGTTCTTTTCCGTGAATGTTAGTACTGTATGTGTATAGGCACCACTGGACCCAGAAAAGTGGTCATTTCAGCATCGAACTATCAATTTTTCATCATGTATCAAATCAACAAAATTCAAACATTTTTTGGCTGCATCATGTGGTAGGCTGATTCCATTAGATTCAAGCACCTCTTGCGGACACTCCCCCAAATCACCCCATTCTCATCCTCCACTCGAAACGACATGCATGTGTTCTCGTATACTAGGGAACGTTGATACTTTCCATACTATAAGTTACCACACACATTATACATCTAATCCCTTCCTCCTAATACTAAACGTCCCCCTAATACTAAAAACAGGCATCCATCTCCAATTTCCGAAAATTTCAGTTTGGCCAATTTGACTTTTAATTGATCCCCTTTAAAAAACAATTAAAAATCAACCTACCATTTGTGGGTTCTCCCCCCTAATACTAAAAACTAGTTCACCCCGGGGTGTTTAGTATTAGGGGGGCCTAGTCCCAATCCCTCACTCCAAGCTGCCTGGCTACTCTAGCAATTAGGGGTAAGCTTCGAACTGCCATTTTTGGCAATATTTTAATTGCGTTATATAAGGAAATTTAATTGATTTTGAGATCGGAAAAAATAGTTTTTAGTATTAAGGGTTTTAATTTAGTATTAGGGGTAAGCTTCGAACTGCCATTTGTGGCAATATTTTAATTGCGTTATATAAGGAAATTTAATTGATTTTGAGATCGGAAAAAATGGTTTTTATTATTAAGGGTTTTAATTTAGTATTAGGGGTAAGCTTCGAACTGCCATTTTTGGCAATATTTTGGTTCCCTAATAATAAATACCCCCCTAATACTAAAAACTACTTGCCGTGTTTTGTATTGGGGGGGGATGGGGGTTTAGTATTAGGAGGAAGGGATTATTTGTTTATGGATATTTCTGGTTCAATCATGAACAAATTCACAAACCAACACAACATCCGGCTTAATTAGGTGTTGCGCGTAATCCATATTAGTGCCATGGTCAAGTGGTGGAGTAATCCCATCGGGAATCCCTGATCATCCCGGAACTTTTGTCAAGACCATGGCAGATATCATCTGTTGGCGTATATCCCACTTGTTGTTGGGTTTGTTCATTGGACAAAATAAATATATTGTTCATAGTATTTAAATTCTATTTAACTTCCATATTAAATTCGGCATGCAAATGAGTCTCATATTGAATCCCATGTAAGTACCATAAAAGTCCCATTAAACCCCATATAAGTCCTAATTTCATCAGTTTCATTGATTTTGGAAGACCACCCACGGTTGCTGCATCCATGACACGCTGCCGCTGCATCTCTGACCCACCATGAGGTTGAGCCACGAGACGGTGTCCATGCGGATTCGTGGGGGATCTTTATCTTGGATTTGATTAAAGGGGTGGATAAATAACAATCATATCTATAGAAAAGGGGTTTAATTCACATTTGATAATCTATGTTATCTTTACAGTGAATTAAAGGGGTCCCAAAAAATAACAACAATATTCACTATAGATTCCCCCAAATGGTGGATTTTCATGGATTTTCCATGGGCAAAATACACTTAAATCATCTCCAGCAAATCCACGTTATGTATGAAACAAGGTGGATTTCATGGGAATCAAACAACAACAAATTGTGTCGGATTGGGATTTACTGTACCATCTGGTAATCAAACATGGCTTGCTGGAAAATCCATGAAAAAATGTGTTTTTTAATAGGATAAAATGGTTTGACCTTGCATTTTCTGGCTCAAAGCCATGAAAAAAAAGGTTCTCTTCGTTTGAACCTCCAACGAACTTGAGAACCACAATTGTCCCATTTTTCGGGGAAAGCTGGGGGTTGGATGGGGTTAGCGTCAGATTATTTATCTCCACTCGGACCGACTTAGATGGGATATATTTCCCATAACCCATGAGGCCGTGGGCCACTATTGCAAAAAGTATCCCAAGTTCTCAAAGTTTCAATCTTTAGAAATTAACCAAACGCATCACAATTACCTACCACCGAGTAGCGAGTTTTCCATGGACAAGAGTTTTGTTTTTTGATGGTACTGCGGCTGTCACTACACTGATCCTGGGATAGATGAAACTCAAAGGCCAATATCCACTAGATCAAGCATCGAAAATTGATTTCAAACAATGTTATATCATGTTATATCTAGTCCAAAAAGCGCAAGTGTTTAGCATACTATAGCCGTCATACTATAACCTCTAATTTCAAGACAAAGCGCCTCTGACGATTTCTGAGATTCCTCACAGAATTTCAGAAGAGACCAAAAACAGGTGAAACCATGCTGTAAGTGGTGCCCCCATGTTGGCCAAACGCTCGGTTTTTCAAGCGATCCGCAACTCGGAGGCATTATGGCTTGAGCCCGGGATACATCAGCAAGTTCCCAAAGTTTCCTCAGCAGCCGGGGTGGTTTTGTCGGATAAAACATACCCCCAAAATGCGTGGCATGTTTTTATAGGTTTTTAGTCTCTGTGAAAATAAATGACAAACATGATGGGATACGAATTTTAGGTTTTAAGTGTTTTTAGATGTTTTTAGTTTCTGTTGGACGCTGGGAATTGGGGTATCATTTTTGACAGAACATCTTCACTTTTTGGATTTACTTGGCTCAGGCCTTCACTTCATGGGGCCTCGATTCCAACCCTTGCACAGCAGCTTTTTCAAGCTCTGTGAAGTTGGGGTCCTTTGGGTAAGCACCCTGCAGCTTCGCTATCTGGAAGCTTGTCATCCAGCCATACAAAGACTTCTCAGTCTCTTGGAGCTTTTCCAGGCTTGTCTTGTGGACCCATCCAATTGGGGTGGGTGATGCAGTCGGCAGCAATCTGCCGCATGAGCGCTTCGGCTCGCTCCTTGCCACCGATAAAGTGGACCTTCTTGCCTCTTTCATTGCTGTCCAGCAGGAAAATGTTGTAGCAGAAGTCTCTCTTTGCTTGTTGGGTCCCTTTTTTCTTTGCCTTCTCCCAGGCATTGCGAAGCTTGGGTGTGGACATCATCACAGTTCATCAGTGGATCTTTTCCCCAGTTATAAGCACGGCAAGTAGAGTTAGTCCAGTTGTAATTCACAGGGTAGCACTTGGTGGCTCATCCCAGTTAGAAACTGCAGGGTTTTACCCGTTAAAACCCTACGAACTAGCCCTTGCTGAGTCCGTTTGGAGGTGGAATCTTTACCAAACACGTACCAGTCTCTCACCTTGTCCCTACCATCATGTCCTGCAAATATATTGGTCATCTAGAGGTAAAATCTCAAGTGTGAAATTGCATCTGGAAAAATATCATACTAAACCTCTATTGTATCTAGTTACATCTAGTTACATCTCTTGTTGTATGTAGTGTAAATCCATGTATCTGGAGAAAGATGTAGGGCCTGAAAAATGTAGTACATTTGGAAGGTAAAACCTTCCTAAATGTAAGCTACATGTTTTAAGGTGCCATTTATGTGAAGGGGTTTCATTTTTTAGAAAAGTTTCTGGCAGTGGTGTTGGGAAGTTGGCCATGGAAAATGTAAGCTGGTGGTTTTAAGGTAGTATTTTGGATGAACAAATACAGGTGTTTGGAACCTCACCAAAGGGATCTTACATTTTTGGTCCTATGATTCCGTGGGTACCTTGAAGATGTGAAAAATACAAGTTGGTGACCTTCAGCTCCTATTTGAATGAAAAAAATGCAGGTATTTGGACCTCCTCCAACTCATCTTACATTTTTTACCCCAAGGAGGATTCCCTGGTTACCTTGAAGATTTGTGTTGCTCTTGATTGTTTTTTTGGTTTCCACCTTCTTTTGTGCAGTTTTTGCAGCAATAATTAGGTGGTGGGCCATGGAAAATGTAAGGTGGTGGTGCTGAGGTCTTGTTTCCCCTGCAGGTGTTTGGAACCTCCCCCAAGGGACCCACCAAGGGACCTTACATTTTGTGGTGTGGCCAGCCAAATCTGGTCAGGTGCCAAAAAGGCGGGAGGGCAGGAAAAATGAGTTACAATTTGTTGGCCCACCCCATTTGCATGGTCACAACATGCCTGGTGTATTCTGGCCCAGAATATTCTTTGACAAAGAAGTATCTTTTTGTTCAACCCTCTAATCACTCAACCAATACTGGTGGCTTATATCCTAAATGAACATTTTGTTGGTGATTGTGTTTATAAACCATGGGATCTACGACGTGTCGTACCCAGAAGTTCTAAGTTGGTTTTTAGAACTCGCATTAAGACTAGAGATATCTATAGATATATTTACCATAAACCAAAGAATTAACCTAGTTATAAATCATCTTAGCTCGCTAAATCCCAATAAATCAAATTGAGTCCAATAAAATCCAATTAATTGCCAGGAAATCCCATTAAATCCCCATATCCTTTTCAACCCAAGCATACCCAAGCCATGTCTTTCGACTTCCAAGTGGCCCGTTACATGCACAGCCAAGTGCCAGGGTGTGCTCTTGTGAAATTCCTTTCCTTAGATAGCGAAACAAACATTTGTGAAATGCCCAGGATTGAAAAACACCAGGTGAATTCGATGGCTTATAGTAGGTATACCTATACTTAACGGTGTGGAACTAAACCAACATACAGAATTGTGTGACTGATTTTGAGAAAAAACAAACTAACCTATCACAGCAGAGATGTCTATATCGTTGATGCGGCTTATAAACCAACTTTCATGTTCACTAGCCCACCTGCAAATGGTTCATGGCTAAAGGACGGTTTTATGGATATGGAAAATCCATCATTTATAGATGCACATCTATAAAGGACTTCCCATTATGCCATTGCCATGTTTGATTTTTTTTCACTACCACAGGGTAGATGGATAGATGGATAGATCGATGCCCGTTGCGGGTCTGCGGTGGTCCCAAGGAGATCACGGCGATTCAAAGATGAGAAAATCTGGGTGTCTCTCCGTTATGGCCCGAGTTATACTAATTGGAAGTACTGAAATAACCCCATGGTTTATGTATAATTAGTGGATTTACTCACTAAAAATGGTGATTTTCAACAGCTATGTTAGTTTACCAGAGGGTATAAGTGCTTATAAACCCATTTATGGTTTATGTATAATCCCATTGTCCCATTGAAATAACCAGTTATAACATGTTATAACCATCATTAAGCATTCTTAGCCATTACTAACCACTACTAATAAGATCTAATAAGCATGAATCACCATTAAGAACCAGTTATTTAACTAAATAGCCATGGCCATGTAGGTCTTCAACTTTTCAGTCAGAAGATGGTAGACAAGTGTTTCCAGGATGTTTGGTGGCTCATCCCACTAAGTATACGTTATAACCCCAGTGATTTCAGAGGGATAACCCGATTTATCCCACTTATAGCCAGGGATATAACCTACTAAGTGGGATGATCCACCGGTAGTTCGATGATATTTGCCTCATATTTGCAGGTGTCCAATGTATCTTCTACAGTAATTAGTTATCTTGGTGTTGCTATAGGATATATCCCCACGAAATGGCCCGCCAATTACAAGTTGGTTCAAGTCGGTGTACAAACTCCATTAACTATTTCGTTATCTCTCCCATAATCAATGGGAATTCCATGGAATTCCAGGATCCTAAAATGGAGGTACTGAGGTACTGTACTATGTAAAGCCATAGAAATTGGGTGTATATCCCCTTACATAGCCCTGAGGAATAGGCCCCTGGTGACCCACCTTAAACCTAACACAGAACCTAACGGCTTGAGGAGCCATGGCCCTTAGTTGTAGCTATCGGGAAAAACATGTGATATCTTCCCAAATGAGAAGTTAGTGAAGCCTATGTTAGTACGATTTGGCTGTTCTAAGATTCTATCTCTTTGGAAAGTGGCTAAAGTAATCAGCATTTACTGGTTGGTTGACCCCATCCATGAAATATGATCACCCAATAGATTGGTTAGTATAATCTCCGAACCATTCATTAAGCAACGGGGGGGTTCACACATTCATTAAGCAACGGGGGGGTTCACACTGCTCACATCATGTCACCAATGGTTTGGTGGTGATTTTACAAAGTTCATCAAGAATGATCCATTGATTTCACTGGGTTTCGACCAACAACTATAGTGGATATCATTATTATGTATATATGGAAGTTTCATGAAATGGGGTTACCCAAAAAAAATCATCCATGCTAATAGGACTTTCCAATATTTGCACCGTCCAGCTATTGGTGTAGCCTCATTTTAGGAACCCCATATAGTATTGGATATTCTCCATTCATCTCACAACGACGAGAGATCACATTGACCTCAATAAACATACGATAGCAAGGTTTACCCATCAATCATATCTGGCCGTCCGTTTACCATAGGTAAGATGTTAAACGCAACTAGTTTGATTATGGTCATGGTAGATTCAGATATATTTTTAGTTCAGGGTGTTTCGAAACCAACTTATATAGAACATCATTATAAATACTGTTACATTAGGTGAATCATCATAATCATCTACAAGTTTATAAAGAACATCATTCCATCATTATTATAATAGGTAAATAATCTACTAGTTGGCCGATTTCCATCACGAATTGTTACAATCTTCTGGTTGGTGGTTGAGCCACCCCTCTGAAAAATATGAGTTCGCCAAATGGGATGATGACATTACCAACTGAATGGAAAGTCATAAAAGTCATGTTCCAAACCACCAACTAGATCTTTCCTTCCACAACTTTGGGGCTATGCTTAGCCAATCTGAGCCCGGCGTCTCGCCGCGAAATGCCTCGCTCTCAGGTACATGCCCACGAAGCAAACGGTCATCAAAGCATATCCTGAACGCTGAACTGATGGAAATTTTATGCTGAACCATACTTGCTACCTTTGTCGGGATTTAATTGGGATAGTGGTGTTTAATGGTATCCGAGGGTATTTGAATGGTATTGCAATGGTATTTCAATGGTGTTTAATGGTATCTGATGGTTTTTCAGTGGTATTCGACGGTACCCAAGTGTCTTTACTTGTATCTTGATCGCAACAAGGCCATAAGAACATAATAGCTCCAATAACTGTCAGACACAGAAAATATAAGTACGGTTAAGGGAGTTTATGGACTAACAAACCTAGGGGTCGCTACCTTGTACCAGGCTTCTTTACCAGTGACATTTCGTGGGATGGCGCAATATCCCCCCCTCCCACTACAGCCTGTTGGAGCAAAGGCTGGGATGTATGGACCAACACCTCAGTCGTAAAAGGTTGGACGGGTTAACAACCAACAGTTGAATCATTGTTTTGACCAACAAAAAATGTGGATTTAGCTTGATAGCTAAGTTGGTAAACCAAACTTGGGGGCACCACACCATGCTGTACAGTTCCAGCAAGAAAAGGGTCTATCAGGGTACAGGGAGGATTGATGAATTTAGGAATCAGGCTCACTGAGGCACTACCAATGAAGATTAGCTGCGCAGAATAGTGTGGGTCTATCTGAAAATAGGACACTTCTAAACGGTGGTTTCTCAACATGTTCCCTATTAATTATAGGGTTATGGGGTATACCGGTGTACCCGGTACAGGGCTTGCAATATTATGCTGAAACTATACTCCTATAGCGAATGTATCCGAAGAAACGCTGCCAAGTTCATGGATCAGCCAAGAACGATCCATACCAAGCTTCAAGGGCTGAGCCGGTTTTTACTTCTGCATGGAATTGTGGCGTCCTCCAGTTTTTAGTCAATGGTTTCCCATCTTACAAGATACTGTAACTATAAGATACCATAAATGTTTGTCCAGGTTTACCTGCCAATGATGGTCGTTTCAGCCATCCAAAGCAAAGCTTCTCGTAGCTGCCCTAGCTGCTTTCTCTCCGAGTCGTAGCCGCTGCTGGTGGGACAGCGTGGTCAGGTCCAACTTGGTTGTGTACAGCAGTCCTCTTTTGCAGAAGCGAGTAGCGCAGGTGCCACTTCGGACCTGGCAAAGCCCTGGTGACGATGAAATCCGATGGTTTCTGGCATCACCCAGACCCGGATCAATGTCTGGGACTGTTGAGGCATGTCCAACCTCATGATAAGCTTACCTTGAGCAAATCTCCATATTATATATTTTTTTTATGTATGAACCTTTATCCCTCCCAGCAAGAATGCACATCAACCATATGGTAGTCATCTGGTCTTCATTACACTTCCATGCGAAACAACAACAAAACACAGCAGAACCTTCTATTCTGTAAATAGTTTGTGTCCAATGTTCATCTTCCCATATACACCACCACTTTATGGTTTCCGGACAAACACAAACAGTCAAACAACGGTGGTTGAAACTTCGGAAGCCAGAAAAGTTGAAGGTGAAACCATCAATGACAAGTCCATTTATGGCGATCCTCCTGAAACAAATGCATCCCAAACCTTGTCTAAGTCATTGTTTTGGATGGGTTCCCCTTGATCTATCTTAATCTCATGTAATATCCTCAAGATTGAACGTCCATGGTGAGATCGTTTCAGGTCGCACATAAATTCTTCAAATGAATCAACCGGATGATGGTTAATCCCAACATTTTTGGTTGGTCATTTGATCATCTCTGCATCACCCATGATTTCATTGATCCACTTATCTACTCGCCATGAACCTCAGATCACAAGGGATTCACCCCAAATCCACACTGGAAGGTGAATAGGTTTGGAGCATAAATCACATATCCCACCATGATATTGCAAAACTATCCCACTGTGTTTTGCCAAATGCTGTCTATGCCCATTCTGAAAACATAATTTCAGAGTTAGCCAGCATAAATCACAAATCCGCCAACAATCTAAAATGTGCACTGGTTAAATCCATGTTTTTGCTGGGTACAGCCCCGTTTCTAGACAATTCACATAGCTATTGAACATTACCATGTTGAATAGTGTTGAAATCCAGGAGATAAATTAACAACAACAATGGCCATTTTCAATAGCTATTAGTTAAATGGCCCTTTTCAATAGCTATTAGTTAAATGACCGGTTTGGGTAAATCCCATTCACATCATGAAATCTCATGAAATTCCATGAAATGCCCTTTAATTTAAATATCATTAGATCCACATAAAAAATCACCCCAAATTCCCAACCCCCCACCCACCCCCCCATATCTTCCGATCCCATCCGTGCAAGGCGCCCATCCATGGTCTCAGGGGCTGGCACAGCAGCGCAAAGGGCGAGTCGGCAGCCAGGCCATGACCCAGAAAACCAAAGGCCACCATGCTGTGGTACCTGGATGGGCGATATCTGGGATCATTTTGGGGTGGAAAAAAGGAGGAAAACATTGACTTTCATATAGATTTTATGTAATCATATTCATATAGAATATCCCATGGGATATCCATACCAAATAATATACCAAGGTGATCAAAAATAGAATTTATGTAATCATATTCATGTAGAATATCCCATGGGATATCCATACCAAATAATATACCAAGGTGATCAAAAATAGATTTTACGTAATCATATTCATATAGAATATCCCATGGGATATCCAGACCAAATAATATACCAAGGTGATCAAAAATAGATTTTATGCAATCATATTCATATAGAATATCCCATGGGATATCCATACCAAATCATATACCAAGGTGATCAAAAATAGATTTTATGTAATCATATTCATATAGAATATCCCATGGGATATCCATACCAAATCATATACCAAGGTGATCAAAAATAGAATTTATGTAATCATATTCATATAGAATATCCCATGGGATATCCATACCAAATAATATACCAAGGTGATCAAAAATAGATTTTATGTAATCATATTCATATAGAATATCCCATGGGATATCCATACCAAATAATATACCAAGGTGATCAAAAATAGATTTTATGTAATCACATTCATATAGAATATCCCATGGGATATCCATACCAAATAATATACCAAGGTGATCAAAAATAGAATTTATGTAATCATATACAGATAGAATATCCCATGGGATATCCAGACCAAATAATATACCAAGGTGATCATATAGATTTTATGTAATCACATTCATATAGAATATCCCATGGGATATCCATACCAAATAATATACCAAGGTGATCATATAGATTTTAAGTAATCATATTCATATAAAATATCCCATGGGATATCCATACCAAATAATATACCAAGGTGATCATATAGATTTTATGTAGTCATATTCATATAGAATATCCCATGGGATATCCAGACCAAATAAAATACCAAGGTGATCAAAAATAGATTTTATGTAATCATATTCATATAGAATATCCCATGGGATATCCATACCAAATAATATACCCAGGTGATCAAAAATAGATTTTATGTAATCATATTCATATAGAATATCCCATGGGATATCCATACCAAATCATATACCAAGGTGATCAAAAATAGATTTTACGTAATCATATTCATATAGAATATCCCATGGGATATCCAGACCAAATAATATACCAAGGTGATCAAAAATAGATTTTATGTAATCATATTCATATAGAATATCCCATGGGATATCCATACCAAATCATATACCAAGGTGATCAAAAATAGATTTTATGTAATCATATTCATATAGAATATCCCATGGGATATCCATACCAAATCATATACCAAGGTGATCATATAGATTTTATGTAGTCACATTCATATAGAATATCCCATGGGATATCCATACCAAATAATATACCAAGGTGATCATATAGATTTTATGTAACCACATTCATATAGAATATCCCATGGGATATCCATACCAAATAATATACCAAGGTGATCAAAAATAGATTTTAAGTAATCATATTCATATAGAATATCCCATGGGATATCCATACCAAATAATATACCAAGGTGATCATATAGATTTTATGTAGTCATATTCATATAGAATATCCCATGGGATATCCAGACCAAATAAAATACCAAGGTGATCAAAAATAGAATTTATGTAACCATATTCATGTAGAATATCCCATGGGATATCCATACCAAATAATATACCCAGGTGATCATTTAGATTTTATGTAATCATATTCATATAGAATATCCCATGGGATATCCAGACCAAATAATATACCAAGGTGATCAAAAATAGATTTTATGTAATCACATTCATATAGAATATCCCATGGGATATCCAGACCAAATAATATACCAAGGTGATCAAAAATAGATTTTATGTAATCATATTCATATAGAATATCCCATTGGATATCCATACCAAATAATATACCAAGGTGATCAAAAATAGATTTTATGTAATCATATTCATATAGAATATCCCATGGGATATCCAGACCAAATAATATACCAAGGTGATCATATAGATTTTATGTAATCATATTCAGATAGAATATCCCATGGGATATCCATACCAAATAATATACCAAGGTGATCATATAGATTTTATGTAGTCATATTCATATAGAATATCCCATGGGATATCCATACCAAATAATATACCAAGGTGATCATATAGATTTTATGTAATCATATTCATATAGAATATCCCATGGGATATCCATACCAAATCATATACCAAGGTGATCATATAGTGGGATGGTTTTTCATATGGTTTAATGCTACTTTCATATAATATGGTTTAGACATGAGATGTTCATCCCACGAATCGTGAATCGTGAGGATCATACCACCATAATGTCCTCAAGATGCAACATGATACAACAGGTATGTATGCGTCATTATATAATTCCAAAAACTCTGCATTGGCAAAGGTTCGACCTTTCGACGCTCGGATTTACTTTTTTCTTTTGCGGGGCGAAAAAAGTTCACATGATTCCTGCTGTAGCCACACAAAGCTGCCATCCAGGAACGCTTACCGTTCTGAAATGTGCTGCATCCAAACACAGCCCAACAATTGATCACCCAATTTTTGTCACAAAGATCTCAGGATTTGAATGAATTTGGCGGAGAAACCATCAACAGTGATAGTTGGGATCGGAAAAAAAACACTGATCTCCCCCTCAACTTCACTCAGACACGTCCCTGTAAACTTCACCGGCAAACTTAACCGGCAAAACATTGTCAGCAAATTTTAGCTAATTAATGCCAATTATCATGCATCTAACGCATAGATTGTTTGAGTGCCGAGTGCAACTAAATGAACAAACTATACATTTTAATAGGAATTCACAGGGAAAATCTGGCAAAAAAAAATATAAGTTGAACAAAGTTAACTTCATTTTAATTTTGGCCTGACATTATGCTAAACACCAAAACCAGCTAGAGATAGGATTTATGATTCCTTAAATTCTCGCAAGATAAAGCCCCCTAGATAGCTAAGTTGACTTATAGCCCAAGGGCCTGCGCTTTCCAGCCGTCGAGCTTGCGCTGGCGGGCTGCCTCTTTCCGTTCACCATCCTTCAATGCAATTGGATTGGCTATCTGTTGCAGTTGTTTCTCCAAAAACTGTCCTTAACGTTGCTGGCAAGACCTTGTAATTAATGATAATTAATCTGATTGGTGGTTTCAACCCTCTGAAAAATATTAGTCAATTGGGACTATTATTCCCAATATATGGAAAACCAATGAAAACCAACCAACCAGTATGCATGGAACAAAAACATAGATGGCTCAACTGGGGGTCCCTTGGTCCCACCTGCCTCCTGAAATTTCCACCCACCGAGACCACGCCAGCGGGGGCACAGCACGGTGACGGTCACCGCAGCCATGTCGCAGAAACGACGCCAGCCGAAGGTGGCCCTGCGCCAGTAGTTCAGTCCTGCCTCGGGTGACGGGATGATGACAAAATAATGACCATTGGAAGGTGCAGCTATGGCCCGAAATACAAGGTATAAGTCAGTAACAAGTTAAGGTTGTCCAGATCCCTCTGTAAATTGAAGTCCAGTAGGGGTGGCTAGGTGATGCCTAGGGAGGCTGGTTTGGACCGACCCTAGGCCCCAACATCAGGAGCCTGTACCTGAAGCTGGCACTTTTGAGCGACACTAGGAGGTTGCCATCAGGTCTGGTAATTCCAAAAATGCGGAAAATGGAAATGCAAAAACACTCGTTAGTAGTTTGGTCATGATCGTTTTTTTTGTGTGCGTATGTGTTTTCATTTGTTTGGGAGCATTTCAGTTTTTGGGGGGGACTTAAAGATGTTGTTGTTTGCATTAGCGACGCATCAATTTTGCAATGAACCGCTCATGGTGCTTTATATACTTGAACGTGTTTTATGTTTTTGTAGTTAAAATTTACAAGCTGTATAATATAATGGTTTATCAACACTTTTGAACCTGTAGAAAATGGCTTTCAAAAATCACAATGAATGTTTTTGTTTTGAACCTGCAAAAGAGAAGGTTTTTCACCACAAAAATGAACCTTTTGAACCTGGGCAACAGTAGTTTTAACCACTGCAATGAATCTGCTGATCCTGCAAACCAATAGTCTTGACCACAACAACTTGGCGCATTGGCCTGATGGACTAGTGATCTGCATGAAATCAAGTTTATTGTCTAAATTTCGGAATGCATATGTTCACCATGGGTTTCTTCCAAAACAAGCGTTGCATCATTAGCCATGGATATGTTGTCACAAAAAGCATTGGCTGTTCATATTGCTATGATATTATCATCAGAAGCACCCAGCATTGTGGGTAAATGATGCAAGGTCAGGTTAGGAATGTTGCCTTGCGCCTGGATAATGATATGTGATGCCAGCTGTTATCATGTAAACCAACTAACCAACACACGATCAACATGACCACTGGACCACCAAAGACCAAAGATGATTGCGGACGGATGGGCTGTAACCAATATCTAAAGTCATTTCACACTACACCAAATACAAATTTAATACGAGTTTACTTCCAAGCCACAACAAACCAATCATATGTCAGCAATGTTTGTTTTTGATGTGGTTTCCCACTTGGCTGTTTGGCCATATAACCCACGGCTTCGAAGTGACCATTGCAAAATGATCTGTCGCTGCGAGTGGGCAGATTGCCAAACGTCTTGGCTTCGAGCTGGGAAACTGTTTTGCCAGAAGAACCAGTCGCATACTCAGGTAGTTCACAGTCGGGAAGCCTGGGGGTTTGAATGAACATATTTGATCAAATGCGTTTTACTAAGGCAGATTGTCACAGTCACAATGTGCATTATTGACAAGGCGACAGCGAAGCACAACACAACAACTAATTGCTCAATGATACATGGGACTTGTTCAGGGCACCAATTAGAGCAAGGGCCATGTATCAGCCACCGTTCAACCCATCTGCACAGCGGACTTGGGAGCCATGAGAGTGGGTCAGGTGATGTTGATTAATTGTACATAAGTATACATATATAACAAGTATGTACATTCATTTACTTACTTTCCAGTATATATATGTGTGTGTGTTTATATTTGTATATGTGTGTATACCTGGGTGTGCAAACCTATATATATACACATATGTACATCTATTTGCCTATCTATTTGTCTTGTTTTCTATTGTTCGTCTTTTTCTATACAAATGTATTGCGCACGTATGTCTATTTAGAGGCATAAGTTTGTATAGTGTTTATGTACAAATATATAAGTATATGTATGTGCATTGACTCTGGCTGTTTCTATATATATATATGTGTATGCAAATACAAAAATGCTCACATATATATATATATATATATATATGGGTATGTCTCAAAATGAGGAGTGCGGCCCGGGAAGTTTGACTAGGGGGTATGATTCGTGGGTATGATTCGGGGTATGGTTCGGGGTATGGTTCGGGGGTATGGTTCGCGGACCTCCATTTAGTTAATCAATGTTTCTGAAACGTGATTTTTTTCACTCGTCGCTTTCACTCTCGCTGTCGCTTGAATCTTGGCCTTCTTTTAAATTGATTCCCAGAGCTCTTTTCTGCCGGAGATACTTTGCTTTCTGCTTTGCCCCCTGCTTCTCTCGGCGCAACAAAGCTTGCATAAAATTTGTTCGACGGCTTGCGCCGCTAGAGTCAATAAAGGCACTTTGCTTGGCCATTCGGCGTTTCAACAAGTCAACATTCAAAGGGTTCTTTTCGGGTTGGGTCGCCCGGTAGGACAACCTCCAATCTTCTTTGCAAGGAACTTTGATCGCCTTCAGCTTGCCAATGCTAGATCCAAGCGTGCGTTTGTCCACGCGATCACTGTACCAGAAATTCCATCCACGGACGTGGCCATCAGAAGCACGATCAAAGAAAATGCAATGTGTGTACTCAATTTGCATGTCACAAAGGGAAGTGTCTAACTTGAAGATGTGTGTCTTTGGACTTGGCTTGAAAGATTTCACATAGTAGGCTGGACCAAGTGGAGGAGGGTCCAGAGACATAGTTCCAGCAGCACCAGCTTCAATTGCAGCGTGCATATCAGCGAGACACTCAATGTTCTTCGTACGTGCAAACTGCGATACCCAATGCCTCTGAAGGCCAAAAGCCCCATCACAATATCCTTTTCCATGATGTTCAATGAAAAAGTTGAGGCTTGCACACGCAAACCGGCTGCGTGTCAACTCAATCACGTTCCATAAAAATTCGTAGCTTCTGAAGTGGGTTCCAGTGTCTGCCCATATCTCAAGCTCTGTGGCAGCAGGACAATAAAGATTCTGGAACAAATTGTTCCTGAAGGGCAGCAGGCACGACTATAACCACAAAAACTACTTATGAACTTGGGGGAAGCAGAATACACCGGTGGTTTGGAACCAACAAGATTTGATGGAGGCCAGCGCAAACAAATTAGCTGCAACAAAATGAATGGTATGGTAAAACTTTCTTCCGTCTGTTGCGGCGAGCTGCAGACATGCCACTGCGAACGCAGAGTCGTGGTTCATAACCTGACTGATGTAATGCCAATATTCTCTATGGCGGCAACCATTGCGCCAGAAAGACACGTAGAAGCCGAGCGTTGTCATGGACTCTCGGCTTGTTGCCCAGAACCAGTCCTGGGCCTCCTCTGGTCCCAGCGGCCACGTCATGTTCTCCATGTAGTCCAATTGTACAACCAATAGATTGGGAGGCAAATTGTTTTCTCGCTGCTCTCTTCTTTCATGCTGTCGCCGAACACCGGCAAAGTGATGAGCGCAGCATTCCAAAATATCAATATACTTCCGCAAGGTTGTGGCTCCACTCGCCTCTGCCTCTTTCAGATCTTGTCGGCCACGAACAGTTCCTGGGGCAGCTGCCGTTCTGTACCGGACAGACGACGTCTTGTCCATGAAGAGCTTCATGAATTTAACATATTGCAAAGACAACTGATCGTCAGGGTCCGTGCGGCCAGCTGCTTTCATGGCTTCCCAATGAGAGTCCATCGCTGCAAAATAATCATTCTGCACAGATTGCACACCTCCACGGACAGCATCGAGATCTTTGCGCAATGCAGGAAGTAATACCTTGTCATACTTGTGACAGAAGCAGCATACATCTGTGCGCGTTTTCAAACGAACAAAGTTCTTGTGATGGGCAGCCATGTGCTTGTACCAAGCTGGCCTCGACAGGAGGCTCTGCATTGCCACACTGCGGTGCCAAAGCTTCCGCTTAGACATGTTCAAGTTGTACACAGGTTCGATAGAGCCGTCACATTTCATGAGCTTCGCAGATGTAGTGGCATTCTCAAGCAGGTAGACACGCACTTGCATCCGGATGTCTTTCGAATGAACTTTGGTTTTGCGACCAGGCGCATGCTTGGGCATATGTTTCCGTACACGGTGCCAAAGCTTCTGTCCAGGCACTGGAAGCAATTTCCTGGATTTGCGCCAGCTTCCAATGTGCTCCTGCGCGGCTTGGACAACAATCTCTTCAGCAGCATCGACGCCCTTGCTGCACTCAACTAGTGAAGATGCAAAACGTTCAAGAGTTGCAGGGGATTGAAAATTTGCGCGCTCCTCTTCGGATAGTGCCCGTGCTACACAGCTAACAAGGCCGTCAGAGCCGAGCTTATTCCGAACCTCTGCAAAGGCTACCTTGAGCTTATTGGACCAGTGCTTCTCCCTGTTCTTCTCCGAAGTAGAAGGAGGCATGGCCAGGTGTGGTTCATTGCAGCTAATTGCTTGCCAAGAAAGAAAAAAATGTCGGAAAAAATTGATTTCTGATGTTGCAAATGTGCCAAGGATCAGAATTGGCAGGTTGGAGGTATGAATCGGGTATGATTCGGGTATGATTCGGGGTATGATTCGTAAACCCATTTTTTTCTCGATCTGGAAACCTTCGCTTGCATTGTTCACTGATCCACTTCTAATTTCTCTGTAAACCTAGATATCTGCTGATATGGCTCGACCTGCCAGACGACCTTGGACCCAACCTGGGAAGCTATCTACATCATCTACATCTAGATCTAGTATTTACATATATACTACATATCTACCCTTATCTAATGCAATGGCTCGACCTGCCAGACGACCTTGGACCCAACCTGGGAAGCTATCTACAACATCTACATCTAGATCTAGTATTTACATATATATATATATAATACAGATCTATCCTTATCTAATGCAATGGCTCGACCTGCCAGACGACCTTGGACCCAACCTGGGAAGCTATCTACAACATCTACATCTAGATCTAGTATTTACATATATATATATACATATAAATATATTTAAATATATTTAATACAGATCTATCCTTATCTAATGCAATGGCTCGACCTGCCAGACGACCTTGGACCCAACCTGGGAGGCAACCGATATCTAGATCTATTTTCCCTTTTGTATCTATCTATCTATCTATCTACCTATCTTTATATCTATACACATATATATATATATATACATGTACACGTATCTTTTACTTATCTGCTGCAGTGGCTCGACCTGCCAGACGACCTTGGACCCAACCTGGGAAGATCATTATCTACAAACTGGGAAGATCATTATCTACAAATTTAAATAAATATAAATATATCTATATATACATACATATATACATTATGGCCTACTAACCTGTATATTGATTTGCAGTGATATATTGACTGATATCCAACAATATCTATCCCATCTATTAGTCTTAAACTTTCTGCTTGGAGGATCATCCCAATGAATCGCTGGTTGCTGACCCTGGTTAATAAGTCCCCCAACTAGGGCCATCTTATTTAGAACTTGGTAGTGTTCCCACTAACCAACCAGTTATGAAGCGGGATGATCCTTCAAGTATCTAACCATCTCCACTGGAATCTGCCCACCGCACTACGATGCGAAGGCTGATGCTGTTTCTCACACAACATGTATTGCCATTGGTGCACCGTTTTGCGCCAAGAGACTTGTTTCTCTTGCGCCGCCCCAAGCAAGCAGACATAAAATGTCGAAGCTGAACCCCTAAGCTGTCTCTGATCTACTCATGGCCCAGCACTTCCTTGCGCCAAGCCACGCTCTCGGCCTTGATGTGCCCCAACTGGAGCTCAGTGTAAGCTGTGGATGATCTCGATTTCACACCATACTTCCGGGCAAAGAACTGCAACTTCGTATGGCAGAAGTGGCACCGGGCTCCATGGTGCGACATGGTAACCTTCATCTTGCGGCCGCTCTTGCAAACTTTCTCCCTGGGAGGTGGCATGTCTGTGGGTTCCGTCTCCAAGTCACACATGGAGCAACGGTCCTGCTTCTCATGCAACAACCGGAAAGGATTGCCAGGCCTGGGCTTGATGGCCAGCTTCTCTGCATCAACATCACTGATCTTGCGCCTCTTCACGGGGCTTCTGCCCCACACTTGCTTCTCAAAAGACGGTGTCGTTGCAGGCATCTTGGTGTCTTTCTTGTCCGGGGTTTCAACAGCTGCAGCCTCACCCTCAGCCAATTGCTCGGACGTCTCGGTGTCGTTCTTGTCTGGGGCTTCAACAACTGCAGCCTCACCCTCAGCTGCTGAATCCTGCAGGGCGGCTGGGAGTAACGCCCAGCTTGAACACAACATGTTAGTGAAACCTCAACATCTTAACAACGTTTCCACCAATCAGTTTGTTCGTTAGTTACGGAGATACTCCAGCAGCCCTTCTAAAATATGTTTCTGCTGATAGTGCGGCCTTCTGTTCTGTCACAGCTGCTGGCACTGCAGGTGGAGCCACCAAAGGCACGGCATCCTCAGCCGCAGCCACATGGCATTCCGCAGCTTCCTGGGTGGCCACCGGCTCCTTGCAAGTTTTTCAACCAACTTGCTGGACATGTGCTTTGGTGGCCCTGTGTTGGAATGCCGCCAAATCCCCATGGTTTATTGTCCACCTTGATCAAAGAAATATCATTACTGGTGGTGTCCCCCATAAAAGAACAGAAATTACACCCACAGACTTTTTGGAAACAAGCGCGCTCCTTCACTTGGTTCTGCGCAACAGGACCTGGAGACGATGCTACATTGGAAGCTTCGGAGAACAAGGCAGCCACATCCACAGCTGGCTCTGCAAGGATGTCCTCCAGGGAGCACTAGGTTTTCACACAGCAGCTGGGCAGCAACAGCAGCACCCAGCAGCAGAGCACCCTCTCAAGCAGCACCAAGCAGCAGCAAGCCACCACAATCACCCGAAAATCTTACAAGCAACTCAAAGAGGTGTCCTCCTTTCTGAGTGTCTTCACAAACTTCTTCAGCTCAGCGAGCGTTGTAAGGCCCGACTGCTGACACTTTGCAAGGACACCCTGAGCTTCCTTCTGGTTCTGCCGTCGGCACACGTAATCCTTCTTCGCCTTCAAGGAAACCACGTATGTCGTAGCAACACCATTGCTTTGCAAGCGGGATTCTTCCCACAAGAACAGAGACATCTGAAAAAGGCTGCAGCGCATCCCAGGATGCCAAAGTGACCCCAAACAATCACAGCAATCATCATTTATAATCTTCGATTTTTAGGGGTATGATTCGCAGGTATGATTCGGGGTATGGTTCGGGGTATGATTCGTGGGTATGGTTCGCAGAACTCGAACTTCCCACCCTTACTAAAATCTGCATACCTGAAAAAAAGACACAGCCATATATATATATAAAATGGATATATGATTACATCTAGCGTCGTTTTCCTTAAAAAACATACTTGTGCAATCTTGTGCACATATGTAAATTAAATATGTGTACCCTCATGTCTCTGTGCACGTGAAAATTTACATTGATCACGCTGATTAAGCAACACACACAGCTAATCATACATATGAATCAAATCCATGGAACCTAAAACAAGATTTGCGTTGGAAATGACCACTGTCAAAGGAAATGTTGTTCTAAGTTCATTGACCTAGACCCGGAACCTAGCAGGAACCGGGGGGGAGGGCCTAGGGTCAAGTGACCAGGAGACCTAGCACGCACCTATTCAGGACATAATGTCAAAAGAGCTGGTGTCGGCGTCAGGCCGGTTACACACCGGTCCGCGTCAGCGTTTGCCCCAGCGCCCGCGTGGCTGGGCATCATGTCCGCGTTATTGTCCGCGTCCCTGTGGGTCCGGGGCCTAGGGACCGTTACGGGGTGTAGGAGGACCTGGGTCAAGGATTTCGCCCTAAGTCCCCTGGCGTAGGTCCCGTCCCCGGTCCTCTGGCCCTAGGTCGCCGGCCCTAGCCCTAGGTCGCCGGCCCTAGCCCAGACCCTCGTTGTCCGTCCCCTCGCCCAAACCCTCGTTCCCGTCATCCTAGCTTGCCTGGACCTAGGTCGCCTGGCCCTAGGTCCCAGGTGTGGTGTTGGTCCCAGTGTGGTGTGCTGGCCCTAGGTCCCCTGCCTAGGTCCCCTGACGAGGTCCCAGGTGTGGTGTGCTGGCCCTAGGTCCCCTGCCTAAGTCCTCTGACCCTAGGTCCCCCTGACCCTAGGTCCCGTGACCCTAGGTCCCCTGACCATAGGGGAGCCGTATGTCCCAGGTGTGGTGTGCTGGCCCTAGGTCCCCCCCGTGACCCTAGCGCGACCCTAGGTCCTGGCCCGGGCCACTTGGACCTGGGACTTAGGGCCAGGGACCTAGGGTCAAGGGACCTAGGGCCAGGGGACCTAGGGTGAGGGGACCTGGTGTCAGGAAGCTTAAGGTTCTTGAGACTTAATTTACAATTGATTAAGACGTTTGTAGGGGTACATGCACATAATAGCTGCGTGTGCGTACATACGTACATGCATGCATGCATGCATGCATGCATGCATAAGCGCATACAAACATACATTTTTGACACACAATACAAGCAAGTATGTACGTACAAAAACATGTACAATGTTTATATATAGACAATACCTATACATATATATATATATATACGTATACATACATACACAGGTGTGTATATATATATAGACAGATAAGTAAATAAATAGACTTCTCGATATATATATATATATATACATTATACTATGTATACTTATGCACAACTAGTCAACATCACCTGACCCACTCTCATGGCTCCCAAGTCCGCTGTGCAGATGGGTTGAACGGTGGCTGATACGTGGCCCTTGCTCTAATTGGTGCCCTGAACAGGCCCCATGTATCATTGAGCGATTAGTTGTTGTGTTGTGCTTCGCTGTCGCCTTGTCAATAATGCACATTGTGACTGTGACAATCTGCCTTAGTAAAATGCATTTGATCAAATATGTTCATTCAAACCCCCAGGCTTCCCGACTGTGAACTACCTGAGTATGCGACTGGTTCTTCTGGCAAAACAGTTTCCCATCTCGAAGCCAAGACGTTTGGCAATCTGCCCACTCGCAGCGACAGATCATTTTGCAATGGTCACTTCGAAGCCGTGGGTTATATGGCCAAACAGCCAAGTGGGAAGTCACATTGAAAACAAATATCGCTGACATATGGTTGATTTGATGTGGTTTGGAAATAAATTAGTATAAATCTGTTTTTGGTGTAGAAAGGATTTTAGATATTGGCCTATTGGCCATACCTCATCCGTCAGCAGTCATCTTTGATCTTTGGTGGCCAGTGACCATTTTGATCATGTGTTGGTTAGTTGGTTATATGATAATAGAAAATTTGAAACTTGCTGGCATCACATATCATTCTCAGATCCAGTCAGAAAGCAACATTCCTCAGCCGATCTTGCATCGCTTGTCCACAATATTGGGTGTTTCTGCAAGCCGATCTTGCATCATTTGTCCACAATATTGGGCGTTTCTGCAACATATGATATAGAGACATGAGCAAGCAATGTGTTTATCTTTTACAACATATCCATGGTTGATAATCCAAAACACATTTTTTTTGAAGAAACCGATGGTGAACATTTGCATCCCGACATTGAGAAAAATGAAAATGGTCTGATACAAATGAATGGTCCATCAAGCCAATGCACCAAGTTGTTGTGCATATTCAAAACCGTTTGTCTGATTAGAACCATTGCTCTGCATATTCAAAAATGTAATTCTTGTGGTGTGAACGTGTTCTTTTGCACGTTCAAAAAAATCATTGTTGTCATTGAAAACATATTTTTTGAAGTGTCGGTGAACCATTACGCACTTGCTATGTTGTCGACACAACAAGGAAAACAACGATGTTCACTGTTCAAAAATATAGATGGTACATTTCAAAATTGGAATGCTACTGATGCAAAAGACACACATCTACAAACCCGAAAAGTAAAAATTGAAATGCTACTCAAGAAAAAATACACACTAGAAAAATCAAAAATACACTATCATCAAGTCAAATTGTTTTTTCATCAAGTCAAATTGTCTTTTTCATCAAGTCAAATTGTCTTTTTCATCAAGTCAAGCCGTCTTTTTCATCAAGTCAAGCTGTCTTTTTCATCAAGTCAAATTGTCTTTTTCATCAAGTCAAATGGTCGTTTTCACCAAGTCAAATTGTCTTTTTCATCAAGTCAAATTGTATTTTTAGTGTTTTCATCAAGTCAAATTGTCTTTTTTGTTTTTCATTTTTTAAATTTCTTGTTTCGGTATGCTTAGAATCTCCAAACCTGATGGCAACATGTAGCCTAGTGTCGCCCTAGGGTCGCTCAAAAGCGGTAGCCCAGGTACAGGCTCCTGGACTTCATTTTCCCCCTACATTTGGACAAGCTTAGTAACAAGTCAGTGAACTAATCCCATTTATGGTGAGAATCCAACTAATCCCGTTTATGGTGATAATCCCATTTAGAGCCATAAAATTAACTGGTAAATGATGGTAAATGGCTTTCACTGTGGGGCCTCCGGGTGAAATGGCTGTTGGTCTCAAAAAACCATAACCGATATATCATGATGTATGCCCTGTAAAGCAATGTAAAGCATACAGTTTACCTTCTGCTGAAATCCCGCTCCTTCTAGCCAGTCTTTTTGGTGATACTCGAAATTGTTTAAGTAGATTCCATTACATGAAATCCTATGAAATCCCCGGTAATTTTTGCGTGCTCAAAATTCCACTCACTGGGCTTCGACTTCGTAGTCCACTCCCAGTTCAGTGGGCTTAAACTCCCTGATATAAATCAAACACGGTGATGGAAAATTCAACATTTACGCAATATGTTGCCATTAAATCACCTCCATGTATAAACGAGGTCCAACTGCCATGTTTGTTTACCAAAGGATCAATCCAATGATAGTAGGATTAACTATTGAACATCTCTATTTCTCATAGACACATAGACAAATCATCTTTAAATGGACCATCTAAACCATAGAAAACTACGAAATTACGAGAGGCTAAATCCCAATAAATCATAATCAACCATCATTTTTCTAGGCTAAATCCCAATGGTTCATATAGCTTCCACTTGCCACCCTTGATTACCAGAGGCCAAATCAAGGACCATCTGGCGAAACTCCACCCCGGACGCATCCAAGTCGCAAAGAGCACCACTGTGGAAAGGAGGCAGCACCCCCAGCGCCTACGGGGAATGCCGGGACCATGGCTTTGATATGCTTTGATGATATCTCCAGATACAGGGCTTTCCTAAAATGGGTGTACCCCAAAACGGATTGTTTATTTCATGGACAACCTTACTCAAATGGATGATTTGGGCTACCTATTTTGGGAAACCTCCAATTATGGTGATTCACTATGATTTACTTCGAATTTATAAGGGAATGATGGTATCTAGCAACATATTTTTGAGACGGGACTCAAAGGGACTTCACCGGCCAAAATGAGGATTTAACCATCAATAACAAGGATTTCAACCTGAACAATCGATATGGATGTGCCGTGTTAACATCAACATAGCAGTGAAAATATGAACAACAAATATGATTTATTTTTGGTGATCTTTCTTTGAGGTATACCTTATTTTGGGGGCAAACCTATATCTCCGGATATGGGTCAATAATCAGGACTGAACATCTTTCTGCTGGTACAACCTATCAAACATGAGTTTGTCCAGAAACGGTGTATGGAGTACACAAAAATCACAATGTTGAATAATAAAGTGATGATAAACCATTGGGTAAACCATTGGATATTGGGGGGTACGCTATTTCCGGACAAACTGGCGTGTTGCACCCATACAAGGTGGGGGTCCTCTAACGATAGCTAAGTTAAGTTGGTTGACATCCAATAACTATCGTATTCAGTAGCCATGACTATACCAGCCAAGGGGTTTACACACCAAGAAACATCCCACAGCTTGGGGGCCCCAGCTTCTACCAATCCGCAAGAGTTCTGAGAGGGTAAACCACCTTCTTCTGGGCGCCTGTGGATAGCGGCACCCATGGTCATCAAGGAAAATTGCGTGCAGGAGCGCAGCAACCATCCTCGGCGCAGCCAAGGTTCTAATCATATTTTGGATGATATGGGGAGACTAGGTGAGGCGCCCAAACGACAAAATCGCTAAGTTCATGTATAACTTGGTGAACTAGGCTTCGAGGGGAATGATATGTCACGAACCAGTGAATGGGGATATAAACCCACTTGCAATTGGGGGCCTCACCTTGTATGAAACCAACCAACATTGGGATTTAGGCAACAACCACGGTGGCTGAACGGTTGCGTATAGGTGACATTGGAACCTCTTGGAACATCCCCGAACTATGGGAAAAATCTTGAACATATTGAGAAAACATGGGAACACAGCGGAGATTTGCAAAGTGATCAACTGAAGCCGGAAAATTTCCAAGATAGACGTTCGATGCCTTTGTGGTGTGGAATATGAATCCTTAGGAATATGCAAAAGAAGGCCGTCAATTGAAGTTGTTTTGGGAGTTCCAAAAAATGAAATGCTGGACATCAAACACCTCTTGAATGCTCTTGAAATGTTCCTCCAAAACGATGGCTGAAAACTGTAGTGCAGGAAACAGTCAGGTGGTTTGACAGACAATCTACCGGAAATTGTGCTGTTCTCAGCCATAGTCTTTCGGGGTCCTGCTAATTGTCCCTTAAACCAATTCCGCGAAGGGATCATTTACCGCGGAATGCCTAAATTGTCCAATGTATAGTTGAATTACCCTCTGGTAAACGTTGACATAACTATGGAAAATCACCATGTTGGAGACAGAGGTCCAGTCTTCGATGAAATCGAACCTCTTTTCGGTGCAATCTTGCTGCCTTTTCCCTTGCTTTCTGGGATTTCCGCAGTTGACTCTTCCAAGTCTCCAGTGCAAACAAATGATAGTAGCCCTCACAACAATGTCTCCACTTCCAATCAGAGGAGTTCCAGTGGGTTCAAAAACAGACATGAACCTGAAAATTGTTGAGCGTAGATAGCCAGCAATTCGAAGAACAAAGAAGAAGTAAAAGAAGCCAACAATGACATCAATATGCACGAGCTTTTCTGCAAAAGGCGCGATGCCCTCTGAATCATCTTCCTCCTGCATGGCAAAATCTCGCTTCTTCGAGTGCGCACCCAAAACGAATTCGACCTCTTCAGTTACGTCAACTTCCTGGCCTCCATGCCGCCAAAGCACCCGCTGCGACATGTCACATTGCAAAATAACAAAATCAACAGTGTCATCCGGTGATGGCTTCCAAGAAAAACATCTATCTGTCTGTCTGTCTGTCTATCTATCTACCTATCTATCTATCTATCTATCTGTCTGTCTCTCCGTCTATCGATCGATCAAACTGTCTCTCTATCTATTTGTCTATCTGTTTATCTGTCTATCTATCTGTCTATGTATCTATCTATCTATTTATTTATCTATCTTGGTATCTAACTATCTGTCAATGTGTCTATGTATCTATCTGTCTATCTATCTATCTATCTATCTATCTGTCTGTCTATCTATCTATCTATCTGTCTATCTCTCCGTCTATCTATCGATCAAACTGTCTCTCTATCTATCTGTCTATCTGTTTATCTGTCTATCTATCTGTCTATCTATCTATCTATCTATCAATCTGTCTATCTATCTATCTATCTATCTATCTATCTCTCTCTATTTCATCTGTCTATCTGTCTAGCTGTCTACCTGTCTATCTGTCTATCTATCTACCTACCTATCTATCTATCTATCAATCGGTCTAGCCATCTATCTATCTATCTATCTATCGATCAAACTGTCTCTCTATCTATCTGTCTATCTGTTTATCTGTCTATCTATCTATCTATCTATATATCTATCTATCTATCTATCTATCTATCTATCTATCATTATTTCTATCTATCTACCTACCTACCTATCTATCTATCTATCTATCCATCTATCTATCGTTCAAAATTGTCTCTTTATCTATCTGTCTATCTGTCTATCTATCTGTCTATGTACCTATCTATCTATCTAGCTATCTATCTGTCTATCTCTCCGTCTATCGATCGATCAAACTGTCTCTCTATCGAATTGTTTATCTGTTTTTCTGTCTATCTATCTGTTTATGTATCTATCTATCTATTTATCTATCTATCTTGGTGTCTGACTATCTGTCTATGTGTCTATGTATCTATCTGTCTATCTATCTATCTACCTATCTATCTTTCTACCTATCTGTCTATCTCTCCGTCTATCTATCGATCAAACTGTCTCTCTATCTATCTGTCTATCTGTCTATCTGTTTAGCTATCTATCTATCTATCTGTCTCTATCTAACTATCTATCTGTCTATCTGTGTCTATTTGTCTATCTGTCTATCTGTCTATCTGTCCGTCTATCGATCTGTCTATCTATCGATCTATCTATCTATTTATCTATCTATCTATCTACCTATCTATCTATCTACCTCTATCTATCTATCTATCTCTCTCTCTCTCTATTTCATCTGTCTATCTGTCTACCTGTCTATCTGTCTATCTATCTATCCACCTATCTATCTGCAAGATCAAAAACGAAGAAATTCTGCGAGACTTCCGTATTGTTTGAACATAACAACGTCCAAAACGAAACAATTCTGCGAGACGTCTTCATTTTTTGAACTTGACAACATCCGAGATGAAGCAATTCTGCGAGACTTCCTCATTCTTCGAAGTTGAAGACATCAAAAACGAAAGAATTCTGCGAGACTTCCTTCAAAAATAGAAAGTTGAGTGCAGCGCTGACAGCCTCGTACCAATGCGTTTTGCGATGTTTCCACTCCACCTGTCTAAAGTACTGCGCCTGCCACGAAAAATTGATGCCAGGTCATATGAAGTGCTGCACCTGTCACGCAAAATCATCTTAGCAAACCTACAGATCTGATGCTCCAAAATGCAACCCCTCTCAGGAAATCAGCGCCCTGACCTCCTAACATCTCTCATGAACGTGTCTTTTGTACTGCGCCTGCCACGGAAAATGCATCTTTGCAGATCCTCTTCAAATGTCCCATGCCTGTCATCGTTTTTGGAAATGCGACGAAACCCTCACGTTTTGCTCACTTTTGAAGCGGTGCACAATCCTTATGAGATTCTTTGCCAGCCAGAGACTGGAAAATCCTTTAAAGCTTTTTTTTATCTTTTTTTATCCTATTTGAATTTTCTGTGATATCCTTCTTTTATCCTTTTTTTATCCTCCTTCATTTTGCAGCTAGGAGGATAAAAAAAGGATAAAATCTTACACTTTTCATCAGCCCTTTGCCTTTTTTACCTGGAGAAGCCAATTTTGGCACATTTTGCAGCTAGGAGGATACAAAAAGGATAAACAAATGATAAAAAAATAGTAAAAATAATAAAATCCTACACTTTTCCTCAGCCCTTTGCCTTTTGTACCTGGAGAAGCAAATTTTGGTTCATTTTGCAGCTAGGAGGATAAACAAAATGTAAAAAATGATAGAAAAAGGATAAAAAAAATGATAAAATCCTACACTTCTCCTCAGCCCTTTGCCTTTGTACCTGGAGAAGCAAGCCAATTTTGGCCCATTTTGCAGCTAGGAGGATTAAAACATGATAAAAAAATAGTAAAAATAATAAAATCCTACACTTTTCCTCAGCCCTTTGCCTTTTGTACCTGGAGAAGCAAATTTTGGTTCATTTTGCAGCTAGGAGGATAAACAAAATGTAAAAAATGATAGAAAAAGGATAAAAAAATGATAAAATCCTACACTTCTCCTCAGCCCTTTGCCTTTGTACCTGGAGAAGCAAGCCAATTTTGGCCCATTTTGCAGCTAGGAGGATTAAAACATGATAAAAAAAGGATTAAGAAATGATAAAATCCTACACTTTTCCTCAGCCCTTTCCCTTTTGTACCTGGAGAAGCCAATTTTGGCCCATTTTGCAGCTAGGAGGGTAAAAAAAGGACAAAACAAGGATAAAATCTTACACTTTTCCTCAGCCCTTGGCCTTTTGTGCCTGGGGAAGCCAATCTTGATCCATTTTGCAGCTAGGAGGATAAAAAATAATAAAAACCTGATAAAAAACATGATAAAAACAATGATTAAAAAAATGATTTTAAAAAAAGTTAAAAAAAGGATATCTAAAATCAGGGAAAAATCAGGGGAGGATAAAGAAAAGATATCCAGGTCGAGGGCAAAAGGATAAAAAAAAACCTTTTGTTCTGACCTCAGTCTGTGGCTCAAAGATTCTCATAACACAATCCCTTGCGCCTGCCACGCGAAACGGCATCTGAACCTCCAAAAGTGTCCGAACGTGGTGTGCTTCGTACATGTTGACTTCGAAATGTGCTTCGCGCCACAACAGCGTGCAATTTTTTGACATCTCAACTGCCAAAAGTGGTCCGGACCTGGTGTGTTTTGTACATTTTGACTTCGAAATGTGATTCGCTCCACAACGGCGTGCGCTTTTCCGTCGTCTCAACTTCCAAAAGTGGTGCGAGGCTGATGTGTTTTGTACATTTTGACTTGGAAATGTGCTTCGCGCCACAATGGCGTGCACTTTTTCGACATCTCAACTGCCAAAAGTGGTCCGACCATGGTGTGTTTTGTACATTTTGACTTGGAAATGTGCTCCGCGCCACAACGGCGTGCAATTTTTCATCTCTCGTCTGGCCAGCTGGCTCCGCACCCGCCGCTTTAGCGAGCCTACTTTTCAACCCTCCGGAGCCACAAACCATTGGAAAAACACAGTGTTTCGCGACTTTCCTACCTTTTCGCGCATCTGCATCTTCTTTCTTCTAAATCTTTCTCTTCTCTGATCTTCTCTCTTCTAATCTTTCTCTTCTCTCTGCCTCTGCCCTGCTCTGCTTTTCATCTGTCCATATTGTCGGAAGTTTGACTTCTAAACTTCCTTCGAATATGTAAATTATCTACAAATGGGCTATGTTCGCTGTTAAATTACCAGAAGGTAGTCTCAATCTACCTACCCACCAAACCATTATTCATAAATCTCAAGCAACAAATCATCAACAATCATCCGACTCTGGGTCTGACCGATTTTTTTCAGGACGATACAATGTGTTGATTTGTTGCGCCAAACTCCTTACATGGACACATTCTGATGCTTCAGCATCCCATCAAAACCCTATTGCGGCGTTCTTTAAGGAAAACCATATCCTGTTGATGATCGACCCATTTTATCTCACACATAGAATGGTTGGGTGGGTAGAATCCTCGATTGATAAACATCAACTCCCTCAATTTGAGGAGCACAGGAAAATGATCAGCAACGCAGCTGTTAGTTGCTTGAGTTGACCCCATGAACTAGTTTGATATATCTATGACAAACCACTTCACCTCATTGTGTTCAGCAACCGCTATACAAATCCATAATAATCCCATGAAAGCCTATGAATTCATCAATGAATCACCATCAAAATCCCATGAACAATCACGATGTGTTGCCGATTAAATCAGTTTAACATGATTAATCACCATGAAAACCAGCATTAAATCACCACTCACATTCCCAAATGGCATTAAACGCCCTAGTTTTTACCCCAGCCAGCGACCAAGCGTTCCAAGTCTCTGGAGTAGGGCTCAGGCACCACAACTTGCCCTTCCAATCCGCAGCGAGCGCGGCAGGGTGTCCGCCTGAGGCAGAGCTGGAAATGTAGGATGTAAAATCATGATGGACAATATGATAGACGTAATTAAGGGGTACCAATTCATATAAATCATTAGTACGTAAACCAATTCACCCTATGGAACATGATAGAATTTATGAAGATTTATGGCATAACCTGGGACAATATTGAGAAAATTCCTCAGAAAAAAAGCAGCAAGAAATTGGGATTTGAACCAAAATAGGCAATGAACCAGGAAAATGGTGGATTGATGGGATGTTCATCTTCATTGGTATAATGTGCACCATTTTGTTAGCTAAGTTGGATTAACTCCAGTAAGCGGGGTTTGTGGTAGATACCCGGTAGATATATCTAATGTTAATACTTAATGAGGGTGATAAACAAACTTAGAACCGGGAGGCACCACATTGTAGACATGTAGGCAAACCACAAGGAGGACTTCCCCCTTTATGTTTGTTTCTTGAGTTTCGCCCATCTGCAAATATATCTGCCATAAACCTCAGTTACACTAGTCACTAGTCAATAGTTGTCAATCAACTGACCTATAGGTCTTTTGGGGTGGCCCATCTTGCAAGACCGAAATATCCCTCACTGATCCCCTAAAATCGGTTGCCTTTACCAATCCGGAAAAATCCGGGTGGAATGTGGTGGATCAGGCTGGTGGTTTCAACAAAAAACAGGCTGGTGGCCCAGGGGCCCTGCGCTAAGTCGGTGCAAATCACTCCAATTTCATTTACATATATATATATATATATAATGTTTGCACCCGATTAGCAGGAAGGCCGTGGACCCGAACCGGAACTCAAATAACCGGCCGCGGTTTAACCGCACCGAACACGAACCGAACCGTCAAAAAACCGAACCGAAGCTAATTCCACTAACCGAACCGGTTAAGCAGGTTACATGTTTAATAGCAATACTACTACTACTACTACTACTGCTGCTGCTACTACTACTACTACTACTACTATGACTACGACGACGATTACTACTACTACCACCACCACCACTGCTACTACTACTACTACTATTACTACTACTCTACTACCACTGCTACTACTAGTACTACTTTTACCACTACTTTTACCACTACCACTACTACTACTACTACTACTACTACTACTACTACTCCTACTATTATTGCTTTTACTAGAACTACTACTGCCATTGGCAAGGCGGCATCGCCATCTAGTCAAAAACATCCCCTAAACCCTCCACATATCCCGGAAAGCCAAGGGCTGAGGCGACCAAGGGAGATAGGATATGGCTATATGCGCCACCCTGGTTGGGTCACCAACCGGTCCGAATGAAACCTGGCACAGCACTCTGGTCCTATAAATTTAAAACACCATTGACACGCGCCGACATTCACAATGAATACTTGTAGCTCGTAATGCCACAGTTGCTGCATACATGCATTGGCAAGGCAACATAGACACTTTTTACACGATGTGCTCCCGTCATGCTTTCATCGGCCATATGTATATATATTTCAATTTTAAAAAATTCGGCCATCCACTACTGTGCAACCAATCAGTTCGGTCAGCATGTCGAATTAGGTGTCTTTTGGGACGCAATTCGGAACGCTGAATTGCGGCCGCAATGGCGCCGAATTACACAGGCTCCTACAAATCACCCACTCGTTATCTCATGGCACAAAGGCACTAGAAAGATGATATGCAGGATGTTTGCGCTACTACTACTACTACTACTACTACTACTTCTACTTCTACTATTACTACTACTACTACTACTACTATTACTACTACTCTACTACCACTGCTACTACTAGTACTACTTTTACCACTACTACTACTACTACTACTATTACTACTACTACTACTACTACTACTACTACTACTACTACTACTACTACTACTACTACTTTTACTACTACTACTGCTACTACTACCACTACTACTACTACTACTCCTCCTACTCCTACTCCTGCTCCTACTACTATTACTGCTACTATTACTAATACTAGTACCACTACGACTACTACTACTACTACTACTACTACTACTCCTCCTGCTGCTGCTGCTGCTGCAACGCCTACTCATTGCACTGGTACTGCTACCAAGATGATGAATACTACTAGCTTTGCGTTGTCTTGAATACATTCCAATATTTTTTCTACACGCAGAATGTGAATTACAATGACCAAATTCAATATGTCTGCATTTCTCTTCCATCATGCGTACTCGTTACATCTAATGCTCCTTGTCTCTTTTTGTCGCAGCAATTGTCCACCGGCATCGAAAGCTGTCTGAAGCAGGTCTGAAACAGGTCTGAAACAAGTTTAAAACAACATAACCATCTCAGACTTCACCCCCTTGCCCTTTCTTCCTATCGTTTCGACTTGCAAAGATAGCATCCTGACTGCTACCACTGCTGCAACTACTACTACTACTGCTGCTACTACTACTACTAATAATAATAATGCCACAGTTGCTGCACACATGCATTGGTAAGGCAACATAGACACTTTTTACACGATGTGCTCCCGTGATGTTTTCATCGGCCATATGTATATGTATGTATATATATATATACAGATATATTTCAATTTAAATATATTCGGCCATCCACTACCGTGCAACCAATCAACTCGGTCAGCATTTCGAATTCAGTGCCTTTTGGGAAGCAATTCGGAACGCTGATTTGCGGTCTGAAACAATGCATTCACCAGCACCATGCATTCATTTTTGGGGGTCTGAAACAGGTCTGAAACAATGTGGCAACGACAATTCATGCCCACACGGCCGACCAAACGGCCCGTGCGAACCTCCAACCCCAGGAGGCAAAGAGGAGCTACCTGAGCTACCCTACAAGAAACCAGACCATGCGAAAAGGTCTGCCCCGGAAATCAAAAGGCTTCGACAAGATGGGCCAGAAGCATGATGGCCCCGAATGTATGCCGTAGCGCAAAAATCCACTATATCATCTTTCTAGTACCTTTGTGCCATGACATAAAGGTTAGATAATTTGCAAAAGCCTGTGTAATTCGGTGCCATTGCGGCCGCAATTCAGCGTTCCAAATTGCGTCCCAAGAGGCACTGAATTCGAAATTCTGACCGGATTGATTGGTTGCACAGTAATGGATGGCCGAATATTATCAACTTGATAAAACATTTTTATATCTATATCTATATCTAGATTTAGTTTGAAATAAAGATATAAGAAATAAGAAAGAATATATTATATACAAAGTTTTTGATTTAAATATATATCTCTCTCTGTCTATCTATCTATCTATCTACCTATCTATCGACCTATCTATCTATCTATCTATCTATATTGAAACAGAAAGACAAATAGATAGATAGATGGATCGGTAGATCGGTGTAGAGACACATCATCCCTCCCCCATGTCTTCTACAGTGTCAATCTGGCGTCAATTTGGCCTCAAGCCCTTTTTTCTGGCTTCTGAGGGCAGGATCCAAAAGCACACGCGGATTCACCAGCACCATGCATTCATTTTTAGGGTCTGAAACAGGTCTGAAACAATGTGACAACGACAATTCATGCCCACACGCCCGACCAACGAACGGCCCGTGCGAACCTCCAACCCCAGGAGGCAAAGAGGAGCTACCCTACAAGAAAAGAAAAGGTCTGCCCCGGAAATCAAAGGGCTTCCACGAGATAGGCCACAAGCATCATGGCTTCGAATGTATAAACATCCGCCATATTATCTATCTAGTACCTTTGCGCCATGACGTAAGAAGCAATAATTTGGAAAAGCCTGTGTAAGTCTGCGGCATTGATGGATGGCCGAATGTAAATGTGTATATATTTCATATACGTATACAAAAAAATATTCATATCTATATCTATATCTATATGTAAATAAATAAATAAATAAGTATAAATATACATATATATATATATATATATAAACTATATAAATATATACATATATAATTATATTTAAATATGTATATATATATATATATACCGCGATGTAGATACATATCACCCCCTTTTGAATTAGGGGGAGATGTTGTTTAACCACACCGTAGATCTAAGTGATGGATGGATGGATGGATAATACATCATGTTTTGCGCAGCCTCCATCTGGCTTCAAGTTGGCTTCAATCCCGTTTGGGAGGCTTCTGAGTGCAGGATCCAAAAGTACACGCGGATTCACAAACACCATGAATTCACTGTTTGGGGTCTGAAACAGATTGGTTGCATAGATGGATGCCCGAATATGTATGTGTATATTTATATCAATTTTATATATATAATTATATAAAAATAGATTTTGACATGTATAAATGTCTAAATATGTGTACATATATATATATATTGATATATATATATATACATATATATATTGATACACATCATTGCCCTTAGCATTAGGGGGAGGAGTTGTTTACCAAACCGTAGTTGAAATTTAAAAAAAATGTTTTCCCTACAGTATGGCGCCATAAATGCAAAATTTGAAAACAACCAAATAAATACCCAACCTAAATATGATCACTACCGTATCATTTCAATTGGCCCCTGGCCACCAAAAACCGTCCCAATCAATTAACCGTGCCAGTTTGAACCGAACCGAACAGTAACCGAACCGATGGTGGCTGCAGTTAGGTTACTGGAAACCGAACTGAACCTAACCGTGGCCACCCTGCGATTAGTGTCCTGGTACCCTATTGTGAGAAATTTCTTGCTCCTAATTCAGTCACATGCAAATTGTTGGGGGGGAACTCTATTGTGAGATTTTTTTTCCAATGAGATTTTTCCATATTTTTTCATTTTTTCCAAACGCTTTAACTTAAAAAAAAAAATCTAATTATATATTTATGTTTAATTATTTTTAATTTTATTTTAAATGCCTTATTAAACCCTTATTAAAAAACAGCACCCAGACAATTTTTCAAGGGGATACCTCATGATTGGCTCAGTTAGTCCATAATATAATTGTTTGGATGGTACTCTATTGTGAGCACCGACTTTTGGGAGTGAAAAAAAAAACAAAACCCTTTCTCCACCTTTCTTTGGGTAAAGCTGGCCCCTTTACTGTAGAAAGCCATAGCTGCGTTAAAGCTTTAAAATGCAAGGTTTTCCAAATAATTAGATGCCTTATTAAACCCTTATTAAAAAAAAACAGCACCCAGACAATTTTTCAAGGGGGTACCTCATGATTGGCTCAGTTACTCAATAATATAATTGTTTGGATGGTACTCTATTGTGAGCACCAACTTTTGGGAGTGAAAAAAAAACAAAACCCTTTCTCCACCTTTCTTTGGGCAAAGCTGGCCCCTTTACTGTAGAAAGCCATAGTTGTGTTTAAGCTTTCAAATGAAAGGTTTTCAAAATAATTAGATGCCTTATTAGACCCTTATTAAAAGACAGCACCCAGACAATTGTTCAAGGGGGTACCTCATGAGTGGCTCAGTTACTCAATAATATAATTGTTTGGATGGTACTCTATTGTGAGCACCGACTTTTGGGAGTGAAAAAAAAACAACAAAAACCTTTCTCCACCTTTCTTTGGGTAAAGCTGGCCCCTTTACTGTAGAAAGCCATAGTTGTGTTAAAAGTTTAAAATGCAAGGTTTCCCAAATAATTAGATGCCTTATTAAACCCTTATTAAAAAACAGCATCCAGACAATTTTCAAGGGGGTACCTCATGAGTGGCTCAGTTACTCAATAATATAATTGTTTGGATGGTACTCTATTGTGAGCACCAAATTTTGGGAGTGAAAAAAAAACAAAACCCTTTCTCCACCTTTCTTTGGGTAAAGCTGGCCCCTTTACTGTAGAAAACCGTACTTGTGTTAAAACTTTGAAATGAAAGGTTTTCAAAATAATTAGATGCCTGAAAAAACCATAATTGGCTCAGTTACTCAATAATATAATTGTTTGGATGGTACTCTATTGTGAGCGCAAACTTTTGGTATTAAAAAAAAAAAACAAAACCCTTTCTCCACCTTTCTTTGCGAAAAGCTGATGCCTTTACTTTAGAAAGCCATATTTGTGTTAAAACTTTAAAATGCAAGGTTTTCCAAATAATTAGATGCCTTATTAAACCCTTATTAAAAAACAGCACCCAGACAATTTTTCAAGGGGATACCTCATGATTGGCTCAGTTACTCCATAATATAATTGTTTGGATGGTACTCTATTGTGAGCACCAACTTTTGGGAGTGAAAAAAAAGCAAAACCCTTTCTCCACCTGTCTTTGGGTAAAGCTGGTGCCTTTACTTTAGAAAGCCATATTTGGGTTAAAACTTTAAAATGCAAGGTTTTCCAAATAATTAGATACCTGAAAAAATCATAATTGGCTCAGTTACTCAATAATATAATTGTTTGGATGGTACTCTATTGTGAGCACCAACTTTTGGGAGTGAAAAAAAAAACAAAACCCTTTCTCCACCTTTCTTTGGGTAAAGCTGATGCCTTTACTTTAGAAAGCTATATTTGTGTTAAAACTGTAAAATGCAAGGTTTTCCAAATAATTAGATGCCTTATTAAACCCTTATTAAAACACAGCACCCAGACAATTTTTCAAGGGGATACCTCATGATTGGCTCAGTTACTCCATAATATAATTGTTTGGATGGTACTCTACTATTGTGAGCACCAACTTTTGGGAGTGAAAAAAAAAGCAAAACCCTTTCTCCACCTTTCTTTGGGTAAAGCTGGTGCCTTTACTTTAGAAAGCCATATTTGTGTTAAAGCTTTAAAATGCAAGGATTTCCAAATAATTAGATGCCTTATTAAACCCTTATTGAAAAACAGCACCCAGACAATTGTTCAAGGGGATACCTCATGATTGGCTCAGTTACTCAATAATATAATTGTTTGGATGGTACTCTATTGTGAGCACCAACTTTTGGAAGTAAAAAAAAAAAGCAAAACCCTTTCTCCACCTTTCTTTGGGTAAAGCTGGTGCCTTTACTTTAGAAAGCCATATTTGTGTTAAAACTTTAAAATGCAAGGTTTTCCAAATAATTAGATGCCTTATTAAACCCTTATTAAAAAACAGCACCCAGACAATTTTTCAAGGGTATACCTCATGATTAGCTCAGTTACTCAATAATATAATTGTTTGGATGGTACTCTATTGTGAGCACCAACTTTTGGGAGTGAAAAAAAAGCAAAACCCTTTCTCCACCTTTCTTTGGGTAAAGCTGGCCCCTTTACTGTAGAAAGCCATAGTTGTGTTTAAGCTTTCAAATGAAAGGTTTTCAAAATAATTAGATGCCTGAAAAAACCATAATTGGCTCAGTTACTCAATAATATAATTGTTTGGATGGTACTCTATTGTGAGCACCAACTTTTGGGAGTGGAAAAAAAAACAAAACCCTTTCTCCACCTTTCTTTGGGTAAAGCTGGTGCCTTTACTTTAGAAAGCCATATTTGTGTTAAAGCTTTAAAATGCAAGGTTTTCCAAATAATTAGATGCCTTATTAAACCCTTATTAAAAAACAGCACCCAGACAATTTTTCAAGGGGATACCTCATGATTGGCTCAGTTACTCCATAATATAATTGTTTGGATGGTACTCTATTGTGAGCACCAACTTTTGGGAGTGAAAAAAAAAAACAAAACCCTTTCTCCACCTTTCTTTGGGTAAAGCTGGTGCCTTTACTTTAGAAAGCCATATTTGTGTTAAAGCTTTAAAATGCAAGGTTTTCCAAATAATTAGATGCCTTATTAAACCCTTATTAAAAACCAGCACCCAGACAATTGTTCAAGGGGATACCTCATGATTGGCTCAGTTACTCAATAATATAATTGTTTAGATGGTACTCTATTGTGAGCACCAACTTTTGGGAGTGAAAAAAAAATAAAAGTAAATTAAAAGTAAATTGAAATCAATTGAAAGTAAATTGAAAGTAAATTAAAAGTAAATTGAAATCAATTGAAAGTAAATTGAAAGTAAATTAAAAGTAAATTGAAATCAATTGAAAGTAAATTGAAATCAATTGAAAGTAAGTTAAAAGTAAATTGAAAGTAAATTGAAAGTAAATTAAAAGTAATTTGAAATCAATTGAAAGTAAATTGAAAGTAAATTAAAAGTAAATTAAAAGTAAATTGAAAGTAAATTGAAAGTAAATTGAAAGTAAATTGAAATCAATTGAAATCAATTGAAAGTAAATTGAAAGTAAATTAAAAGTAATTAATTTAATTAAAAATAAATTGAAATCAATTGAAAGTAAATTGAAATCAATTGAAAGTAAATTGAAATCCTTTCTTAAGTTGATTGACCAAAAAAATGTTGAGGGAAGGCAAAAACAAGTGCGAGTTATAGAGTATCCTCAAATTGTTTTGGGTGGGGGGGGGCCCTCACACTAATCAGATGCAAACATTATATATATATATATATTATATACAGTATATATATATATACAGTATATATATATATATTATACAATATATATATAATATATATTTATATACAGTATATATCTATATTTAATACGGGGTATACTGTCAGCCAACTTATAACTGAAGGGGGGAGGCACGACCTTGTACAAACATGTACAAAACCATCATCTATGGTGAGGCCGAGATCAGTCCCTTAAATAGTGCACGCAAATATCCGCGTGTTCTTTTGGTTTCAGCCCACCTTGCTGAGATTTGCGTGGCAAGCACATCACATATAACTCCACAGTGGCTGATCACAGGTTCATTTTAACGAGCAGAATTCACCATGCATAGGCCGCTGCGACAGCAACTTAGTGCCTCATGGAAAAATTATATATATATATATAAGAGCAACACCACAAAAGATCAAGAAGTAGTCCAACATGTCTAGTTTACTTCTTTTGATTTCTTGGGTTCAATCAAACCCTGGCCTTCACAAATCCGGTATAAATGTTGCCAGGTGTAGCCACTGTTATGCCACTATTAGAGATAAAATGTGCCCCCCCAGTTATAAGTTGGTTTATAAGCCCCATTAACTATAGTTAAAGTTAAAAGTCTCATAAACCCTAGTTATTGAAGTTATAAACCAACTTAGGTATCTAGCAGGCCCCACATTGTAGGGTTTTTCCCATTGCCATGTCTGATTCCCAAACGGTATATATACTGTAGACTTAGGGCACTGCTTTCAGTGAGTGTTCTTAGCTACTGAGATTCTGAGCTGCCGAGGTTGTGAAGCTCGGAGGTGAAGAATGCAGAATCCAAGAATATCGGCTTACAACAATTCATATAGAATATAATCACAAAAAAAACACATCTTATTATAGTACCTGTAAGGTTTTGGACACTGCTCTTCTCCTTCCAAAGGAACTGCCCTTAAGGTTTCAATGCTATGACCCTATGACCAAGTTTCCTTCCGAGCGCCACGGCTTTGCATGGTGCAGGAAAGCACGGTGGCATAGCGCTTTCAGCACTTGGCAGCATCAGCATGGCAGGTGCTGTCATGGCAGGGATCCAAAAAGTTGTACGGCTGGAATCTCGGTGGCCCGTGAAACCAGTTAGAAGTACTGAACTAACCCCACTTATGGAATGTATAATCCCATAGAAATAACATGAAATAACCAGTTGTAACTTAAACTAATAGCCATGGCCATGTTTCTGCATGATCAACTGAAAAGGATCCCTTATCAATGGGAATTCCAGGATCCTAAGATGGAGGTACTGTACCATATAAGCCCATATTTTGTGGGGATGTTCCCTTACATAGGCCTTATATATGGTAGGTACCTCCAATCAATCGGTTCCTGAAATGGCCATTGACCTTATCATTATCTATGATCACTGCTTGATTCCTCCTGAGCCTGGGCGATGGCAAAAACCATGGGTCTCTTGACATGGTCCAATCGACACAGCAAAATGGACAAATTGACAAAATAGTCACGAATATTGATGATTAGATAAATATTAATCATCATAAGATTGATAAATATTAATCATCATATATCTTTTCAATTATTAGTACTCATGAAGTACAGGGACAAGTATTTGGCAATGTTAAACCACCATGTTGTTGGAAATCCATAATTCTTGGTTGAATCCATGTCCTTTGCAAATCGGCTTCACCCGAAACGACTTTACTGGATAAAGAAATTTGACCCATCTCTGAATGCATTAATGGCAGTTAGTAGAACAGAAAGAGGTACCCTCTGAAATTTGACCGTTTGCCATGGGAACTGGCACATTGATAGACGATTTACCTATTGAGGACAGTGGTTTTCCATATGTTAGTCATTGCTAGAGGTGAAAGCAAATCAAATTCCGGGTACTGACAATTCAATTCCTGGTGGAAAACCATGGAACATACCCGGCCTGCTAAACGTTTACATAACTATGGAAAACCACCATTTTTAATGGGTAAATCAATTATTTCCATGGCCATGTTCCATAGTTATGGTAAATTGCCAGAGGGTAATGGAAAAAACACACCAAAATGCAATGTTTTCAGCATTGAAGTGGGCCATCAGATCCGTCAGATATCAGGGAGTGACCCCAGCTTGTCAGCACCCAATCGCCCTATAACTGGTAGATATATTTGGCCTCGTGGTCCCCCTTCAATGTTGGCGATATGGTTTTTTGATATCCCAATTGGTAATCTATCCCAATGATTCATTGATGGTAATTGATATAAGTCTCCCTGTGTCAATTATATATTAATTGGTGATATCCCAATTTGTTCTGGTTTTCCCGACAAATTAGTCTTGCTATATCCCTCCTTTTGCTTGGTCATTTTCTCACATGTGCTGCTGGTTATCTCCAAAAGATTGGTTATCCCAAGAAGTTTTGGTGGAGCCAACCCCTCCAACCATGGAACCAAATTCGCGCTTAGAGGACTACTTGCTTTCCTCCTTGCTTGGGTGATTCTCACGTCAGTTGGGAGCTTTCTGATCTCCACATTTTCACCACGTTTTCGTTGGAAAACGACCCTGCAGAACCGTTCCACCTCCTGGTGTGGCTCCCTTTCTTTTCACTCACGCAGTAAGGTGCTGCCGGACACCGATGTTGCGCCCGGAAAGTTCCACCTGACGATGAACTGAACGGCTGGGCTAACTAGGAAAAATACCAGTTACTTAACATACAGTAAAGCTGCTATAGCTATGGAAACTGGCCGAAGCTAAGTTAGATAACCAGAGGGCAAACCAATAAAACAATTTCAAAATCAAAACCTGGTTGCACACTTTTCGACCTCTTTTCGGGGATGGATCTAAAACAGCTAAAGGAAGTCAGGTGTGAAGATATTTGGGGAATACTTTTTGGGTATTTGGTATAATTCTAAATATAATTAGTATATGGAGTTTCCTAAAATGCAGGTGCCCCAAATCACCCAAAATTAGAGCAATTTAGTATTGGAACCTATGGTTTTGGGGATCCCCCCTCATTTTTAGAATCTGTATGTACATCTGTATATCTATCTATCTACATATATATATATATTATATATATAAATACCAGTATGGATAAATGATAGCGATTCACAAGCATGAAGAGTTGGGCCACTAATCTTCCGTTTGTCCGGCCCATGCCCCGCGAGCAAGCACGAAACGGGTGAACACTTTGGCCATTTGCAGATAGTTACAGTACCCTTGATAAATAACCATCATTTCTAGTGATTCTAGTGACATTGCAGTGAGGTCGTCACAATTCACCCAGAACCTTCAAAAAACGGTTTCTTTGTTTAAAGCTGGAATCTGTCTGGCTCTGTAGTAGAGAAATGGTGTTTGCTTTGACACACAAATTTTGAGAAATCAACAACTGAACAAGGGGTGTTATAGTAAAGACACAAGGGGACGCAACTAACCTGAGAACTAGAAACTTGATGATGTAACCCACCAAAATCATCCAAAATCCGGACTTGGGTTGAACTCAAAATATTTTTTATTTGCATGAGAGTGTTTCATGGGTTCCTTTCCAAATTTATATGTAGCTGATCCGGTCAGACTACCTAGTAGTTCAGTGATTGCCTTTTTGCGGAACACATGGGTGCTCTGAAAATATGATATATCCAAAAAATGCGACAACATAATAGGTTTTTGGGATATATACATACATAAAAATAATGTTACCCATTGTAATCCATTATAATACCGTTTGTGGGATTAACCAATTCTGAAAATGATGAATCATCATGGGATTTTGCATGATAAACATTATGATTTACCTATTCAAAGTGATGATCCATAGAAACATAGGCCGATGGATGCGTGTTAGCCAGCTCACATGCAGAAAACCAAATGGGCCACATGGGCGCGATTGGCACTGAAGAGATCCGGCGCAGCTTTGCGCGCGCCATGTCCTCAGTTGCCAACATCTTCAAGCGTCATTTTCCAGCCGTTGCAATCCTTCCAGCACCGGTTCACTGGTCATGTAGGAGTCATAGATGTGGGAGCTCCGCACGTCTGCATAGGAAGCCAGTAAATGTCTAGCCGTTGGGCACAATGATGAGCATGGCAAGTGGCCAAATCTGTTCCTATTGGTGTCATATGGGGGGAGTTTTTGGTGGGATAGGATTACCATCCAAAAATGGTAAATTTTGTGCAGCATCAAGACCATTCAAGATCTGGTGATTCAACCAACACCCTGAAGCCGTGGCGGGCCACATGATAGATGATTCCAATCCGGCCTAAAAAAAGTGGGTGTCAGTGGTTTTCCGCAATCCCACAGCAGTAGTCATTCCTGATGAAAAGTCCAGGGCCCAACAAAACATGGAGGTTCGACATGATCATGGAAAAAATAGGCTTTTGAACACATTTTTGGATGCAACCAACACCATTGGGAATATACAAATTCTTACAATTTAAGAACAAGAAAGCATGAAGTAAAATAGTTTTCCTATGTAACTTGGAATATATTCACTACCATTGATTGTATCCGGATGTATGGCAAAAATGGTAAGGCCAGGTAAGGTATCCCAAAAGAATTCTCTTTAATGATCCCCAAGAATAACCCCTTTGGTAACCAATCGTTTGAGTCTGTTAACCAAAACATGTTAACCGCATAATGTCTTGGTTGATCAGGTAAATGAAAATTCTGGAGTATCCCTACAATGTGGCCCCCCCAGTTATAAGTTTGTTTATAAGCCCCAGTAACTATAGTTATAAATACCATAAACAATAGTTATTGGACTTATAAACCAACTTGGCTATCTTGGGGGCCTCACATTGTACACTTGTTTGACAAGGCCACATGCATCATTTGTTGCTTTAATCTCTAGTTTTGATGCTTTCATGCTGTTTAATACCCAGATTATCCCATAATTCGGTGGGGTACATCAGACGGTATCAAACGGTGAAATAGATGCCTGCTGGGATTTAATAATGTTTAATCATTGTTTACTCATATGGGTATGGGTCAATACCTATAGATACCATTTTTAGTGGGATGAACATCCATTTACCAGCTATTTTGATGTTCACCAGGGGTACAAGGTTTTGACACACTGCCATATGGGTGTGTCTGGAAACGGGGTATACCCCAAAAATATGGCGAAAAATTCATGGAACACATGATGAACCAATGGATTTTCACATAAGCCATGGATGACCATGAATGAGTATTGAAACAACCATGGTGACTTGGGGATCCCCCATTTGAACAAACCCCCAAATGGTTCCCTTAGTAAATTAGTAGGTATATATAAGTGGTTAAAAACCCTAGTTGCCAAATCCTCTGGCTTATCCCGCTTGTAAATGGCTTATAACCCCCATATCCAACCCGCATGTCTTGTTGGTAGTCATCCGCCTGGCAGGGTCGCCCTTCTCCGCAGCCACACTCTGCATGGAGAGGTTGCCCAGGAAGACCGAGACCTACAGGGCCATGCAGGGCCCTGGCAGCCAAGAGATACGGCTATTGGTTTAAGCCATTACATCTAGCTATTTAGTTATCAAACATGGTGATTTATAATGGGATTTAAGCATATTTAACATCAAACATGATGATTTATAATGGAATTTAAGCATATTTAACATCAATCATGGTGATTTAATGGGATTTAACCCTATTTAACCAACAACCATGGTCTTTTATTGGGATTTACTTCTGGTAAACATGGCAAGCTGGAAAATCCCCGAACTCAATGGAGGTTTATAGGCTGGGAAAATCATCTATCTATTAACAGTTGTTTTTTTTCCAATTGCTATGTTTGATCACTGGAGGCTACTTGGAATAGATCTCACCGATCTATGCCTTTTTTAGATGTGTGTGATCCAACTGAGACTTTTCTGGCCAATAGGCCGCTCTGACTTCGCCCAAACTTGGAGGTAGACCTGGGAAGACGGCCCCCTCGGGCCGGACACATCGTGAGGCTGGAGCAAGTGACGAGGAGTGGTCAGCCACCCTTGCGATGGCTGACCAGATGAACTGGTTGGAGTCGGCAGCTAGCCCGGCCCCTTGGCCGCTTCGTTCAGGTTCCTGGAGCAGGAACGTTGCCTGCAGGCGCTCTGCCCCCCTTCAAAGCACGTCCCACTTATTGTGATGGAAATGCCAGCCATCTGTCTCCTTGTGCCTTAATTAATCCTGAATAATCTTGTATGATCAGCGGAAGCGGAGTGGATAAAAGGATTTAAAAGGGACATTTTTTGACACTCACAGGCTACTACAGGTGTAAACCCCACGGAAAGAACCTCAGTTTCAAATAAGACTTTTTCATTGATGGTAACGTCGTGTTTGTCAAACTTGGACCATCACTTCTCTCGGTATATCCGCACATTTGCCCTTTGGTAATTCAACGTAGGGAACAGGAAATCCATCGAACTAAGTTCGGTTCACCATCATCGAACTCAATGGGCTATCTATACCATAGCAAACTCTTGAACCAGAGGGTATAGATAGCAGATGACCAGAGGGTATTATAGGATTATAGGCTATCTATACCTGGCAAACTCTTAGGATACTGTACCACCCAATAATCCTTGATTCACTACGTGAAATCACCACTGGTTATAGTGTTTTTTGTTGCCCCTGGAAAGGTCATAATTTCCCAATGAAATGGGTTGAACACAGGTGTGAAACCACCAGCCCAATCATCATTGTCTATATGTCATTGTATATCCCCGTATCTGCCCATCATATCTCCATCTGGATGGTTAAATCACCAGAAACTATCTGAATGAGATGGTTACATCAATTTTTTGTTTACTTGGATAGACTTGTATCTTCATCAAGTCACCCATTCAACCCACATTTTATGGCCTTATGTGGTACAGTACCTCCATTTTAGGATCCTGGAATTCCCATTGATATAAGGCATATTTCCGCCGGCTCACCCAAAAACAAGTGAACAAAAAGTGGGGTGGCGGACCTCCAATCCATCGGTCAGCGGCCCGCGCCCCCTCTGATCATCTTCTGAGAAGTATTCCACCTCTGACTCCACAAATGCACCTGCAGCTTCATCATAAATGGGGTTATAGGGTACTTATAACTGGCAAATGGTCATAATTGTAAGAGATTGCCAATCTTAGATACCCTGAGATGCCCTGCAAAAACGGAACAACAAAATAGCTGGTTAGCAGATCTCCCTATTCATAGCAAAAGGTTAAAGTAGCAAACTATCCATTCAGGTTTACCAATAATATAGGTTTCTGCTGGACTATGACTACAATCACTGTTGGTTATGGGGTGTATGTTTTTGTTTTTTATAATTTCTGAGTGAATCACAATGATTGATCAGGTGCTAAAACAGAATCATCAATAAGCACAGTTGTAAAAAACCGGTCACGTGTTTCACTCATTGAACGATCCATTGATATTTGATCCAGCCATCCATGTCCAATAATGTCCATCCATATAGCATGCATAAGCCCCATCTCAGGCTCTTGGTAGGTAAAAAAAATACGCCCCAAACGAAAATCCAATGTTCTCTAAACTTGAGGCCCAATATGAGTTTGTCTGAAAATAGCGTAACCCCGAAATACAATGGATTATCACGTCGTGTCCTCTATTAATATAGCCATAACATGCCATAACTGGTGGTATACCCCATCTTTAGACACATGGAGGTTTCCTAAAATGGGGTAACCCCAAATCATCCCCTTAAAAAGGATTTTCCAGTGTAAATCATTCATTTTTGGGTACCTCCATGACTATGGAAACCTTCATATCAAGACCAGGCGCTAAGGTATTTGCCAGAGCTGCGCACATACCTCAGAAGGGACACGGGCTGCAGCCCGGTGCTATGGGGAATCCATCAGAAGAGGATCCAATGGAAATTTCAACGCCAAAACACACAAAAAATCAGACTTATTTTTCATACAGTATTAATAAACACTGGGACAGATTGGGATAGTATAATCTTTCCCATAGGATCCATGGTGCTGGTATATATATATATATGCTAACATTTGGGGCAAATGGATGGTAAATGTTACCATATATAGCAGCACCATGGATCCTATGGGTTTGATGATTTTGGTTTCGAACTGCAAGGCACCAAACATCACGACTGCGCAGGATACGACTGTTGCAGTTCAGTCCCTTGGGGTCTCAGAACCGAACCTGCAACCTGCTGGCATCACCAAACGTTGGGATAGATACTTGATGACTCATCGAACGAATCGTTTTTGTGGCTTATATCGTTATTTTAGTGGATCAACCCTACTTATCCCCAGTGTTTTTAGTGAAAACACTGGGATATTACAACTGGTTAGTGGTATACCTACCCCTCTGAAAAATATGAAAGTCAGGTGGGCTTATTATTCCCAATATATATATATATATGGAAAACATGTTCCAAACCACCAACCAAATAAATATCACCCACAAAAACGATTCGTGGGTAGCTCGGCAGGTATATTCCAGTGAAACTCGACGAACTCACAGTGACCTCAACGAAATGGCACCGAACATTGGAACGGCCAAAGCTATATCGTGTCTATGTACCCTCTAATTAACTTTAATGGGATTTATGGGGATTTATGGGGGATATATATACCATTAAAATTTATAGGGATATATGAGATTGATAGGGGATATAATTGGATTTACCCTTTGGTAAACGTTACCAGAAATACTGGTGTTTTTACCAATTTAGATCATGGAAAAACCATCAAAATAAGGGCATTACAAGCCAAAAATAAAGCGATTTAAGACTGATTACTCTCCAGCAAATAGACATGTAAATGGACAATCCATCATTCACAGATCATGTTCTGCTGTTTTTCCATGGAATTCCATATGTTTGTCGTTTTACTCCAGGTATGGCTTGCAAACAAGAGACCAGCCAATGAACAATGGTTGATTAGTTTTCTGATCACGAACCATGCCAATTTCGGTGAAGAAACAATTCGTACAAGATTGAACTCACCTCTTAACCACTTCGTGACTTGTCGCTCATTGCCGCAAAAACCTGAACAAACAAACCTGTTCTGGTCGGCAGACCTTACGAGGACACCAGTGATATGTCGGCAGGTTTGGTTTCACCCATCCAATTGCAACCAGGTCTGTTGGTGTTTGAGCCCCTGATTTTGCGAACCCATTTATGTTTGGTTCAAAGTATATGAGTTATAAACACTGCAGGTATCTACACCATATGAATGTCAGTTTTAGGGAAGTATACCTAATTTGCTTTCTAGCTAAATCTCAATTCTGGTTGGCTAGTCAGTTTTTTTGTTGGTGAAACCCCGCATTTCTTCTGCGATTGTTGTGCAAATCACCAACTTGCAGCGACCCGAGAGAAATTCCGGTAAAATCCAATCTGAAGACAATGATCAATCGAACCTGGAACCTTTTCTATTTTTTTTTGGGGGGGGCGTTACGATACTTGGTGGCTCATCCCAATTAGTAAATGGGCTAGTTCACCCCAATTATAACTGCACATTGCCTCTACTTACCCTACTGAATTAAATGGTGTATTTTATCCACTTCCTAATTGAGATGAGCCATCAAGTATGGTAAGCCTCAAAAAAATAGAATTTTACGTAAAATTCCGATCTGAAAACAGTGATGAATTGAACTTTGTGTGTTTTCTTGGGGGTTACTAAAACAGTTCTGGCCGTTTGCCTTTTTTTTTATGGGACGATACATAAACCATTTTTATGGTGGTATTTCAGTACTTAGAACTGGTGAAGGGCGCCATTTTCCCAATGGAAGATCCAGAAAATTTAGGGATATTCATATGTTTAACGATATATTCACCATAAATCGGGGGTTATATACCCACCTCCCCCCGGTCGCAACTGGTGCCTGTCACGCTCCGAGATGCTCCGCATAGTCGTTGATCTCCATGAGACCCACATTGTCTGCCACGACCACGGCCTGGGTTGGGACTGGCTTGAGACTGGTTGTGTGTATATATATATTATATTATATTATTATATTATATTATTATATTATTATTATTATATTATTATTATTATATTATATTATTATTATTATTTGTTATTATTATTATTATGTGTTGTTATTATTATTATGTGTTATTATTATTATGTGTTATTATTATTATTATGTGTTGTTATTATTATTATGTGTTATTATTATTATGTGTTATTATTATTATGTGTTATTATTATTATGTGTTATTATTATTATGTGTTATTATTATTATGTGTTATTATTATTTTTTTTATTATTATTATGTGTTGTTATTATTATTATTATTATTATATTATTATTATTATGTGTTGTTATTATTATTATGTGTTATTATTATTATTATTTGTTATTATTATTATTATGTGTTATTATTATTATTATTTGTTATTATTATTATTATTATTTGTTATTATTATTATTATAATAATTATTTTTTTATTGCAATTATATGGTGAATATATGGTTATTTTTTTTTTGCTCGGCCTTTAGAGTCTGCGATCAGCTCGCGGCGGACGGCCCCTGGCCCCACTACCCCTGTCGCTGAAGCGACAGGTCGGTCGTCCGCATAGCGCGCGCTGCGGTGCTCGGGCAATGGTTGGAAAGTCACAAGGCAAACCAGTCTGGCCATGGGCACATGGGAACGAATGTGCCGCCGGAACGAAGTTCCAAAAGCTTTGGCCCCGGCAGTAGTAGGCGCAGCCGAGGCAAAATTTGCACGGCACACATAGGATGTCATTGACAACCTTCTGGATACGAAATTTGGCACAAGCTGTACGGAAGGTGCCTGTTGGGTCTTTCCCAATGAGGGCGGTGGCAGGTCGAGGCAAATCATGTCGTTCAAATTCGGCTAGGACTTGTGGCACCGGGGCATGGGAATACAAAAGTGTCGTAGGGTTAATATATAGCTATTATAATGACACATAAATAAAACATATGTGTCATATGTGGTTCATATATGTTGAAATAATTGGGTTATGGTAGCCATGGAAATTGATATGGATTATGAGTGGGTTAATATGTATATATATATATATAGTTGTATATATATATAGACATTAATAGTGGCTTTATACGGGTTGATCATGATTGACAATGGTTATCGATTGATTGATACTCATGGGATCAAGCCAATAATATTTAGTTAAATTAAGCAATATATTATAGAGATAAATGGTACAGTTATGGCCCGAAATAACACTTATAAGTACTTACAGTATAACCCCATTTACGGTTTATGTATAATCCAATAGAAATAACCAATTATTGTAGCTAGTCGCCATGGCCGTAACTGTAGATTTTGATATTATGATACAACATGGTGCTGGTTGGTAGTAGACCTACCTCTCTGAAAAATATAAGTTTGTCAGTTGGGGTGACATGACATTCCCAATTGTTTCTGGAAAGTCATAATCCAAATTCATGTTGTTCCAGTCACCACCAACCAGTGGTGATATTGGAATGATGAGGTTAAACAAAAATGAGGTTAATAATGGCTAATAATGGTTAATAGTGACTAATGGTTAAAACTTAAAAATGGTGAATCTAAAACCGTGTTTATCATCTCACCATGACGAGGTTACCCCCGAGCCATGGAGGTTTTTCTACAATGTGGGGCCCCTGTGGGCCACGATAGCGTTCAGTTGGTGCGTTTATAACTTCAATAGGGTTTATGATACTTATAGCCTATAGCTTATAACTATAGTGAGGCCCCCAAGATAGCTAAGTTGGTGCAAATAAGTCCAATAACTATGGTTTATGGTATTTAAACTATAGTTAATGGGTTTCATAAACCAACTTGTAACTGGGGGGCCCTACATTTTTTTGGACATGTTCCATGAAGCCATCTTTGATGACACTGGAGGGTAAACCCAAAGCCAAAAAATAGCCATGCATGAAATCCATGAACCATGGCTGGGTAGCCAACCATGACTGGGGGTCTTTATAAATCATCCCAGTCATAGTGTTTTTGAGAAAAAAAACGCATCATAAAGCCCAATTCCGGAATGACCTGGAAAGTGATTCAACAAGGAATCTACTCGCACTGCTTGACAGTGTATCATTTATCCGACTATACTGGTCTACAGTTTACTGGATCGCTGCAACCTGTTTGTCCCCTCAAAAAAAGACACGACCCTGAACTGAAGGAATTGTCAAGTTTTATCATCCTTAAATTATACTATGTTCATCATTTTTTTGACACAAACTTCCGGCTCGGTCCAAGAAGCTCTGGGATTGAGGAGGTCAGCTTCCTGCGCGTCAAGGGATGTCAAGCGTTTCTTCCAATGGATAGGGATCAGCTTGCATACTTAATTTCCCCAAATGAGATTGTATACAATGTGGGACCCCCTAGATAGCTAAGTTGGTATATAACTTCAATAACTAGGGTTTAGATACTTATAACATCCTATAACTATAGTTAGATGGGATTATAAACCAACCTATAACTGGGGCACATTGTAGTATTAATTATTATATCCATTTCTCTAGCCCACCCTGTGATCAACTGAGCTCGAAAACACAAACACCAAATTCACATCTTTGCATAGCAAGTGGATGGACTTCCACATTTCCGTATTATTCTCATGCAAGTTTAGTAAAACCTAAGGTGTCTTGTGCACACGTTTCCTAAGACTTACTTTCCCATCCCACCAAACTGGTCAGCCACTGAAGAACAGCCAACAAATCCTCATGCTTTTAAATTTAAATAATATTATGTGCCAAATTTGAGTGGTTGAAACCCATATATTTGAAGATACACCACAGTCTTGATGCTTAAATCCACCATGTTTGCTCCTTAAATCCCCATGTTTTTTTTCATCAAAATCCGATGGTTCGTGGTGGTTAACACGCTACGAATCCGTGAGGATCATCCCTTGGTCCATCCATGAAGCCTAGCTGGTTGGTGGTTGAAAGATCACTTGGGACGATGGACAAATACATTCGGAAACACCGAAACGGAAAAATAAGATTTACCTACATTCCCAAGTGTTTCTGGAAAGTCATAAAACTCCATGGTTCACCGGTTCACCACCAACCAGCTAGTTAGTATTTTCGTTGGGGTTCATGTTGCTATTAGTATTACGATTCTTAATCCAACAATAATCCATTAGTAATATTAAAAATCCCATAATTCACAATTAATGTTGGTCAAACAATAATGCATCCCCAATTTCACCATAAATAGGTATAAGCTATTCCCAAATGGGTGGTTTATGACATTGTTTTACCCACATGATCTCATTCGCTGCACAAGTAGCTGTTAACATCCATGACGATGGCAAGCATGGACTACATGGACATGTCCTTTTCTCAGTAGCTCATGCTCAACGTAGGGAGTATTTACCAACATGTTTACCTTACTATATCGAAACACACCATACACGCAGCAAAATCTGGGGTAAATTTCTTCAATTGCTGGGATCCATCTGGAGATGTTCAAATCACCAATGAGGAGTAAACACTAAAAGTGACCAATAGACTGTGGTTTCATTGGCGCCAAATGTTTGAGCCCTTGCCTGTGAAATATATATATTCGCTTTAGTTGTAATCCCACTATCTCTAATTCAAATCACAGGGTCAATCCTAGACATGCGGCAAACAAAACTGGTTAGTAACTACGATTGGCCTCTGGGAATCTGCTACAGTTTGCGAACTGGAAAATCACAATATTTAACAGTAAATCGGCAAACTAAATGGGCCATCTATACCATTCTATACCAGGTCCCAAACTGTGAAATTGCCAGAGAGTATTATAACAAAGTGTGCCGTGTATATGGCATATTATCTCCATAAAATGGTGACATATTCCGCCATTTCCTAGTGATTCCCGTCAGTTTCCCCACAGAAAACCAAAGCTGCAGACTGGTCCTCCAATCGAAGCAATGCAGGGAGGTAGTCCTGCTGAGCGAAAACATAGCTATCTACAAAAATGGCCGAACACAAGTGCAGTACAATCTTTTCTCATTTGGTAGGGTGATATATAGTTGTTTTTAATATTCAAATATGAGTATAATATATGTATATATATAATACACATTTGGTGTATACATACAAATATGATGTGTATATATATATATAACTGAGTGTATATATATATATACACATCATTATTATATCTGGATGGTGGTATCAACCTCTCTGAAAAATATTAGTCAGTTGGGATGACTATTCCCAATATATGGAAACATAGAAACATGTTCAATATATAGGTATATATATATATATACACGTGTGTATAAAACACACTGTAGCTGAAAACATCCTATAGATATACATATCATAGCTGGTTGGATCATGTGCTTATGATTCATCACTTGCAGTTGCTATGACCAGTAATTTAATGCAATTTATGGAGCATTGGATTCCAATCTTTCTTCAGAAGGAAGGATAACACAACATATACCACCTCAGTTCATGGCAATCTTAGATACAAAAAAAAACATACAATCTTAGCTCGTTAGTACATAATCCCATACCAAAAGACGAAAGCTTTCAACTACTCTAAGATTGAACTAGAGTTTCAGTCAACTAAAGAAAACAATCTATTGTCAGACATGTCCAAAGTCTACGTGGATATACATCTCACTTAACAAGTGGCCACGTGTGGTGACATCCGCAAAGATTTTGCGAGGTCATCCGGGTCATCAGCTCCTGCTTCCTGTGATCGATAAACACAAAGTCCAACCTTGGTTGCCATGCTGGGGATACTTCCTGGAAGATGGCTCCGTGCTGGAAAATGTATCAGACTGGTCTCCCATGGATTGCTTTTCCAGGGAAGAATTACAGGATAGCCCCAGATTTCATGGGGAAAAAAGCGATGAACAATAACAATGGTTCATTTTCAACAAAAACTAGCCACTATCCATAGATCCCAGTACTTTCCCAATCACTGGAGACATCGAATGCTTTGTGATTTGTATCTGTTGGTTTCAATGCATCAGAGACCTCCTCCATCAATCAACCCCCATCATGGCCATCTCATTCAGACATGTTTCTGCCTATTTCCTTAACAACTACTAAACCTCAGGACTGGCAACCACTTTCGAGCCAACTAGTTAACAAACAAACACCGCTTTTGAGATGCTGCGCAGTTGTAGGATAGATAGGACAGAGAGGAAATATAGGGTGGATACGTAAATGGATTGGAAAAAAAGAAACAAACAGACCAGATAGATAGAGGAAAAAAGGAATAGGGACATGGATAGATAAGACTTATACGATGAGATAGGATGAGATGAATGGAGATAAGACAACTATGCAGCTAGATGGATGTATAGATAAATTGACAGATTGATTGTATAGATTGATTAGTTGATTGATTAGATGGATGGATACAGAGACAGATACATGCCGATACGAAATCTATAGATCATCCACCTGCATATGGGATGGGATAGGTTTTTAAATACCCGGTGCCCTGTAGGTCACAAAAAAAGCCTTCACATGAATGTTCACGCCCTTCCTTCATCTGGGCAAATCATAGACTTTGACCCATCCCTGTCAGACGTTAGTTGGATGTGCAGCACAGTGGGTCAGTGGGTTCATAGGTCATATCTAATCAATATAGACTTGGGGCAACAGTATTCAACATATACTGGTTGGTGGTTTCAACCCCTCTGAAAAATATGAAAGTCAGTTGGGACGATGACATTCCCAACTGAATGGAAAATCATGGAAAATCATAAAATTCCACGGTTCCAAAGCACCAACCAGTACAATATATAACTGGTAACTGTGTTAAAAGCCACTTCCTGGGCACATGCCCAGTCAGATGATAGATTCAATCGGGCTGTTCACTTCGAATGGCTATAAAATCCCTTGGGGGAATCCCGGTCACCTGATTTTTGTCCAACTAGTCCCTGGTAAACTAACAGTTTGCTATTGAACTTGACCCACTTATATAGTTGATTTACCTATTAGAAATTGTGATTTTCCAATATTTTCCAGTTTGATTTACCTATTAGAAATATTTAGACATTGTGATTTTCCAATATTTTCCATAGCAAACTCTATTAGAAATTGCGACGCTCCAACATTTTCCAGTTCGCAAACGGTTACTTTACCAGAGGCTGAAATACAGCCATTGAGTACCCAGATTTGACCACGACACTTGACATTCCTCCGCACCAGCTCCGCAGTTTGAGCCACCGCCGTGCCCGCCAGCAACGTCACCCTGAGAGGGAACATTTTTCATCCTAGGATCCGTTCCATATGAAACACCATGGATTTTCTGATTGGTGGTTGAGCCTACCCCTCTGAAAAATGATGGAGTGAAAGTCAGTTGGGATGATTATTCCATTCCCAGTATTATGGAAAAAACTGAAATTCATGTTCCAAACCACCAACCAGATTTGAATTGACATCATGAGCATCCACCAGTCTCAGAGGTTTCCTGAATAGATGTTCAGGGAAATTCTTATGTTTGAGGCTTTCTTGAGGAATCTGTTCAAGCCAACTTGCAGGTATCACTCGTTTTTTGTCCAACGAAAAAGGGCTTATTTCCAACATCAACATCTGGGGCTTTAGTTCCGTTTGGACCGGGATAGCTGATGCCAAAAAAAAACTACAAGAAGTAGAGTAAAGAAAAACCATGGGTTTCTCCTATTCCCTACTTCTGGGAGCCTACTCCCAACAGCAAAATGGGAAAAAAAACGAAGGCCACTTGATGTAGCATGTCGAGTGGATGCACATCTGCCTGGAATGCCACATATTTCTAAGATTTTCCAAGGAAACACAAGGTGAGGAATCTCCCGTGAGAAATGTTGCTTTGTGAAACCATTAACTATAGCTGTCTCCCCTATAAACCCTGGGATTCTCCAAGTTATGTGCGTCAACTTAGGTATTGCACATGGATGCCTAACCTTGAATAATCCACTCGCCTGTGGACCTGGTTGATCATCGTCCCCATAGATTGATCATATTTGTGCTGAAAGTTAGATCTCATGGATTTCCCTGTGTTTTTTGGTTTTACCCACATGACTCCATTTTCAAACACACACAGATATCTGGTTGGTGGTTGAGCCACGCCTCTGAACTGATGGAGTTCGTCAGTTGGGATGATTATATATTCCATTCCCAACTGTTTTTGGAAAGTCATAAAATTCCATGGCTCCACTCACCACCAACCAGATATTGCCACGCTAATGTGATGGTTTTTTGCCTGGCTTCGTATTGAGCTGGGAAATCTTCAGCACCTGGGACTTGGAGATCTTGCACCGGTGTGTTTATCTCCCTGGGGCATAGCCGCAATTCAAGGGGTAGAAACCCACTACCCCTCCTGGTAAACATACAAAAAGCTATTGAACATGGCCATTTATAGTGGATTTACCCATTGAAAATGGTGATTTTCCATAGTTATGTTAGTTTACCAGAGGGTAAAAGTCGAGATATGAAAAGGGAACATTTTTTTGAAATGCTGTGTTGTTTGATCACATGATCTGATGATCATAATCTGGTTGGTGGTGCAATAAGCAGCTTATGAAAAATGATGGAGTTCGTCAATGGGAACGATGACATCCCATATATGATGGAACATAAAAAATGATTGAAACCACCAACCAGTAATGTTTGAGTGTGTCTGAAAATGCAGCATCCCCATTTGTTGAATGGGATGATTATGATCAATCGTGAGATTTGAGGGTACCGAGTTGCTGAATCAAGATCCTTCCCCCTGTAGACACCCTGCAACAATGAAGGCCTGAGGTTTATTCGACGTCTATGATATGTCACTGGGTTACACTCCAAATAAGCCAGGGAACAAGTAAACAAATTCAAAATTTGAAATTCAGCTATCAAACATTAGAATGGGGCTGTGCCAAATTCTGAGAACAAACAACTGTCCAACATTTGTCATGTTTCCATTGAAACTACGGCATGGGGATATCCTCCATCGTGGCTTCTTTGATAGTATTCTGTGTCGAAATGAGCCATCCAACAGTATTCAAAAGACAGTTTCATCCGCAAAGTTATTGGTTGGTTCATAAGGATTTCATATTCAATTAGAGTAATCCCAGCAACGCCACATAATCACCACTTCATAAAATTTGACAGCCAACCATGAAACATTATCTCCGTTCTTTGCTTTTTGAGATATTTATTTATATTTGTTAATAAAGACTTACAGTATTTGTTTGCAAACATGTGACGCTATCTGAATATATATGTTTCGTCATCATCACAGCATTGATCAACCGCCATGGAGCACTTTACAGGGACATTGCTGGTGTGGTAGCATGTAAGTAAAAACAATAATAACAACAATAATTGTGTATAAATACATGTTCATAAACATGTATGTATATATTTGCACACATAGTATTCAAAACATGTATACATAAACTTGTTTAATTAAACATAATTAGATATGCACATGTGTATATCTAATATGTAAATACATGTACATTTGAATATCTTTATACAGTCGAACCTGTGAATTATCCAGTCAATTGTATACATATATATATATATGTATGGTGTGTATATGCATTGCACGCGTACATTGTATACATTATAAACATTAACCACATGCATTCGATGCATATATGATTACCCATGAAACACTTAGCTATATATATATACTTCACTTGATATTCGTAAAACAAACATTAAAAATCTGCATTCTTTCAAAAATCTTTTCATTTAAGCAATTACTTAAATCAATATATTCACATATATACATATACATATTATATATATACAGTATATACATACACTTACCATATACAAACTTATTCTTAGTGTACTCACTCCCACTTGTTTAAAGAAACATATCCCCCCATCAACCACCAGCTAGTCCATCCCGCCTCCGTTGCCACCCTCAACTTTTCTTCATCCTTCTCGATGCTAAAGAGCCTCCCTGAAGGAGGCAGCAAGCGGGCCAAACGTACCGCAGAGTAGCCTCAGTTGAGCGGTCGAAATTCAAAACCTGGAGATTTTAAGGAAGAAAACAACATGGCGATTCGGGTTTGTCCGAAAAGTTAGGGACAAAACCTTAATTTCTCTAGTTAATCATCATTTTTTTATGGGGATATCGGGATATCCCATTTTCAGGCAGGCCTGTATTCGACCAAGCAGTGGGTTAAGAATTGGGAATCAGCATCCATCCATTTGACAAAGGACTCTGCCATGAGTTTGGACTAAAATGAGGTTAGTTTATGTTATTTTTAGACGCTATGTTAATTTTGGGGAGGGTAAGCAATATATTTCCACGGTTCTCAGCAAAGTATCTTGGAGATGGCCGACATTACAGGCAGTCGCGGTTTCTTGGCTTCATTGATAGTTTTCTCGTGGATCAAACAAAAGCATACAGTTAAGTTCACTGTGATTAGATTAGTTGATATGACAATCCAGATTGAAAAGATAGGGGCTTGGCAGGTATCATATTATCATCAACCACAATAAGAGTGTGACTCAATAATTAACACCAATATCAAATGACATGGTTGACGACCGGCCAAGGGATCAGATGGCCTGCGGATATCGTTCACGTCTGCACTTCTAAACCTGTTACCATTAAGACATGTAAAGCGCTCCCACGTTTGGAAACACCCATGTTCTCAATTTCAGGTCTTCGTATCCAATCTTCATACAATTTGGGGTTCCCAAGCAATGAACATTTGCGTTTAAGTAATTAAACTAGCTAAGATTTAGGGCGGATATGTCGAAAGTTAGATGGGTTTGTAAATCAGTAGCAAACAAAAACTTGGGGACCCATCATTGTACATCTACAGTTGGACTCCTCCCCATTCCAATTTAGATTTTGTCTAAAAATAGGCTACCCCAATACAATGATCACTATTTTCAAATTGGATTTTGCCACAGTCTATCTTTTTGATGGTTGCTATAGTTATTTTGAGGCTATAGCCTGTTTTTGAAAAACACGCCCATATGATCGGGGTACCCCTAAATCATCCGTTTTCATGAGATATAGATATATCTATGATAAACTAGTAACTAGTCATAGACATTTTATAGATACACCTGCCATTAACTAAATATATATATATATATATATTGTTCGGGGTCCCCATATCTGTATAGCTCCCCAAACGAACCGTGTCCACAACAGCTCCGTCGAGACGCCCAAGTAGGTACCAAGCTCCAGCGCGGTGAAAGCAGCTCGCCCTGGTGGACCAACGATAGCGTTCAGTTGATTTATAACTACAATGTGCCCCCCCACTTATAGGTTGGTTTATAATCCCATCTAATTATAGTTGTAAGATGTTACAAGATGTTAAAAGTATCATAAACCCTAGTTATATTGGAGTTGTGTTCACCAACTAGCATGGAATATGAGTTTTAGAACGGTAAAACATGTTTTTTTATCATCTATAAATATGTATTTCTTCATAGTTATTAGTTATGCAACAAAAAACAGGGAGCAAATTACAAACATCATTCAGGATTAAGAACATTTGGCACAATAGCTGGAAATTGTCGTTTTTTACAGTAATCCCCAAACCAACGTCTCCTATAGGTTTCCTATGTTTGAAACTTCCGCCACCGCCGACCGTGCGGTACTACTGGTAGGTCGTCGTTTTTTTTTAACAATCATCCCCAAACCCATAGGATCCATGTATGCTATTTATGGTCACATTTACCATCAATATATCCCCAATGTTAGCATATATATATATATATACCATACATGTGAACGTCATTTTGGTTCACACAGACCCGAACTCGTGGCTGCGGCACTGCTGCCCGGCGGCCGTGCCCAGTTGCATCCAATCGTTCGAGCTATATACCATACATGGATCCTATGGGAAAGAGTGATGCAGAATTTCGATGTGAAACCAGGATTTGGTCATTCGCTGTCCACCTTCTTGGCGTCCACCGGACTGGGGATGCCGGGATCGACCCAGGGATCCTACGAATCGGTTGGTTTTTGTGGGTGATCTCCCGGTTTTTTCAGTGGGATAACTATGGTGAATCCACCATAAACCATACTTAAACAATACTTAAAGCTAGTTATAAACCATTGCTTTTCCAGATCTATAATCTATAAGATTCCATGGTTCCAAACCACCAACCAGGATAACTATGGTTAATCCACTGAAATAACCGTTATATATAACCCACAAAAAAGGATTCGTGGGATGAGCTACCAAGTATTATGCCCTTCTCAATACTGTCCTTTTAGGAACAATGTTGCGTGGCCGGTTGGGTAGATTGTTCTTATAAATGGAGGAAGCAACAACAACATAGACACAGTCAGATTCGAAAAGGGCAGTTCTAAGTTGACAGGATTCTGATTTTAGTACACCCATATGCTCCATGGTGTTGGAATATTTACGAGCATTTGCCCGAACAGGATCACCCAGTTTTGTAAGTTTTTATATACCAGCACCATGGTTCGCATATGGGATATAGTAACCCCACAAAAAGATATATATGTCAGTCTTTCCAGGATGGCCTTATTCCAGGTTTCCGACTTTTCGGCATTTCAGGGTTGCTATAGAAAAACCTCTTGGAACCAACCACTGGGAACTCTTTTTTTATGTGCATCCCACTTAGAAAGTCCACATCCCAAAATAAATAAATATACATACCTAGAGAATATATATATACATATGTATAAGTGGGGATAATCCATACATAAAAGGGGGTGTAGTATAGCCCATGTACTAAGCGGAATGCACCCCCAAATTCCCTGACTTTCCTCCCCCGTCCGCACCTGAGTTCAATCTTAGGGCCTCCTTGAGCGCCGCGTCCAGCACTCGACCCTTCACGTCACCAACGTTCCTAAAACAACGTCCGCGACGGGACGGGAAGGCGACATGCATTTGATGGCGATATATTTAGTTTAATGGATTTAATTTGACTTTAGCATATTTTGGGGGTGACTTTGAAGGAAATTCAGGATATGTTTGGTGAGTTTAAGTGAGTTCAAGGGTGATTTTAAAACATCATTCGACTTTAAGGTTTTTAAGGGGTTAGATCCGTTTGCCACCTAACTAACAGGTGGTGGTGCACCTTATTGCCATGGCCATGTTGACTTTTTACCCTCAGAAAAACTAGTTTGATATATCAAAAACCATTAATTTAAGCTAGTTCTCAACCAACTTATAACTTAGCTATGGGTTTCGCGGCCCCCACCTTTCATGGGTAGAATTTCGGCACCCTGAACCCTGGATGGTCATCAGTTCAGCAGGTCTGATGGCTGGTATTGCGGAATTTTGGTGCAGCATGTTCAAGAAAAAACAATAATTCTTTTTTGTGGTCCCCCATATACACCCCCCCACTGTTTCAGGTCAATTACCGGAGTGCTGGTCGTTCATAATCGTTTTGCGCATTGAACGAATGGTATTGAACTGCTGAACCAACTCTTGAAAATTGTCAGAGTCCAAAACGATAGCTTTTGACAAAACGAACAGAAAAAGGAGGCGGGTCTGATTCAGCAAACTAGTGACATGGGCCGGGGCAGGAGCCAGCAGGTAACTCGATGTGAAGGACTGCAACGATTCGACAAATGCGTGGACATCTTGACGCAGGTGCCGTATGTGCCTCTTCAATTTGTGCCGATGCCACGCCTCCTGCGCCTGCGTCGTGCCGGAGGCGGACCCGGGGTGCGGGATGGTGCGGGCGGGTCAGCCAGAGTGAGGCGGTCATGGCCACGGATTTGGAAATCAGCTGCTGGAATTGTCGGCTTCAGCACGTGACCAGCAGCGACAGATGAGACTCCAGAATTTCCAGCCTCCCACCGTTTGGAAATCAAAGATTAAAAGACCCATGAGGTGGGACGGTGGGACCCCCTAAATAGCTAAGTTGGTTTAAAATTCTCAAAACTAAGAACCAAACATCAACTTACTTAGCTGGTTTATGATGCTAATCAAGATGATACTAACAGATGTCAATGAACAAAGCCTCACCACACAAAGAAGAATATGTGATCCTACTGATATGCCACAGGCATCAGACAGTTTTGATTCTATCTAATGGATGGTATTCGCCGCCTGTTAGCTTCCCCACTTCCGAAACAGCAGTAGAATCTCCAATTTTATTTTAAGAAGTGCAGATTTGTTACAGTAAACACTCATTGAAAACTTGGTGGTGAGCAATGGCCATTTCCAAGTCGTACCCACAATCTTCAAATCGCAGGGGGTTGTCTTCACTTGCATGGAAATTGACAATGGCACCCTTTCAAAACTTGTTTTTCCTGTTGCATGCGCAGTTTATTCTGCATCTGCACATGGAACTGCCATGGCCATTACATCAATCATGGGAGGTGTCCGAAAATGGGGGTAGTACCCTCTGGTAATTTGTTACATAGCTATTGAACATGGCCCAACATGGCCAATTTATAGTGGATTTACCTATTGAACATAGTGATTTTCCATAGTTAAGTTATGTTAGTTTACCAGAGAGTACCCCCCATTTTTTTAATGAAATCTCCGCATTCCCAAATGTTTGGGAGGCGCTTGTTGCCAGCGCTGGAAAGTAGGCTTTTCGAATGTTCCTGTATCCTTTGGGAAATGGTCATAATCCAACATGATTATATAAAAGGAGGAGGCCTGACCCAGAGAAAAACACATATTCAGCTGCAACATGCACTCCTCAAGCATGAGGGGAAGACTGGAAACATGAAGTAAAGATCATCTACAACATCCTGGAAACACTATAGTTATTGTTTGGTGATTGCTATAATATATCAAACTTATTAAAAATCAGTTTGCCCCATATGTTTAGAACAACTCTTCTAGATAAATCTACCCGCACGCAACGATAGCCATGGATCATGAGCCATTGCTTCTGCCAAGCAAACTCGTCCTTGGGGCGGGGTATGTAATGACCCAAAACATGGGTACCATCCGAACATCTCCTACTATTGGTTGGTAATATTAATGATTAATATTAATAACATTAATAGTTATTATATGGTTAATTATGGTTAATAATATATCCGAACATCTCCAAACTAGACATTTGAAGATATATATATATATATATATATATATCCAAGTTCAAACCATCCATTTCTGGGGTGTCAAATGGTGTCAGCCCTCAATTTCTGCGAAATGGAGCTCTGAAGAACCATAAGAAGCTCGCTTGAAATTAGGATCAGCTTCTCAGTGTAATTTCGAGGTTTCTCTGAAAATACAGCTCCCAAAACTCCACTAGTTTATGATATATTACTGTAATACTACCAATATTAAGGGGGTATACCCAATGTTTAGACACACCCATATCATAACAATATTAAATTGTCATATCAAATGTGTGATGGTCAAGAAAAATAGATATTTTATGATATTTTCATATCATTATGTACATGTGCCTAGGTGAATTCGATTAGGTTTATGGGAGATGTATGGAGATATATCAAACCAGTTCATGCGGTGAAACAACACCAACAAAGAAGACTGCGTCATGGTCAAGTTTCCTGGGATTTAAAAGAATGTACAATTTATGGTAATCCATTTCATCATGGGCATCCATACATCATGGGAATATAGATGCCTATGCGGTGGGTTGATGACAATGCCCCAATATCAGTTCCACCCTGCTGAATCGTCAATGGGAAGGCGGGCACACACACAACCCACTGCCTATTCACATCTGAATACCATGGATCTCAAACTTAAGAACGTGGGCAAATATAAGTTGGTTTATAAACCCCGTTAACTATAGTTATAGGTATTATAAAACGTAGTTATTGAAGTTATAAACCAACTTAGCTATCTAGGGGGCCCACATTGTAGGAGTGTGGTTGTAAAGTGGCCATGTTTTTTTTGCACTTATTTTCTGATTGAACACCTTTCCAAGCATGAACTCAGTTCTTTTCAGTTGGCCATATCTGTCTACAGGTTCAACCCCAAGGTATCCATCAACAGGGAGATTTTAGTTCACCGCCCAACATTGGTTTCGTGCAATTTTTGTTTCTTGGGTTTCATGAATCCTTTCTTTTTGCAGCAGCAAAATTCAGGAACCTTGAACAAAAGCCAACTCCTTTTCTTCTGCAGGTCGCCTTGGTCGAGTCAGTGCTGGCCTTCTCCATCAGCAGAATCTCGGAAGCTGCTCGAGGATGTGAAGAGATGCGGAACCAAGATCTCAGCATCAACAGGTTCTGGCATCCATGGTGTGGCACGGCAAGACTTCTCCAGTACACCAGAATTCTTTTTCAGCCATGGTGCGCAGCACACCTCCGCCTGCTGGCCCGGTCCACTGAAGCCTTCTCGGAGGTCTGGCCATCATTGCGCTTCAAACCCGAGATAAACGAATTACCCTCTGGTAAACTAACAAAAAACTATGGAAAATCACCATTTTTTAATGGGAAAATCCACTAAAAATCACCATTTTCAATAGCTATGTTAGTTTACCAGAGGGTATGTTTATGCTTATTTCTACTGGATTCTACGTGATTACTGTGTACATAAACCATAAATGGGGTGACTTACTGACTTACGCCAGGTTTACAGTAGGTTTGCCGCCTGGACCTCGTGCCGCCCGTTGATTCCCTTGCCAAACCAGTAGCCGTATCTTCTCTGGCAAACACACTATATATCATGGTACCTCATGGCAATTCCAGCCAAATCACATCCAACTACACTCATTCAACTGCATTTCACAGATTTCATGGTGGCACATAGTTGTCGTTTACTGTACCCCTACCTTTGTTTGTGGATATCGCCGTTATCCATGATTATCAAACAGAATTTGTGTTCAGATCATTTTCCTTGCTGTTTCTGTAAGAACATCACATTGCCAAGCTGAGATGCTCTGCAACAACATGTGACGTCCAGGCTGACATTATCTTCATCCGAATATCTCTAAAAGCAAACAAAACATTGACCTGTAATATCGTTTGACAAGCTTTGCTGAATCAAACCCAATGGTGGCTAAATCAGCTTGACCTCCACTTTGCTATGAATTGTCTACCCATTCTTGTCCAGGAAGTTCCTCCGAACGGAATGTAGACTGCTTTGAATCTCTCTACTGTGTCAGTACTTAAATATCACCATACCGTATATGATATCACTGTTGTATCGCCATTTTTAGCCCAACTAAATCACCTGTATATTATATAATTATATATATCTCTCTCTCTCTCACTTACAAGTCTTCACTACAAGTAGGCCTCTCTATAGCTGAGTTGGCTTTAATAAGTAGGTCAACCGTGGTTTATGGCCAAGGTATCACAATAGTTAAAAGGGTTATATGTTGACATCCGGATGTGAGCTGCTGTCGCCACTTGCTTGATTTCAAAGATTTCACAGTTATTCCTGAATGCCTGTAATGCCTGTAAGGTTTTCAATTGCAGCGGAAAAAAAACGTTACTGGGGGCTATATAAACCATCCTCTTACTGGGAAAAACACATTGTATGATTCGCTGGGATACCACCATTGGATAGAAACTATCACTTTCCCAATCAATGGCCATCGCTTGGGGGAAAAAAACAGTTTCAGACTTACTCAAATATCATATTTGCTTAGTTCTATCTCCCAAGCGTTCCCATCATGTCCCAATTAGATAACATTAAACCACCGTTTTTGTCCGTTATATAAATAAATATTATGTATCAACATGCATATGATCAATTTGTTGATGGTATAGTATAATATTTCAAATCACGGTTTTGTGATTTCTCATTTATCACAATACATTGCAGTTATGGCCCTTGCCATACCAGTTAAAAGATGTTATAAGTACTAAGTCATCCCATTTATGGTTTATGTATAATCTCATTGATTCATAACCAGTTATTACACTAATAGCAATGGCCACTTCACTGCACCCAAGCAGTCGGTGCCGAGCGTCGATGGCTGCAAGCACTGCTTCGGGAGACCTTGAAGGTGCCTGAAAAAATGTGCGCAAATCTCTGCGACCTATGGAAATGTATGGTGATTTTATGGGATTTCACTAGGGAAATGGAGGATTGAAGTATAGTTAACTATATGTTAACTATACTTAGTTATGGAAATTGGATTTATACCCGGTGTATCAAACATGGCTAGCTGTGAAATCCCTTCACTGGCATTTTGTTATTTGTTTATATAAAACAAACTCAGGACTTTCAATTGCCACGTTTGCTTACCGGAGGGTAAATTCAATTCCGGATATATACATACATATATATATATTTATATGCAAACCAATTTATGCTTATGCAGCATATATGTATCTTCATGTACATAAAATATACTTTAATCATCGTAATATTATGGGACACCCTCCAGAAAACATATAAAATCCATATGATTACATATAATTACATACATTCATATACTATAAATTGTATATTGCACGTCAACATATCAACATGTATATCAGTGAAACAACCATCATGAGGATGTGACTTAAACTAGACTGGAACATCCCAGGCGGAGTCACGTGGATGATCACGGGACAAATCGTTAGCAGCTGCCCGTGACACCTTGTAACTGCGATATCATGGGTTATATAAGTTATAACCAAAAAAAACTATTGTAACCAGTGACAGGGAACACACTATATAATAGTATATATTCAACTCAATGAAGCTGTTTGAAAGCCGGGTCTGGAAACCATTCAGGCTGGCCCGATGAACCAAGGCCTCTGGGAGCTTGTCCCATACAGTCATAGAGTCATAGCCCCTCCAGCTGCTGCTTTCCCGCAGGATCTCGGCTGCAATTGGCCCTGAAAGAGTTACAGTGCGAAGCGGAGCCCTTCTCCTACTAATCTGTTCAGCTCTATCCAGCTGGGCTGGAGTCGGAGGTGGATGGTTTGGTGGAGGTGCCACAGCCATGATGCCTTGCGGGCCCTGCGGGATCTGTCTGCGTGGCTGATCTTGATTGCTGTCATGATTTCAAAGCCCTCGCCGCTTCCTTCCTGCACATCGTTGCTGCCGAGGTTGTACAACTTGCATGCTTCTGGGTAAATTATAATATTTCACTAACCTGAATCTTGCGGCCATTTGGGGATGATTTCCCTAAAATCAACCATAATTTACCCAGATGGTTGGCACAGGTTGGGGTTTTGACTCCAATCCTTGGTGTCTGGAAAGCTGGGCTTTTGACTCCAATCGTTGGCAAATCTAGGGATTCTCATCCACCATAGTTGGAGTGCAATCATCAAGAAAATGCCGTTGAGTGGTTTTTTCCACTGATCAATGAAAATCACCAGGGAAGGAAAGGAATGCTGCAAGTACTGCTGTCCTCAAATAGCAAGAATAGAGGGGCCAGATTGGTGCCATTTACAATCACTTGCCTACTAGTATTGGTTATGATGGTTGTGAAACATGTAGGTTGTCAGGACACGGATGGCTGCTACCTTGCTTGCATAACCTTACCCTGCACTGCAAAACAATCCTAGTCAGTCCTGGAAGGATAATGTATTTCTCTCATTTATGGCGGAAGAGACACATCTAACAATCACCAATGATTGCCTACAGCTATGGCCTGACATACCAGTTATAATTTTTATAAGTCCGTGAAAAAAACCGTTTATTGAATGATAGCCCCATTTAGAACAAACAAAAACATTGCCAATCTTAGATACTTGCAACAAAAATGAATTTTTAGCTGGTTAGTAGATAATCCCATTGGTACCAAAAGACTGAAGGATTAAACTACCCATCCAAGATTGATCTAGAAAACTGGTAAAGGGCTTGAAGTGTAGATTACCATTTCACAGGCTGCCTACATCTGCCGGTGCCTTCTTTTCTGCGCTGGCTGCTGTGCTTCTTTGATAGCGCAATATTGCCACCGATAAATAACGATCACTACTCAAATACCAATTTTGTTATGTGCCCCGAACTAAATGATTGTTGGGTTGGGGGGGAACACACACACTGTTTGCTGATTGTGTGAAACATGGGCCGACTCATTAAGTCATTAGGTACACAAAATTATTATTGCGAACAAAATCACTGCTGGTTAATACAGTAAACTGGTTAACTAACCCATAGTAACATTCATTGGCTATTGGTTGGTGGCATACCTACCCCTCTGAAAATATGAGTTTGTCAGTTGGGATGATGGCATTCCCAACTGGATGGAAAGTCATAAAAGCCATGTTCCAAACCACCAACAGGATATAGTTATCTACCATATAATTAAATGATCCCATTAAAAAGATGATTATGCCATTTTTATCCCATGATTATCCCATTAACAAGGCATGAAATTGTTCCCCTGGACCTCACTGTTACCCGTTGCATCCCCAGTTTCTAAGTGAGATGACCCTCCGAGGAACTTCACGATTTTGATACAGTTTGCTATTGTATGATCAGTAATCATATGTATACATATTACATATATATTATAATTATATCTATAAAATTCTATAGATGTGATTCAAAAGCAACGTACCAGTGATGACAGATAATGTGCTTTATCACAAGATTGAGAGTGAGTGTAACAAAAACATGGTATATACTCAAATTATGTCTCATTTATTGCAGCTGTGTTGTTCATATTGATTGTTGCTTACATTCCTTAAGGTATTGTTGAATCATCAACTAGTGCTAATACAATCCTGGTTGGTGGTTTTAACCATCTTGAAAAATATCATATAGTCAATGGGAAGGATTATCCCATATATTATGGAAAAAACACAGCAATGTTCCAAACCACCAACCACAATCCCATATCATTACCATATTAGGTCCATATTAAGATATATTAAGTCCCATTAACCCATATTAAGATATATTAAGTCCCTGTTGTTTTATAGGCAGATTTTAAGGTCGTTCTACCAGGATGGAGCCCCTGGTAGAAATTCTCTGTGCCTCTAAGGCCTTCACCGCTTCGAGAAGCTCCTCAGGGGTGGAGTCCTGTGGCGCAGACCAGGAACCATTTTGGGACCTTTTTAAAGCCTCAAGAATAAACAGTTTGTCAGCATAAAACATAAATACCATCTAAAAATTTGATTTATTTGGCAGTTGACCATGTCAGAACTAAAGCTCTAAAGGATTCTAATATATTCTAACGGGTCTAAGCATAAATTATACGAAGGTATAGGCCAGTGAAAAATGGAGTTTTGGGGATTCAACCCAGCCACAGGTGACCCCTCAATGGTGAAGATATCCGACATGCGCATTGGATCCCCGAGTTTTTGACATCCGACAAACACTTAGAGATCACCGGGAAAATGGGAAGCCGGGGAAGCCCAAAACTCAACCTGCCCATTGGGGATGGGCTATACCATCCATTGGTTGGTGGTTGACCTACCCCCCTGAAAAATATGAAAGCCAATGGGAAGGATTATCCCATATATTATGGAAAAATGGTTGAAACCACCAATCAGTTTTGTTGCTTTCCAAGTTGGCCAACAGGTTCACATTGCTTTCCGAAGTGGACATGATTCTCCATCTTTGTCATTATCAATCATTTTCCCTACACTATTGAATCAAACATAATCATGACCCATCCATGAGTGAAGGGAGTAAGTAGTTACGCCACTGTAAATGTTTAGATAGATGTGGAACACCCACCAATTGTCAAACCATAGTTTCCACATCTACAGTAGTTATGGCACTTTACCAGTTTTAAGTCACTGAAATAACTCCGCTTATGGTTTATGTATAGTCCCATAGATTCATAACCAGTTATGTCACCATCATTGATCATATGTTTAGCCACTATTAACCATGATTAACCACTATTGAACATCATTATATAATCACTATTGAAATATCAATTTACTGTATAATTGGTCTTTCACCGCAGGCTAGACCTCTGAATTTCCACAACAACATGTCACTGACACCGCGCGCAAACAGCCCGCACTTTGCGGTGCCTGAAAGGTGAAGGGCCCATTCTCCTGGAGCCAAAATCAGAATCAAAAATGGAGGGGTATCATTAACTAAACTGGACATATCACATCAACCAATATTTCACACATCTCCCATCGGTGCTGGTTTGATTTTTTTTTCTGGATGAGTTCTACTATAACACACAGCTAAAAACATGGTATTTTGAGATAGTTCCCCTTACAGAGCGTCATTTCAAATGAGATCAAAGACAATCATCATCCCACCCACGACTATTGGCATGATCCTTAAAGGTAGTAATCTGTTTAGTAAGTGGTTCATATTCTCACCTCCCCTTTGGATGTCTTGGCAAACACATATTGAAGGCCAAACATGCCCATTCTGAGTCATATTCCCATGTACTCTTTCTAAGTAACAAGTAGCATAGTTGAAAAAAATAAAGGCAGTCTGCTTGGTGGCTGAGCCACCCTGAAAAACCTGCGTGACACTTGGTATTATCAGTATCAATTGTTTTGTGGGAGTGAAGATAATGAAAATAATGTTTGAAACCACCAACCAGTACAGTTATGGCCCGAAATACCACTTATAATATGTTATAAGTACTTATAATAACCCCATAAAAATGGTTGATGTATAATCCAATAGATTCCTAACCAGGTATTTCACCATCATTAATCACATGTTTAGCCACTATTAACCATTTATGAACCACTATTGATCACCATTAACCATCATTAATCACTATAGAAATCACCAGTTATAATTCCATTTATCAGTTATTTCCCTATGTTTGTGTATAATCCCATAGAAATCACCAGTTATTTCACGAAAATAGCCATGGCCATTCTGCAACATCTCCCGATATCTCCGTTCTGCGACCATCAATGAACTCACTGGTGCTTATCATCCGATGCCCCAGTCCATACTTAGCACCAGGAAGTCAAACATGAACATGTCAACAATAGTTATACTATAGTTGTATCATGTTGGTGAAAATAATCCACGGAACTAGGGTTTATGATACATACAATATCTATACAATGTGAGGCCCCCCAGTAATGTTTGTTGGTTTAGATTCGCCCCAGCAACTAGTTCCTTATAAATACCATAAACCAGAGTGAAATTGGACTTATTTGCACCAACTTAGCTATCTTGGGGGCCTCACATGTCAAACATTCAATGGTTTCTTTCAGTGACAAACATCACTGGTTTCTATTAGAAGGGATTAATCCCATCATTGTCCAAATGGTGATAACTTCTGGATATTTCTATGGCATGGGATTATCGGATTATATATACATAAACCATTTTCATGGGATATGGGGTTGTTTCAGTGACAAACATCACTGGTATGATAATGTAGCCAGTTTCCCCGTTTCAAGTATCAGCCCATCGGGACAAGATTACCATTTCGAACGGCTATCCGTAACCATCGGAGTTCCGTGGGAGTTACATACAGTGAGGGCACGCTAAGTTATAACTTAGTTAGTGAACTTAAAGAAGTTATAACTAAGTTACGCCGAAGTTATCTTAATGATTGATAACTAAGTTATAACTAATTTGCAACTAAGTTATAACTTCTGTAACTTCAAACTGATGATTTTTTGAGCTCTTTTTGACTACCATAACCAGTGATCCACTGATTTTCTTGTTTTTGAAATTCTCTCGTTTCTGAAACTAAACAAGCCTGAAAACCACTAAGTTTTAACAAAAAAGTAGTTTAACCAAAAAAATGTGCGGACCACCGCCAAACAAAACTTGGAAATTGCGCGGACCACCGCCAAACAGAAGAATTTCTTTTTCCTGACTGCAGAGTGCGTTTGTTACAAGAGACATATCACATTGCCATCTTCGATGGTCCACCAAGTTGGGCATGTCAAATTGACAGCATCATCCAAGCAAAGTGCTTGTGTGCTCTCCAATATTAAGAATTTCTTTCCGTGTGGAATATCATGCGGAAGCTCTTGCAAATCTTTCAGCACCATGACGAAAGTGCTTTTGTATTGAACAAAAAACAAAACCATCGCAGCTGAAGAAGGATTCCAAAAAATCGTTTGCCGGTTGACATCTTGCTTACCTCTGCTTACATCTTTTTACATCTTTTTACATCTGTTTACATCAGTGTACATCTGTCCAAGCAGGTGTAAGCAGATGTAAACAGATGTAACCAGATGTAAGCAGATGTAGGTACATCTGTTTGCATCTGTTTACATCTGCGCTCAAAAAACCCTACCAAACCATAGGCAGATGTAAACAGATGTATGTACATCTGTTTACATCTGTTTACATCTGCGCTTAAAAACCCTACCAAACCATAGGCAGATGTAAACAGATGTAAACAGATGTATGTACATCTGTTTACATCTGCGTTCAAAAACACTACCAAACCATAGGCAGATGTAAACAGATGTATGTGCATCTGTATGTACATCTGTATGCATCTGTTTACATCTGTTTGCATCTGTTTACTGTTTACCTCTGTGCGCATCTGTTTTTTTGGTTGCTTTTCTTGCAATGTGTCTGAAAACACATGTGTCTTGACACTATTTCTTTAAAGGGCCAAACCACGACTGAAGGTTAGTTGTAACATTTTGGCAGCCATGGTGAGTAAAGACCCAACCTGTGTTCGTCAAGAACGTTCCCTTGAAGACAACCAGATGTGTGGCACTGGGAATGAAACATTGCGCAGACCACCGCAACATTCAGAGAACCAACGCAGAACTACTGCGCAGCGTTGAGCGGACCAGCTCTGCGGAGGTGAGGGTATCCTTAGCCTGCCGGTTCCCACAATGGTTTGCGATGCCCAGCCCAACGGTTGCATCACGTTTGCCACAACACAGTCGTTGTGATGTGACGGTGTTCCGTGCGTGACTTGCAAAACGGCATCGAATGCATGGATGAGCTCAGGTGTAAGTTCACCCACAGGAACTCTATCCATGTGTTGGTGCTCAGGCCATAGCATACTCCAGTCAATGTACCATTGTGTTCCCTCACCGTCAGGGAGAAAGTTTGCATCCCACACATGGCTGTTGAAGTTTGCCCTGATCATGTCGGTGCCGTAATGCGCAAGTAAACGCCGCCGCAGAACATACGCGCGGACCACCGGATACGAAAAACATAGCGAGTGCCCCACACATAAGCGCGTAAGAGGACAGAGGAGACAACCGCTCAAACAGCAAAACTCAATGAAGCTGCAAATCAAAAAGGAAATCAAACAACAAAAAACACCCAAATCCTCGAAAACATGAAAAAACAAAGAATAAACAAAAAAAATGATGTTTGAAAAAAAAACACGTATCCAAGCATTCCTTCCAAGGGAACCAAAAAAAACAAGAAAAAACATAGCAAAATGCTAACTTCCGTAACTTCAAACAAAACATTTCTTTCTACAACTAAGTTATAACTAAGTTATAAAATGTACAACTTCTATAAGTAAGTTATAACTATTCAAGGAACTTAGTGTACTTAAGTCAACTTATAACCTATGTTACCTTGACTTAAAACCTAACTTAACCCTAGTTATAACTAGGTATAAGTAAACGTGCCCTCACTGTAGCCATACCCATCATACCCACCGCTGGTGGATACCAAACATGGCGCTATGTTGAACGGTTTGATCCACATGATTGGCGATTAAGTTATATATATATATATATACACAATGTGGGGCCCCCCAGTTATAAGTTGGTTTATAAGCACCAGTAACTAGTTCATTATAAATACCATAAACCATAGTTATTGGAGTTATTTGCACCAACTTAGCTATCGAACGGGGGCCTCACATTGTATACATACATATGAAAATCACCTTTGGATTATAAAATTCCGTAGTCTCAATGGCGAAGTTTCCAACCTTTGATGGTTATTTTTTCTCAAATCTTCGTTTTTTTTGCAGTGGTTAAATCCCAGTGTTTGAGCCTAACTCACCATGATGGTTAAATCTTCTTGTTGGTGATTTCAACCCCTCTGAAAATATGAGTTCGTCAGTTGGGATGATTCTTCCCAATATATGGAAAATCATACAGTAAAAATCATGTTCCAAAGCACCAGCCCTTGCTTTTTCGCAATGAACATCACCTATAGAATTTAAACCCTGAGTCACCTTGGCGCGGCCGCTGCTTCTGGCAGCGCTGGGAGCCGCAAGAAGCAACGCGACGAGAGCGGACGCGACGCCGGCGCCGCGCCGTGCCACGTCCTGGGAACGAATCCACGGCCATTGGAAGCGACAGTTTGTTCATGAGGAAGTGACAGTTGAGATGTGGACATGATGTAATTATAAACATGCATGTAGTTATAAACATGCATGTAATCATAAACATGATGTCACATTTGAGTGGCAACGGTAATACATCTCACATGACTTCACACACTAATGCATGAAAAATTAAACAGACATGAACAAATATCTACACACCATAACACCAATAGACATGTAACATACCATTAAACCACCAAACATCATAGTTATGGAGTCCTGGACCTTCCCTGGAAACCTCTGACATTAGGAAACTCTTGGTCTAGCAAGCAGGTTGTGTATACAAATATATATATATATACATGGATTCTGGAAATCAAGGAACTAAATTTAAAAACCCAACTAAGTCAGACTTGAATGTGTTGGTGGGTTTTGCTTTTGTTTTGTGAGATACCCAGGGCAAATGGGGAATGCCAAGATGATGGGAAAATACCTTACCCTCCCTAAGGGCCCCCTTACAATTTATGCTCAAATGAAAAACACCATTTGCTATGCAAAAATCCTGGGTTCCAGGATTCACCCATTGCCATGTCAAGGACATGCAAAATTGCATTAAAAGCCCCCTTAGAAACTTAAACAGTGTATTAGCAGGTTTGTTTGTTTTGGTAAACTACTTCCTGTAGCAATAGTAAAACAAATCCTGGTTTGGCAAAGGGTCTCAATGAAAACTATGTTCTTCTTTTAGACAGTGTTCATTCTTGTGTGTTGTGGACACCTTGCTTGCTCACAGGAGCCTGGGTCTCAGTTTTTAAGTATCTACTGCAAAATTGGAAACAGAATGATGCATTCAATTGCGTTCAAACTCTCGCGCGCTCACTTGCATTTGAAGTTCTTAATTTGCAGAATGGAGAAACTGTTTGAATAAGGTGTTCAGTCATTTCAAGCGGTTCCTTCTGACAGAAATACACTTTCTGAGGGAAGGGGAGTCTGGGCAGAGCCATTGCTTGAGCACAGGAGCATGGTCCTCAGTTTTGTATTGTTCTTCACTTTTGGGGTTAAATTCTAAAAGCAATTTGTTTACCAAGAGTGCAACCAAGTGTGCATGAGATCACTATGAAGCTGCGAAGTGCTGGAATCAAGTTTTATGTTCTAAAAAAAACAAACTACAGAATATGATCTGTAATGTTGCAAGACGGTGTGAGGGCAGCGGATCACTTTTACTTGTGCAGGAGTCTGGGCGCCAGCTTTCGGTGACTAAAGGCATTTCCTCTTAAAGTGGGTGAGTCCTGGCATCCAGGACTTTCTTCATGTGAAAGTTGTGTATGAAGACAACAATTTCCGATCATTGCATAAAACATTAAGTATGAGTTGTGTTGGGAAGAGCAAGGTTTTATTTCACCACTCTGGTATTCTCCATTTGTCCCATATAGCCACCTTGTAATCTTACTGCAGTCACCAAAATGTCCAAGAGTGCATTCAATCTTGACTTAGCTCTTTTTGATTTCAGCTCCTTGAGTTCTGGTACAAAACCTGTTTGCTATTTCAAGAGTTTCGCAATGTCAGAGATTTCCAGAAAAGGTGGCAAAGAGTCTCAATGGTTTTTTTTGAACACAGGTGGCCTAGGCCTAGACCCCTTGTTGGCTCAGAGGAGCCTGGGTCTCAGTTTTTTGGGTATCTACTGACTGTTCACTTATGTTCTAACTCTCGTGCACTCACGCACTTGCATTTGGATTTTTTGAGTTCTGGAATTCAGGACAAAGTTTCAATAACAAGTCATTTCAAGAGGTTCCTTCCCCAAGAGCTTTTAAGGGGAGGGGAGTGGGCAGAATCCTTGCTTGAGCACAGGACCTCAACTGCGCTGTGTTCAGCTTTGAGCGCCAAACTTAAAATAAACTTGCTCACCAAGAGTGCAGTCAACTGTGCAGTATATACCTAACTGGCATTTGAAGTTGTTGAGTTCTGGAATCATCTGGAATCCAAAAGTTCTTGTTTCTTTTGAATTCGGTTATCACAGCCTTTCTACATATACCTGCATTTGTACACATCCACAACTATCTTCATAATAGTATATGTATACCTTCCATGATGTATTTGTACCATATGTTACCAGGACCGATGTCCTTGGATCATATGTATACTTACCAGGACTTACGTCATCGGATCATACATATACTTACCAGGACCTATGTCCTTGGATCATGTGTATGCTTGCCAGGACGTATGTCCTTGAATCATATGTATACTGTACTTACCAGGACCTATGTCTTTGGATCATATGTTTACTGTACTTACAAGGACCTATGTCCTTGGACCATTTGCATACTTACCAGGACTTATGCCCTTGGATCATCTGTATACTTACCAGAACCTATGTCCTTGGATCATATGTATACTTACCAGGACCTACGTATTTGGATCATGTGTATACTTGCCAGGACCTACGTATTTGGATCATGTGTATACTTACCAGGACTTTTGTCCTTGGATCATATGTATACTTACCAGGACCTTGGTCCTTGGAAAAACAACATATACACAAGCACAAGACAGTCTCATACACAGACAAAGAATAATGAGGAGAAGTATGCACAGACAGGTAGAAATTGTAGTAAAAAGATGCTGGATACAGAAATAGGTGAGTTGCAAATAGTTTGACAATGGGAATATAGACTGCTGATAACTAGATGACAAAGATACAAAATATATATTGTATATATATATATATGTTTTTTTAATATATATATATATATGTTTTTTTAATATATATATATATATATGTACATATTAGCGAATCATGTTCTCAAATAGGTCAATAGACTGATAAATAAAACTATAGACAGATCAATAGGTAGATCAACTGATAGATAGCCAAATCTAGATGATCCAAACAGATAGAAGAAAGATAGCAAACAGGTAGATTTGCAAGAGCCAAACGGACAAACACATATAAACAAACAAAAAAGACAACACATGCAGAGATGCTGTGCTAGAGAGAAATGTATAAACCAATAATACTTATATTATCTTCACCAGGACTTGTGCCCTGAGGAAATATGTATATACAATCACCGTGCTCATGTGCACACCGTCTTGGACTGAGGATCACTAAGGATCACGAGGGTTCACTGAGGATCTGATGCTGCAAACAGTAACTAGTCTGCCGTATAGGCAGTGTCCCGCACAGGGACTTGTTTTTCTCGATTGGTCCGTCTTTGCGACAGTTCGGTGCCTCAGTCAGTGCCCAATCTCGCTACCTACATCCCACCACATATTTATACATATATATGTACACATATGTATATACATTTTGTATGAAATACGGCTTCCAGGACATGGTTCATCTTGGTTTTCATTTTGTTCTTGTTGGTCCTTGTTTCCACAACATGGTTGTTGTTGTTGTTGGTCCTGGTTTCCAGGACATTGTTGTTGTTCTTGTTGTTGGTGGTCCTGTTTTACAGGGTAGTCTCACTACTGGTCCTGGTTTCCAGGACACGGTTGTTGTTGTTGTTGGTCCTGGTTTCTGGAAATCAAGGAGCCAAATTTAAAAACAACTAAGTCAGACTTGAATGTGTTGGTGGGTTTTGCTTTTGTTTTGTGAGATACCCAGGGCAAATGGGGAATGCCAAGATGATGGGAAAATACCTTACCCTCCCTAAGGGCCCCCTTACAATTTATGCTCAAATGAAAAACACCATTTGCTATGCAAAAATCCTGGGTTCCAGGATTCACCCATTGCCATGTCAAGGACATGCAAAATTGCATTAAAAGCCCCCTTAGAAACTTAAACAGTGTATTAGCAGGTTTGTTTGTTTTGGTAAACTACTTCCTGTAGCAATAGTAAAACAAATCCTGGTTTGGCAAAGGGTCTCAATGAAAGCTATGTTTTTCTTTTAGACAGTGTTCATTCTCCTGTGTCCTGGACACCTTGCTTGCTCACAGGAGCCTGGGTCTCAGTTTTTAAGTATCTACTGCAAAATTGGAAACAGAATGATGCATTCAATTGCGTTCAAACTCTCGTGCGCTCACTTGCATTTAAAGTTCTTAATTTGCAGAATGGAGAAACTGTTTGAATAAGGTGTTCAGTCATTTCAAGCGGTTCCTTCTGACAGAAATACACTTTCTGAGGGAAGGGGAGTCTGGGCAGAGCCATTGCTTGAGCACAGGAGCATGGTCCTCAGTTTTGTTTTGTTCTTCAGTTTTGGGTTTCAAATCTAAAAACAATTTGTTCAGGAGCTGAAATCAAAAAGAGCTAAGTCAAGATTGAATGCACTCTTGAACATTTTTGGTGACTGTAGTAAGATTACAAGGTGGCTATATGGGATAAATGGAGAACGCCAGAATGTTGAAATAAAACCTTGCTCTTCCCAACATAACTGATATTTAATGTGTTTATGACATGATAGGAAATTGTTGTCTTCATACACCACTTTCACATGAAGAAAGTCCTGGATGCCAGGACTCACCCACTTTAACAGGAAATGCCCTTAGGCACCGAAAGCTGGCGCCCAGACTCCTGCACAAGTAAAAGTGATCCGCTGCCCTCACACCGTCTTGCAACATTACAGATCACATGCTGTAATTTGTTTTTTTCAGAACGTAAAGCTTGATTCCAGCACTTCACAGCTTCATAGTGATCTCATGCCCCATTGAATGCACTGTTCTGGTACAAAACCTGTTTGCTAATTCAAGAGTTTCCCAATGTCATAGATTTCCAGGCAAGGTGGCAAAGAGTCTCAATGATTTTTTGTTGGACAGTGTTCCCTCTCAGGTGTCCTAGACCCCTTGTTGGTTCAAAGGAGCCTGGATCTCAGTTTTGGGTATCTACTGACTGTTCATTTACGTTTTAACTCTCGTGCACTCACGCACTTGCATTTGGATTTTTTGAGTTCTGGAATTCAGGACAAAGTGTCAATAACAAGTCATTTCAAGAGGTTCCTTCCCCAAGAGCTTTTTAAGGGGAGGGGAGTGGGCAGAATCCTTGCTTGAGCACAGGACCTCAA